TTTTAATTTTATCGTCGTCGCTTATACGGTAGCGGTTAAATAATCGATTTACCTTCTTTAGTTACTAGGTTACGTTATATTCGTTAAACTTAAGCCTAGGGTAATCGGTAGGGTTAAGGAATCTAATGGCTAGTATTACGATGGTCGGAGTAGCTACCGGTATATTTTAGTTATTAAAAGCCTCGTTATTATTATTTTAAGATAATACCATAGGGATTAGCGGGATAAGTATAGAGCCGCGGTTAAGGGGTAGCTAAATAAGAGTTTTATCGTCGTCCTCCTTTTCTTCGGGCGGATATAGGAACGGAAAGCTAGTATCGACTCTTAAGGTCTTTATTAGTAATTTAGTCTTTATTACTTTAGGTCCCGATAATAATCTATTCCGTTTCTTAGCTATAGATTTCGTCTAGTTTAACGGTACGAGGTATAAAGTAGAAAAGGGAGTAGTAAGGGTCTTATTATCTAACATAGGGATAAAGGTAAGATAGCTATTATTTATATCCTAATGCTTTTCCTTTAGTATAGGTATATTATTATCCATTATATTATCCCGATCGATAGGATCCGGATATTATACGAGCTTCTCTAATCGGTTAACGCCTAATTAAAATACGATACGTATTCCTTAGGCTAATAGTTTAATTATTATAAATAAATCGACGATAATCCCTTCTATTAAGGTTTAAAACTCTTAACGTATAACCTTCGTTAAAGTAATACGTATAAAGGATAGATTCCGAGTAGAGAATCGCGCTAGATACGATACCGGTTATAGTTATAGGCCGGTTTCGATCTAACGAGGGCTATTTAATAGTATTAGCGGTATTACCGCTAAGCGTCGTTTTACGCTTATATTAATACTTCTTGCTATACTAGCTATTAATTAATAATATAAGGCTAACTTATATATAAATATACCTATTAATTCGACTCTAGTTCCGTTTCCCTAATTCTTTATGTCTACGTAGTTCTATTAATATTAATTCCTAGTTCTCTTTAAAACTACCGGTTACTAGTAGTTATTAATCTATTAATTCCTATTTATACTATTAATATAAATATCTATGTTATATCGTATATTATATCGTCGAATCGCTACGCCTAGGTATCCTAAAATACCTCTAATATAATAAGTTATTAATATTTATATATTTAATTTATATCGATTAATAGGTTTAGAGGGAAAAAAAAGCTATCGTAAGATCGGTTAAGGTATAATTACTATTAGCCTTTATCCGCCCTTAGTATTAGTAAGGAAGTAGTAGGTCGTATAGGTTATCGTAATTTATACTAAGGCGCTCGTACGTCCTTTATATAATAAGTAGATAATTATAAAAGGGCTGCCTTAATCGCTACGAGCTTTATTTATTCGCACGAGATATACTATATTATTAGCGGTTCGAAGGAGCGGTTAATATCGAAGGCTAAGTACTATCCCTAGTAGCGGTAGTATTACGACGATAATTCCCTAGGCTTACGGGTATCTCCTTATAAGTAGGTAAATAACGATACGAGGGATATCCTAATCGGTATAAACGCGGTTTAATCGTTATATTATATCGTAATATCGATAGCTTATTAGCGTTATAAGTATTAAGGGCTAGGTAGTATCCTAGCGGCTATAGTACCGTAGTAAAGGTTCCTGGGCTTATACGTATCTTCCTATAGTAAATAAATAACTATAAAACGGGATACTTTATTTAACGTAAAACGCGGACTACCTTACGGGTTAAATAGCGGCGCCGACGGCGATCGGTATCCTTTAAATCCTAATAGCGTAATAAAAACTCCGTAAACTAAAGGTTAAGGGATCGAAAAAGTTATAGGGTAATCGCTACTAAGGAGGAGTAAAGCGTACGCGATATTAGAAACCCGGATATATTTACTCGAAAGTATATTCTATCGAGGACTATAGTACGTACGATAGTTTAAGATAAATAAAACTAATATCGCTATATTAATCGAAAGGCAAGGAATCTAATATAGTTATCGTATCTTAGCTATATCCCTTGGTCGTAAAGATATAATAGTCGCTAGCCCGAAGGTATAAGAAATAAGGGGAAAAAAAGGGGCAAAACGTAAAAGTTACTTATTCGGCTATAGCGGTACGACGAAGTAACTTAAGCGCTTATAACTAAGATAAATATACTAATCGGAAAACGACGAATCTAATGGTAAAAACGAATCTTTAATTAAGGTAAAAAAAATAATAAAGATAATAATTTAGCTAGGTAATGAATTAAATGATAAGTATCGCATGTCCCGCACTTACGGGAGCTATGGTTACTCTATATAGGCATAAGGCCTATCGTAGCGTATTACGTAATGTATCAAGAGGGCATGTCTTACCGTACCACTACACTAAGCTAAGGGCTTTTACCGCTATAATATTATATTCGTTATAATAGTAAAGCATAAAAGTCGTTTACGTAATCGTACGCGTAACCTAATGTTAATACGCCTTCTTTAGCTAATGCGTTATAGAAATTGGAATTAACGCTGGGACTTTTAGACGGTTCCCCCCGGTAGCCGTTATATATATAAAGACGGCTATCCCCGAATTCGGGAAGAGGGATATATAGGAAAGCTAGGGTTAGATAAACGCGGTTATCGTTATCGTCCTTCTTACGTACGCTTCGTTACGCCTAAGAAGTATTTATAAACTAGTTAATTTAGCTTTACTTAATAGGTTCATAATCGGGATTACGTATCTCGCTCGGTATCTAACTATATAAATCCAGGAAATATAAAGTTAATAACGGGAGCTATAATAGCGCGGGAGCTAGGACCTGAATATAGTAGTTACCTACGCCGTTAACCTGCTCTAGGCCTAACTTACAGAGGCTAAAAGGTAGATCCTGAAGTATGGACATCTGTGCCGTGCCTGTAATCCAGTTAGAATGAAGGGTTATAATTGCCAATACGTAGCTTATCAGGAATGCACAACTATCTCGAAGAGTAAAGCAGTCTATACCGTTTAGAAGAGTGTGGCAACTCTGAGTACGTTAAAAGAAGTTAGTTACTTGCGTAATAATGCGTGCTTACCCTTACTATTATGATTGCCGAAGATAACTACGAACGGGATTAAACGCTCGATAATAGGAGCAACTACCTTAAAAAGGATAGATTAGCTGTTTAGGATACCGTAGTATAGCTAATCTCTAATAAGAATTATAAGGTCGGGTTTCTCGACAGCTAAGATCTTTCTAATGAAATTAACCGTAAGTAGATCGGCCTCGCTCTCCGGTAGATTTTCCTCATAGGCATTAATAACATCTTTACATACCCCGATACTAGTAACCATATACGTATTAAAGATCTAGATAATCCTAAATTTACTATCCTTCTTAACTCTTAAAACCGGCCGAGCATTTAGTTTCGGTTTAGCCCTACCGTAGAGTACGCTAAGTCTCGCAACCGGTATCTCCGGCTAATTATCGAATTAGAGCGATAATTATATAAGAATCCATTACGGTCGTAGGTCAACGGCATCTATACCAAAGAAAACGTCTACCTTTATTACAGCCTGGTTAATCGTACCAAAAAACTTACTTCTTAGTAACCAGATTCCGCTAGGTCGACTCTCCTATAAATCACCTAAACTAGGGTTAAGAAGCGGCTAGCCGACCCTAATATCCATAACCAGTAGGTCCTTAGCTATAAGCTCTTCTTAATTCGCTTACGCTACATATAGCCATGCCCTCTACTAAGATATATATAGGTAGAGTTCCTTCTCTATACGGTGCCATGTTCGCCGGTCCGGTTCGTAGGTGGAAGTAGAAACTATCGGGGAGGAGATTACGGTCAGATCCATGACAACTGGGAGGGGAACGACAGCCGTAGTATTAGGAGTGCACGATAACGCCGCTTAGGGACATTTTTCCTGAGAAGAAAAGGACTCGAGCAGACAGGAGGCGTCGGATGCTGGCATCGACGATAAGGCAGAAAGAATTGAGAGCAAAACGAGACTAGACGAGGTAGTGAAGGGGTGAAGCAGTGGAGATAAAATTTCGCGAAAAGCCGAAGCCGAAATTGCAAAGACGGGATCGGGGCGAAGGTTGGAATGAGAAGGTGGTGATTCTGGGTCAGGGAAAGAAGAAAGCAAGAAAGGGGGCGAGGTGGGAAGCAGTTAGGTTAGGGCGCCACCCCACTTTAACAAGGCGGCGCTCAGCCATGACGAATTGGCATCTGTGGATTGGGGCGAACCTAGGAAGCCCCCGCGAACCGCTCCGGCCGAGCAACGCCCAAATAGGTACATACTGGGAACGTTACTAGTGGTAGCTCAATGGTGGCCTTATGGGGTTGTATACCTAGGTACTTCACTGCGAATGATCACAGTCTAGCCTATGAGACGCGAGGGCAGCGTGGTAATTTGACTTCGTGATGGGACTGAGTCAAAAGATAGTCTACCTTCTGTTCTATGTTCGACTACAGCCGAAGAGACGCTGGCTGCGCCGATAATTACACAGAGGAGATGCGAGTTCTTATAGATGGCGCATAAGTTTCAGGCGATGGTCCCCACAGCGATCTCGCCAAGGTACTAATTCCGCCAGAGGATGTGCACTATCGACTCTCCCGGGCCACCACTCGACATAGTCCTGCGATGTCTCCCGGATGGGATGTCGAAGTACGGACGACTTTCGTTAGTTGTGGTCAGACCAATTTTTTCGGGAATGAAAATCGTTAATGAGAATGCCCGCCGGTAACTGTGCAGTATTAATCCGTCTTGGATACTAGTCGAAGGGAACCATCCATCCGGGAAGAGGATACTTTGGAAATAAAGAACTTAACCGATAATAGAGTTGAGCTCAAACACGCCCGAAACAGGCCAGCTAGAATTCAGCAACTAGTCTAAAGCATGATTCTGGGTCTGCTACCGGCTTTACCTTAGTTATTGTAAGCAGATTAAGTATCAACCTCTTGCGCATTACAGTACCGGTCAAGGTGATGGCTGGGCGGGTATGATCAGGTAATGCACCATACCTGGGCACGGGTTCTATGGTATAAGAAAGGTTCAGGGGGGGCCCTGTACGAAGAAAGTGGAGTCTCCAAATTTATCTTTCGCTTGTAGAGAGGGCATCATCTGAATACCTACACATAAATACGATGAGATACATTCGAATATGTCGATTTGAGCACCAAATGTGAGACTCGTTGCCCCTTTTCCCAATAGCATATCCCCGACGCCAAGTTCCTCACCGGCCTTATCAACCCTCCCTCGGCTTTACTTTGACCCAGAAATCCACCGGCTTCACACAGAACCACCCGTCCTGCTTGAGGGTATAGCTTGGGTCGGCCATCTCGAAGTCTACCTCGCGGAGCAGCGTGGCGAGCGTCGTCATCATCCACTGCCAGGCCCAGTGCTTGCCGATGCACTCGCGCTTCCCGTTGCCGAACCACTTCTTGACGCCGCGCGGCAGCGCCTCGAACGCCTTGCCCATCATGCGCTCGGGCCGGAACGCGAGCGGGTCCTCGAACACCGTCGGGTCGCGGTTCACCCCCGCCAGCACGATGATGAGCGGCTGATCGTGCGCGATCTGGTACTTGCCGCCGCCCAGCAGCACGGGCGCGCGGTCGCCGCCCGCCCGCGGCACCGGCTCGATGTTGAACCCGGGCGCCGCGAACGACAGCCGCAGCGACTCGCGCACCACGCCCTCGAGGTACTCGAGGCGCGCCAGGTGCTCGTACGCGACGGGCTCGCGGGCCGCGCCCACCACCGCGTCGAGCTCCGCGCGCGCGCGCGCGGCCGCCCCCGGGTTCCGCAGCAGGAAGTACACGGCGGCGCTGAGCAGCGCCGGCGACGTCGCGCTGCCGATCGGCATCGACACGACCTCGTCGACCACCTGGGACGGCGTGAGCGCGGCGCCGGTCTGGGGGTCGGCGGTGCCGAGCAGCGCGTCGAGCAGGTCGCCGTCGTCGGCGCCGGGCACGCGGCCGGCGGCCGGGTCCGCGCGCCGCGCCGCGACCATCTCCTCGGCGAAGCCGCGCATCGTCGCCGTCGCCGCGGCGAACTTGCGCCCGTACCAGAGCCAGTTGAGCAGGGCCGGCCGCGTCGGCCGGCGCATCGCCTCCGCGGTCGCGCCGTCGATGGCGCCGAGCATGGGGTGCTCGGGGCCGGCGAGGCAGCCGAGCTTGACGCCGAAGAGCGTGAGCGCGGTGGCCTCGAGGCAGAGGCGGTTGAGCTCGTCGAAGAGGCGCACGGGCGCCGCGGCGGCGAGGCCGCGCCACTTGGCGACGAGCTCGACGGCGACGGCGCGCATCTGCGGCAGGCGCGGGGCGAGCGCGGCGGGCGCGAGCCGCGGCGCGATGATGCGGTGCGCGACGCCCCAGATGGGCTCGTGGTCGAAGGCGGTGAACAGCGCGTCGTGCACGGCGTAGCGGATCTCGACGATGGGGCCGCCGACGTACTTGCGGAAGCGCCGCTCGTCGCACAGCTCCTCGGCGAGCGCGGCCCCCGCCACGAACACGATCGTGTGCCCGAGCACCCGGATCTGGAAGATCTCGCCGTACCGCTCCGCCAGCTTCCGCAGCGACTCCCACGTGTTGCTCGGGTCGACGTCGAAGATGTTGCCCAGCAGGGGCACGCCCGGCGGCTGCGGAATCGGGAGCGACATGGCTGGTTCGTCTCGTCTGTTCGTCTTTCGTTGCTGTAGGCGTCTCCTGCGCGTATCTTTATGCGTATCGTCTATCTGCCCGTCTATCTGTGTATTCCTCTCCTTGAATAGCTCGGACGGCTGCTAGCTGCGGAGGGGGGGGGTTAAGGGGGAGCAGAGGCTCAAGGGCGGAGCGGGGAAGCCATCCAGCGACCACCCATTAATAATATCTCCCTGAACCCGTCTCACACCGCAACTGCTAGCAGGTGAGCCCTCTACGTCACGATGTTTCTTCATGGCAACGCTGTGCCGACAACTCATCGTGCAGCATCGAGCCCAGGCTGAGTAACGAAGCACAACACTATCGTCATAGTATGGTGGTACCCCGGGTCATCTTGCTCAAGCCAATCAATGCCGAGGAATTTGCACTCTCGCCCAGCTCCCTGCCTCGATAGCGCACCGGCGGACCGGCTTCTAGGCGGCTTATTACTGGATACCGTTGCCGAGCCGTGCGTGTCCTAAGGGAGCTTAGAGGAAGCGGGCCTTCTGCTTGCTTTTCTACGGGATCTGTGCGATTTATTGTTCTTTTTCTTTTACGGCTGGGGGAGGGAGGGATGTTTTGATATTGGATCGAATTAGGAAAGGGAGCACCTTGCCATGGCTTACGTATGCCGTCGATCGGAAAAGGGGGGGGACCAGTCGAGGGCCAAGCCGCCAGCAGAACATGTATTGGCTATGGCACGTCATGCATGGTCGACCATGCTGATAAGAGTGCTATTCGAACCAACGCTAATCGAGATGATGATCGATAGAAGATGGATCTGGTTGGATCGTCGTTTCGGGAGTGAGGTTTCGGCCACATGTTATGGTTAGTGTCTTAGATCCTTATCACCATGCCGCGACCCGGTTTCTGAAACAGCATATTATATTGATTTTTTTTTGGCGCCATCGACCGTCTGTAATGTCAAGTTTTTGTTTTTGTTACAGATTCGTTTCCGTGAAACAAGATTGCTTCTGGTACAGGATTAACAGTTACGGATGGGAACTTGTTCACTGTAGGCTTTCTTCGTAGGATAACCCCTATCTATCGGTCGGAATAGCTGAAAAATATTACATTCCATGGGCCGTTCCCGTCAGATCATTCACAGCTCTCTCGTGTTAACCTAGATGCTCCTTTTTCATATCGCGAGCGAGTATCCGGAGCTCGTGGAATTGGCCAGTTATTTGGCCTTAGATCGCTAGCACACTCAGGATGCAGTTGAGTACGTCGTTCAGAGGAAACCAGAGTGGTTATTCATCTAACCGGTGGATGAGAATCTCGCATACGTAATATATAATCGGTTTCCTCAGGTTAATAGGTATGGCACTTATTAAATTCTCCCACTTTAATTAATGCAATTCAAAGAGAATTAGAGGGTTACCTGTCGGGAGGGAGGGGGTACCTATGAATTTATCGTAGGGGTCCGGTGCGTGCAGATGACTCTCCTGGAGGTGTTGTTAATAGGGATGGTCCGTACCCCCCTTCCGTCTTGCCTTATGTATTGTAAGATCCCCTTATTGTATTTCCGTGCAGCCGACGCTGTTTGATAATTGAAATACGCCCTCGCTCTCTCACCTTAAAGACCTACATAAACGAGGAGGTGGATGCGATGACTTCGGGTTAAGAGGAAGAGTGGAATCGTACCGCCTTTTCTCCTCCGTTTATATGATAGCTGACTGTAGCCGGAGTGCTCCGTGATGAAACTCGGCTTTCTATCCGAAGACGACCCAGAACTTCAATTTCCTTGATTGAGCTGCTTCTGCTGGACCCGCGGATGTAACGTGCCGCCCTGGAAGTAATAGAACCACTACAGCCCCGGGGGCACCCGGACGAACTCGATTGGTGCGCATGTAAAGAGGACCCGGGTTCTCCGCACGCTGTTTACCGTACGCGCGAGGGTACCCCAAATCATCGTGACATTCTCGGGGCAGAAGAAACAAACATCGCAATAAGTGTTGATATTAATTCGAATTTTTCCGCCCATCGACGAGCGAGACTCGTCGTCGACTGGGCCGAACTCCTCCCTTTGTATTGTGGTTAAGATGTACCCATTCCCCTGAGATGATCCGTGTAGGCCTCTGAGATGATGAACACATTGATATATCGATCTCGAAGGTGAACGGACCCGTCAACAGATATGATGCATTCGCGCTCCCTCCTGTCTATGTTTGCTTTGGCCGGCGCCATATTTGCGACGCCCACTCCACCACGGCAAGCTCCTGAGTATGTGGGTTACTTGGTGTCGACTTTCAGCGACCCTACTCCTAAAGTGCAGTTTCATCTTTCCAATGGGAATGATGCCTTAAGCTTCACATTTCTAAATGGAGGAAACCCGGTGCTGGCCTCGGATGTCGGGACGAAGGCGGTGAGAGATATATTCCTCGCAACCGACTCGGCTCGATCCGAGTACTACCTAATCGCTACCGGTAGGCCCTCTTCAAAGTTCTTGCTCTGCACTCGGCGTTCTCTAACTATTGATTATTTGTCTAGATCTTGATGTTAGAGCGGCGGGATTCTCCTGGGATAAGGCTACGAGACACGGAAGTCGCGGCATTGTCGTGTGGAAATCTTCTAACCTGGTCGACTGGTCGGGGCCTTCTCTTCAAACGTATACCTCTCCCAAATGTGCTGTCCGTGGCTGGATGTGCTAACGCATACGCACCCCTCAGCGTCGAACCGGAGACAGCAGGCATGGTATGGGCGCCCTCGGCTGTGTGGGATGACCAAGAGTTGCTGTACTATGTATTCTGGGCCTCACGGCACTACGACCCCTCCGATACGGAGCACACGGGAACGGCATCGCTAGACCGGATCCGGTACGCGACAACGAGGGACTTTGCCACTTTCAGCGAGCCGAAGGACTACCTAGCTCCTCCTGGCATCCCACTGATCGACCAGGAATTCCAGTACCTGGGAAAGCCAGGGGCCTTCGCGCGGTTCTTTAAAGATGAGACGGTAGGCCGCGTCTATCAGGAAGTCACCTCGGATGGTCTCTTCGGAACTTGGACCCGCCTAGAGGGCTACGTCCACTCCGATGGCCAACGCGAAGGCGCGGCATCGTTCGCTGACAATCTGACGCCTGGCCTTTATCATCTCCTGCTCGACGACTACACTCAGTACATCCCGTATGAGACAACTGATATCTATTCCCAGAGCTGGAAAGGTTCGAACAGGACCGGATTTCCGAGCGGGTTGAAGCACGGCTCCGTGACTCCGGTAACGCAGAAGGAATACGATGCTCTTATTGCGGCTTACGGCGCGTAAGAGCGCAGGGTAGGATCCAGCTAATATAGGAATGGTGAAAACTGGGTGCGGGTATCGAATTAGTACACTATGGTTATTAACTACAGAAGCTAAGAACCCCACGCTGTCTGACTTCATTCACAGGAGTCTCTGTCTCCTAGGTGTATTTCGTGTCCGCAACATCTGAATTCTCCGCGGCTGTAATCGTAGGTGGAGCTTCTTTAGGAGGAGGGGTGTAGGGAGTGAAGAGTCCCGTCGCCTCGTGACTATGGCATTCAGACGGAAAATGTCCCAAAGGGGGAGGAGGTAGATCCGTCTGTAAGTATCGAAATAAGTATCAATATTACAGCCGAGCCCTTGAGACCCATACTGAACTTGAGCAGCATGCGTTAAACGAAACGAGCTAGCCAGAGGGCCTGAATTTCGGGTTAATATCAATATCATACCTGCCTACCATCGTTATAAATACTCTACTCGCTCCCCTATTTCCTCTTTTACTACTGTGACAAGGGGATATACTTGGAATAGGTTCAATTCAACTAATAATTCTATAGGGGGTCTCTTAGGTCCTTGTCCTTTCTAAGTTCCGCGTTCCCTTCTCGTCCTAATATAACCCCGAAGTACCTTTATACCTTAGTACCTTTATACCTTAATACCGAAGCTATCCGAAGCTTATCTAGGACTTTTCTTAGTAGGTCGCCGAGGGGACGGCTTTAATGCCCGATATTATCCTCCTAACCTTAATGGCTTAATTATTAGTATAAGGTTCCATTCCCGTATAATACCATTTCTCCTTATCGAAGAAGCTCGTTTCTAAGCGTTAATTAGGTACCTAGGCTCGTTAGTTAGCGGGCTTATTAGGATTTTATTAATAAAATAATTTAATAATTTCTCTTATCCCTTCGGTAGTAAAGTATTCTTACGGCTCCTAGGTTTAGTAGCGCTTAGCCGGCTATTCTTATTACTTTACTAAATATCTAATAACTTTTCCGGTTCTAGCGGAATCTAGTACCTTATCTACCTCGTAGTCTTTTACTTTAATCGGGACTACCTCCTATAAGACCTAGTTAGGGTTAAGTAATTCCTAATTACTAGCGCGATAAGGTTCGATAAGGAATACGTAGAAGGTACTATAAATTCGCTAGCCTTTCGGAAGTATTAAAATTACGGCGGTAAAGGAAACGACCTTTTAGATTTTAAAGGAACCGAATATCTTCTTATTTATCTTCTTTATAAGGCGCTTGGTTTTAATGTTACGGGCGTTTAGTATAATAAGCTATCCGACTTCTAAAGGGGGTTCCTCCTTTCGGTATTTATCTGCCTATCCTTTTATCCGCTACCGTACTTTTTCTAAATGCTACTTAACCTCGTTATATATCCTAGTTATTTAATAAGTATAAAGGTTACTTCCTAGATTCTTAGGGGTACCTAGTAGGGGATTATATACTACTAGGTACTACCCGTAGTTAGCGTAAAAGGGTAATATATTAATAGCTACCGAAGTAATATTATTATAGGTAAATTCGGTAGTAGGAAGTAGGCTTTCTTAGTCGCTTATTTCGTAATTTACGAAGGCGCGTAGGTATACTTCTAGGATTTAATTAAGTCTTTCCGTCTACTTATCGGTTTAAGAATAGAAGGCGGTATTTATTCTAGGCTTAACTTTTAGGAGCTTTAGAATATTCTTCTATATATAGGAAATAAACCGTAAGTCTCGATCGGAAATAATATCTAAAGGAATCCCGTATAGCCGCTAATAATTACGGATAAAGATAGGTATTAAGTCCTCCGCTTTTTTACCGTCCTTTTTTAGCGGAATAAAGTACGTTATTTTAGTAAAGGGATTTATAATAACCTATATAGAATCGTAACCGTTAGATATTAGTAAGTCCGTAATAAAGTCTATTACGATAGTTTGCTACGGCTAGTAGTATAGTTTTATAGATTATAATAATTTAAACGGGATATATCGTAGTACTTTATTCTATTAACATTCGCGGTATTCCCTTACGAATTCCTTAATTATTACTTCTAGGTTAGGTTATTAAAAGTTTCGAGTAATAAGTTCTATGGTTTTATCTATGCTTATATATCCCGTTACTTTAATATCGTATTCCGATTTAATTACTTCTTATTATAGGTCTTTAGGTATCTAGAGACGGTTTCGTCGGTAAAAAAGACCCTCTTATAGTTTTATCTCCCTACCGAATAACTTAGCTAGCTAGGCTTAGTACTCCGAGTCTTATATAGCTACCGTTTTAACCTATTTTACGAACTCTAGGGTCTAAGCGGGCGTCGGGATACTACTTAGCCGTACGCTAAAGAGTATTACCGTAGGTAAGCCTGAATTTTTTAAAAAATACTTTTCCTATAAGACCGTCGCTATCGGCTAGTCCTTAGCTCCTCCTTTTTTAAGGCGATATTATAATAGTTTAAATAGAATATCGGCCTTTTCGTTTTACTTCCTTAGGCGGTAGTATATTATAAAATAATACGAGGAAAGCTATTAAGCTTAACGGGCCTATCGTCGATTTAATACCTTTGCCGTAATAAAGTACGTTAGGTTTTAGTAGTCCGAGTATACTTTTATTTAATACTAAGCGCCTTCGAAATAGTATCGCTATTTCTCGAATACGTCGACGATTACTAGTAGTTCCTTATTATATATCTTATAATTTATTTCCGCTAAGGTAAGTCGTCTTAAGAAAAAGGCTATTAGTTTTAGTCTTCCTTTATCGTTTTTTTACGAGAGAACGGCTAAAATAACGAAGTCCGAGGCGTCGGCTTCGACGATCGGAACTCGGTTAGGATCGAAATATATAAGTACCGGAGCCTTCGTAAAGGTTTCTTTTAATTCCTAGAAGGCCTTCTTTATTTCGACTTCCTATTTCTATAGCTTACGGTCTCCTTTATTAACGCTAATAATCGGCCTAGCTATGCCCGAAAAGTTACGTATAAATTTACGGTAGAAGTTAGCGAACCTAATAAAGCTCTATAAATCCTTAAGCGTAGTTAGGATACGCTAGTTAAGGATAGCCTCTACCTTATCCTTAGATATAATAATACCCCTAAGGCTTATGTTATATCCTAGAAACTTAACTTCTTACGTTCGCTAGGCGTACTTTTTTAGGGCTACTACTAAATGGTTTTCCGTAAGCCGTTTTAAAACCTCTTTAATTAGCTTATTATATTCTTTTAAGGTATCGGTATAGATTAGGATATTATTTAGGTAGGCGATAACTCCTACGTCTAAAAGGTCGCGGAAAATATGGTTTATTATAACCTAAAAGGTAGCGGGGGCGTTAATTAATCCCATAGGTATAACGGTATATTCGTATAGCCTATAACGCGTTTTAAAGGCGGTTTTTTATTCGTCGTCCTCCTTAATTCGTATTATATAGAAGCTAGACTTTAAATCGATCTTAATAAACCATCGCGCCGTTTAAAATAGGTTCTATAGTTCGTTAATTAGCGGGATCGGGTATCGGACGGGTATTATAATTTTATTTAACCCCTAGTAGTCGGCTACCGGTCTTAAGGCGCTAAGGTCCTTCTTATTTATAAATATTATAAATACGCCGTAGGGGGCCTTGGATTTTCGGATTCTTTCCATGGTTATTATTTCGTCGAGTTAAGGTTTTAAGGCGTTTAATTATCGTCCGCTTATAGTATATAAAGGTCCTTACGGGGGAGTAATTCCCGGACGAAGCTCGATAACGTAGTCTTACGGTTACCGATTAAGAAACCGTTATCCGGCTTCTTTAGTTATAATAGGAACGAAGTCGCGAAATTATTCCGGTACTTATACGAGGGCCTCTACTTTTCGTATGGTCCCTATACGAGCGGGCCGTAGGCGATAGTTCTAATACTAGGGTAAGTTAAAGTATAGCCGTCCGTTTATAAATAATCCTTAAGGGAGGTATTCCTTTATTTATTATTACGGTAGGATAGTATCGACCTCTTCGTTTAATTTACTAACTTCTTAAGCGATACGGTAGATATATTCGTAACTATAGAGCTTCATTTTATTTATATATTAAAGTCTTTCTAACGTAATTTCCGAACCGTCGAATCTTATTAAGGTTCGGGATCTGGAGCGTTAGTTAAAGGGAAGGCGTAATTATTCGACCTTAGTAGCGTTAATTAAGGGTACCTTACTACCGGTATTTAAAAGGACGCGCAAGGGGTATTCTTTTCCTTAATATTTTATTTATATCGTATAAATAAGCCGCTTATTTAATCTTGGTTCGCTTAGGTTACGCTAGGGGACTCGTAGTTTATTTACTATTAGTATTACCTTTATTACTTCTAGCGTTCCGGGCCGTTTTATAGCCGTAATCTTTACGTTATCTTTATCGCCTCTTTCTTCCGTTAACGCTTACGGGAGGGCATTTAAAAATCCCGTTCTTTATCGGAATCGAATAACTTTATAATACGGGAAAGAGTTTCCTCCTATCGTATAGCGGTATCGATCCTAGCCCTTTTATTAGGTAATAGTTCGGGTTCCTTCCTTCCTCTTTTTCCCGAGGAGACCTTCTTAGGTAGCGTAGGTAAGTCCCGTCCTTCTAAGTCCTTTTTTACGAAGTAAGCTAAGGTTTAATAATTATCCCTTCTATATTTCTAATAGGCTTTCTTATCCTTCTTCCGTTAATCGATAGTAGCTTAGTTAATCCTAGCTAAAGCCTCTTTATTATCTATCTATCGTAAGTTCTTAACCGGTACGGGTTTCTTATTATCCGTACTTTTACGTTCGTTTATCGGTTAGCCTAAGTAGGAGCGAGTCTCTTTTACGGGTTACCTTTATTACTAGTCCGCTTTCGTATATTCTTTCTACGAAGCGGACCTTCCTTTTCCCGAAATTCCTAGGTTAGTTATTATGTTTTTATAGATTTAACCGGTTTCTTTAATTACCTTAAGGAAGGCCTCGTTACTTTCTAGGATATTACCTAATCGTAAATAAACTAGCTTTATTATTTCATCGGATAAAGTACGGGCGATATAATTCTAGAAGATAATTCCGGATTATTAGACGACGTCGTTAAGATCTATAAGCTCGGTAAGGTATTAAAAGATATCTCCTTAGTACTTAAGTTCTTATATTTTCTTAAAGTTACGATATCGTTCGGCGGGGTCTTTAAATCGTTCTTAGAATACTTAGGAATATCTTACCTAAGTATCGACGACTATTAACCTTTCTACCTAGGCTAGTCGTTATTAATACTAGAGCTAGGCCTTTTCGGTAAGTATCGATCCTATTTAATTAATCTTTTAAACGTCCCGAGTAAAACTTTCTTCGTAAGTTTCGAAGTAGGACTTAACCTTAATTTACTATAGTCGGAACTTAACTAAGTCCTTATTATTATAAGCCGTAGGCTTAATAAGGTATACTAGGTTAGTTATTACCGTAATACTTCGTCGGTTATTTATAGCTTTAATCTAGGCCCGGATTATACGTTCTTCGGCCGGGTCGAAAGGCTCCTAAGGTTCTTTAGGGGTACCGGATAAGCGTCGCGGCCTCTACGGGTCCCTAGGTTCTAAGCCCTCCGAATTATCGGAATCCCTTAGATCCCCCGGGGCATTCCGTAGGGTCCGTAGTAATAACGGTAGTCCTTACCCGGCTCCTCCTAATATAAAGGCGCTTACCGCGGTATCCTAGAAACGGGCTCTTACGCGCGCGGCGGTACGTTTAACCGCGGCGTCTTAAAGTACGCCGTCGGAAATAATTTTCCTTATTTTAACCTCGCTACTAATATATTTCCCGGTAAACGTTATCGTAGTACGGATAGCCGGCGTAAGAATAGATATTCTTATCCTCTAACTAACTCCGGCGATAATAAATTCGATATCCGTTAGCTTATTACTTAATCGTCGTTATTAATATTCCTTAATTAAGTTAACCGCGTAAGCCTTAAGGTCGTTTTTAATTAGCTAGGTTTTTTCCTTTATAGCTTCGGGAGTAAGGTATTCCTTACTAAGGATTTCGTTAATCTATTTATCCTTCTACGTAGCCTAGGAACTAACGTCCGTTACTAACTTATTATATTCCTTACGTAATTAGATTAAGGCCCGTTAGTTTTAAAGTACGGCGTTTCGAAGTTAATTTATAGCGGCCGTTCGTACTTCGTTTTATCGGATAAACTTAGCTACGGTTTCCTATACGTTTTAGGCGAAATAAGTACTTTATTTTACGACCTACTTCTAGAACTTATGGATTTATATTTTCGTAATTCGAATACCGGTAGCTTATATAGCCGTAGCGGTCTAGTAAAGCTATCGTAGCTATTCGTATTACTCCTTTAGAATCGTATTCTACCGATATTCCGCGTCGACTTAGTTAGCTAGTATTACTAAGCTTTAATAAGCTTATTTTATTTACTTATATAAATCTACGATTTACCGCGGAGGATTACGTAGGACTACTCCCGAGTTTACGATCTCCGGGATATCCGCTATAACTACTTCGTATTCTTAGGGTTAATATACGACGAAGGATTTATCGGTCGGTTCGGGGGTTAGTTTTAACTAAGGCGCCGGCAAGGTTCGCTATCGCTCGGCGTTCTTAGCCTTTAACTCTACCATTACGGCTTTTAGTTCGTTAATCGTAGCTACTATTTAAACTACTTCCGCTATAGAGACCGACGTTAGTCCTAGGGTAGTAGTTCGCGGGAGCGGGAACGCCTACGGCTTTAGTTCTTTAATAAAGGGTCGAGGTTAATCTAGTAGCGATAGTACCGGGGCGGCGGCTTTAGCGTATAATACCGGCTTAGGCTTTCCTTATTATTAACTTATAATAAAGTTATAAGGATAAGAGTAATATAGAATTATCTATAATAAGGAGATATACTTAAAATAGGTTTAATTGAACTAATAATTCTATAAGGGATCTCTTAGGTCCTTATCCTTTCCAAGTTCCGCGTTCCCTTTTCGTTTTAATATAACCCCGAAGTATCTTTATACCTTAATACCTTTATACCTTAATACCGAAGCTATCCGAAGCTTATCTAGGACTTTCCTTGGTAGGTCGCCGAGGGGACGGCCTTAATACCCGATATTGTCCTCCTAACCCTAATGGCCTAATTATTAGTATAGGGTTCTATCCCCGTGTGACAACTACTTCTGCAACTGATATAAGTGCCTAGGGTTCGTCAGATATTACACTACAAGATATCATTCTCGTTCTCATATTCCTATATACAGGCCAAAGACCACCAATGCTGATTTCGCGAATCATGCCATCCATCGTGTTGGTTATTTGCGCGACTTTCGCGGGATGACTGACGGATACGAAAACACCTCCTTCTCGTGCAGCGTCCTATCAAACTCCGAATAGAGATAGGAGAACCCAGCGCCGACTGCTAAGATCACGGCGATGAGGATATAAAACAGAACGTTGGTCGTTGGGTCGCCGAACCCCCTGTTTCCGATCCGCGACCACAGCTCGCTTATAAAGCCCGGCTCGTCCCTTTTCCGGGCGATCGACCGTAGCGGAATCAATAGCCCAAACCCCGTTGCCGCCGACAGAAGCGGGACGGCGGACTTGAATGGACCCCCAGACTTTGCTGCTGAGGCGCCAGGGTGGGCCGCCGGAGAAGGGCTCGCGACGGGGGCGGATTCCGCTACCTGCTTCGCACCCTCGAGACTACCCACAAGGTATTGCTGCATGGTTTTGGTAGCGCCCGCCGTATGGCCAACATAGTCGTACGAATCCGTTGCGTCGGTTCCCGCACACTCTTTGAGTACGTCGATGCCGCCAGGGTGGTCTTCGGCGAAGGTCGTGAGGTTGTAGACTGTACGGCGGCACGGTTAGTTGAAGTGGGGACAACGTTCCTTTCTAGATTGTTGACGCTGACTTGCCTTTTCCGTGTACTGCCATCCATAGATCCTCGCGAGTATTGTGCTCGCCGAGCTGGGCGAGGGTGATCACCTGCGCCATGATAACGGTGTTGGTATCGCCAATGGTGTTGATTTGGTTCTTTAGAGCATAGGTTTAGAGCTAGATGCCCCCTACGGAGTAGGTGCACAACAATTAGGTGATATTCATGTCGGGCCTGTACATGATAATTCAGGACCTCAGCTGAGAGCTGAGAGCCATGGCGCCACGTGCGCGAAGCGTGCGCCAAGGTCGTATTACATGTGTCGGCCGCAGACTGCCCTGAAGGAGTTGCGGATATTCCCTTTCTGGGCTCGGCCCGTTCCCGTTTCGAAGGCTCCCCTCGTCTCCGGACGCCGGTCTCACTTCCTTCTACCGTTCGGTAAAAAGCGAAAGGCGTGATCTCGCCGCACGTCATACGTTGTCGACGTATCATGGACGCGATAAAACGTGCTTCAAAATGTGTATTACTAAGTGGTAAGAGGCTGCTAAATGCTGGCTTCCGGCAGCAAAATCGACCTCTCCTGTTCGTTTGATTTGCAATAGCCCCCCGGCCGTCATAGAGATTCGCCATGCTTGTACAATTCTTCATCGGTGAAGGCGCAGAGAAGCGCCAGCACGACATCGAAACTTCGGCGTTCGAGACGCTCGACCAGCTCAAGTCGTCTCTCGCGAGCAATTTCGCGTTTGCCGATCGTGAATGTGCGTTAGAAGTGATGCGGTTAAAGACACGGCGACAGTGACAGCTAACGGTCTTCTTCTCAAGCCCTGCGACTCCACAGCAACGGAAGAGGAAAGATATCGACTCTCGAGGATGTGAAATCGTGCAAGGACCCCGTCGAGGTGCGGGCAACGGAATATGATTCCATTCGCATCCCGCCGGGCCCCCGCGGCCTTCCGGTAGTGGGAAACCACTACGAGATATACCCAGACGCATTGGGGAACTATGATCGCCTCTTTGCACGATACGGCCCGATGATCAAGACGGTGAATATGGGCACCACGATATACCACACGAACGACCCGGAAATTGCGCGCTACCTACTGCGGGAGGGCGACCTGTTCACGAAGCGCACCTCGGATCCGTCGCATCCGCTGCACTACATGTCGGTGCAAGATGCTCTGTTCACATGCGACTCGGACTCGCCGGCCTTTGCGATGTCTCACAAGTTCGTGCCGCCCGCGCTGTCGCCGCGCGCCATGGCGCATTACACTCCGCACATGCAAGAAACTGCGCGCTCTTGCTTCCCGGTCCTGGACCAGCTGGACGAGAAAGACCTAGCTTTCAACGTCTATCACTTCACCTTCAAGCTCGCGTCCCAGATCATCTGGCGCATGATCGTCGGCGGCGACCTCGGGCACTTCAAGGCGGTGAATACGCCGCCGGCCTTACCCATCCGGCTGTTCGGCCAGTACCTGCGCCTCATGAAGCGGAACAGCCTGCGGCCGAAGTGGTACGGGAAGCTCCCGTTCGGGGAGGGCGCGCAACTGCGGTCGGTCGAGAAGCAGCTCTTTGCCGAGGTGCAGAAAGCGATCGACGCATGCACGGATGCCGAGGCGGACCCGCTCCCGCTGACCGACCCCAAGGCGTCGCTGCAAGCGTCGTGCGTGGCCGACTTCCTCTGCCGCGCGCGCGACTCCAAGGGCGAGAGGCTGCCGCCGGACATCCTGCTGGCCAACACGGTGGTGACGATCGGGGCGGGGTTCACGACGAGCTCGTCGATGCTGGCGTGGCTGCTGTACGCGCTGACGGCGTACCCGGGCAACCAGGAGCGGCTGCTGCAGGAAATCGTCGACCACGGGGCGGACGGCAAGCGGGCGTGGACGTACGACGAGGTGCACGCGCTGCCGTTCCTAGACTGCTTCGTCAAGGAGACGCAGCGCGTGCACAGCCCGAGCTTCCAGACGGCGCGCAACGCCAGGCAGGACGTCGTGCTGCCCGGCGGCTACCTGATCCCGAAGGGCTCGGTGGTGATCGCGTGCTTCCCGAGCATGCACATGAACCCGGCGCACTGGGATAATCCGCACCGGTTCGACCCGGACCGGTGGATGGGCGGGGAGCTGGCGCGGAAGCAGGCGCGCAAAGGCGTGTACACGCCTTTCGCGGCCGGACGTCGGGGCTGCGTTGGGCTGAACCTGGCGCTTCTCGAGGTGAAGATGGTGCTGATCGAACTTGTGTACCAGTACCACTTCGAGGACTCGTCGCCGGAGGCGGTCGTCTACGACCCAGAGTTTTTGGTAACGCGGCCCGTCAATTTCTACGCGAGCGCTAGAAGGCGGACGAGCTGGCCTGCGCCGCGCGCAAGGTAGGCTGTGCGGGTACTGATTCATGAGGCCATACCTACGGTGAGTAGGTTGGATGGATGGATGGATGGACAGGTAATGCCAACCAAGGCTTGGTTAGGCATCAATCAAGGCTTAGTTGGGTTAGGAGTTAGCGATACGTGATATTAATGCCATGTCATCACACGAAATGCATAGGATAATGCTATGTAATCACATAAAATGCCTAGGCATTCTACTTATCCGCCTGTTGTAACCACCCACAGCTATATCCGACAATTTCGGCAAGCCATGTTACGGCCTCAACACGACAGTATTTAACGCAAGGCTACGAGGCAGTACCGGGTGCCTCTGTCGTCCCCCCCCCCCTATTCCCGTAACGAATAATAAATCTTCTCATATACCAAGCCACCTTCAGCCGGGGCTTCAGGATGAACGCGGACATCGTGACCATGCTCTCAAACCTAAAAGCTACGAATACCGATTAAATGTTGATACGAGTGAAGACCAGAAGCGACCGTCTGTCCATCTATTCCAAGATGCTCGAAGGAATCGTAGGCCGTGTAGATAATATAAGAAGGACCTCGCTTAGGTATATTAGTTATTCGTAATCCTGCTCCCCGAATCCCGGGTTGATTATCCCTAGCCCCCCAAAGAAAACATACTTTATAGGGCATAACACTTGTAAAATCATGCCAGACGATCACGGGCTAACATGCAATCCTCTTTCCAGTATTCTGTTTCTATTAAGCCCGATTCAGACGGCCCTTCACTCATATAGTAGGTCTCGACCCCGGGGACGGACCGTTTGGCGAAGGCTACCACCAGCCTCTGGAATATTGTTCGCATATTCTGAATCAGCGTCGAAAAAGCTTTAGATTCCTAGTGATGTCCGGGGAATCATGTACGATGTGTAAATTTATGTGCGATATTATCATCGCAAATTCCTTCCCGCTGGACTATGAGACAGTACTCGATTTCGATTTGTACGAGTGGAAAGTGCCCTCAGTACCAATACGTACTCCCTCGGGTTCGGTCGAGTGTGTTATATTATATACTGACTCATATCAGCGGTATGTTGGCTAAAGAGAGTTTTGCTGTGTCCGGAAATGCTAATTTTCATGCGCGAAACCACCTAGGCAAGTCGATGATATTAAGTCTTGGCCCCGTGGGTATCCACCACTCCTCCTTCCTCAAACGACCTCGTCGAGTCAAAGTATCGACTGGATTAAAACACAGATAGAAATCTGCAAAGAGAAGGATCTCTGTTGGAGTCCGTTTTTCGAGCAACGCCTCCCGAGCCGGGTGCTAGTGGTCGGGGAGTCAGAGACCCATGTGAGGCTCCCCCTGAGCGAAACTGAGCAGCCTGGAGTGTACCTGTGCTTGAGCCACTGCTGGGGCCAGTTGCCGTCGGAGGGAAAGACCACTCGCGATAACCTTCAGCAACACAAAGACAGTATCTTGATTGCAAAATTGCCCAAAAATTTACAGGACGCCATCGATATAACTCGATGGCTCGGCGTGCGGTACCTTTGGATCGATGCCCTATGCATAATCCAGGAGGATGAGGAGCACTGGGCCAGGGAGGCACCGCAGATGGTAACCGTATTTGAGAACGCGTACCTTACTATTGGGGCGACGGCCTCCTCTGACAGCAACGGCGGCTGCTACCGTACCGTTTCTCGGACATGCCACAGCTGAGAACTTCCCTACGCTGACTAGGAAATTCTCGCGATTCATGTACGGCGATTACTACCTCGCCGGCGTATGGAAGAGCACGCTTCCCCAATCGTTGGGTTGGTATATAGACAGCGATGTCGTCAAGAGGCCTCGTCCTACCGAGCCCAGGGCGCCATCGTGGTCCTGGGCGTCTGTCCTTGGTGGTATCAATATGAGTCGCTACAAGGCACACCCCGCACCGGCAGTATCGCAAGAATACTGTCCTAAGTTGGTGGATGTGAACTGCGTCTCGTTAGACGGCGATCCTTTCGGACGTATCAAGTCAGGGGTCGTGACGCCGAGAGGTTTTATTACAGGGGCGTCATGGGAGGAAGAAGGAGGAGGCTTCAGACGCTACAACTTTTACCCCGACTACAAATTTCACCATGAAAGACCGACCTGTTTAGATGTTTCTTGCCTCTGGCTCGATTTCCGTTATGGTAGGTGGATGGGCCTCATTCTCCGACCAGTCGGGCGAGAGTGGGAGACGGTCGCGGGAGAGTACCAGCAGATCAGCCAATTCGAGCGCATAGGCCTCTTCCAGTTTTCCCGCTCTGAGATACATAACAATAATACTTTGCCCTGGAAAATAGTTGGGGGTGAGGAGGCAATTATAGGTATAGTCTAACTTGAAGGGCGGAAGGGCGCGAATCACTATTACGGTTCACTTGAGAAGGGAAGAGCTCGGCAAGATGGATGCTGAATATTAGAGTATTAGGTAGAAGACAGCAGGGTCGAATGGCCGGCCCTATTGTAGGTACTTAGATTTTAAAGAGGCACCTATGCCGTTACTCCGAAATCCCCGTAGCTTACGCCGGGCAGCTATTTTAGCGGATTCCAAAAAGCGCAGCGGAGTAATTCGAGGTAGGTATATTAATTATCCATGATATTGGTTATCCGTGTTCCATGGCTGGGTGCCATTCCTTTCTTGCCTGCTCATATCCATCTTCACCACTGCAAGCCTCTTTTCACCGCAGATCGAACTCATGATCACTCCGAGCCTTCTGGCGATCCTTCGCGGTGACGGCGCTACCGTTAGGGCCACGCGTTAAACAACTTCGGGTTCTAGCCTGAACCTATGCCCTGACATGCGGCATGACAACTGCTGCTCATTACCTACGTATGTGTTCGGTCTCCACGCCTTCGGCGCATCATCATTTCCCCACGACGGAGCGCCCCAACGCGGAAACTAGCCTCAGCATTGCGGTTCCGTCGGCGCTGGCACGGGCATGTATCATTCCTTCGGGTCAGCTTCAAAACGCAGCCAGCCGGCTGGGCTTAAGTACGGCAACCCGCCACTTTCCCAATGTGGTTCGGCCCGCGCGGCCGGGCTGAGGTTCCATCTCACCTCAGGACCGACGAGACAGAGAGGCAGATTGAACCCGACACGCGTCCGACGCGGCGAGCGACAGAATAAGCCACGCCACATTCCGCCGGCGGGGACGGCCAGCCTACCACATCATGATGGTGTCGAAGACCCGTGTCGGACGCCTTAATAGGGCGCGACATGCGACGCGCGACGTACTCAGACTCAAGGAATCTGTTCGGTGCCTTCGTTGATTGTCATCACTGCTGCCGCGCTACGAGTCCACGCTACTACGCTGCGCTGTCGTCCGAGTTAGCCACATTTCAACACGCCATGTGCGGAATTGCTGCCACCATTGCCCTGCCCCCGGCGGCCAGGGCTAATGGCTCTGCGAATGGTCTGAATGGCCACACTAACGGTGTCAACGGCCATGCAAACGGTGTCGACGGCCACGCTAATGGTATTAACGGCCATACAAACGGTATCAACAGTCATGCAAACGGTATCAACGGCCACGCGAACGGCGTCGACGGAACACATCCTGCCAATGGCTATGCTAATGGCTATGCGAACGGCGTTAACGGAAAGCACATTTCTAACGGCAACACCAGCGAAGCCCTCGCGAAGCAGCTCCAGGCTGCCGTCGACATCATTAACCACCGCGGCCCAGACGAGTCAGGCGTATGGGTGAGTGACGATGGGAGCGTCGGCCTCGGCCACTGCCGCCTCTCCATTAATGACCTCTCGCCGAGCGGGTCGCAGCCCCTGCACAGCGACGACGGCCAAGTGCACGCCATCGTCAACGGCGAGATCTACGACTACGACCGCCTGCGCGAGATCTGCGCCGGCGAGCATGGCTACACCTTCGGCGGCCACAGCGACAGCGAGCTGGTCCTCGCGCTCTACAAGATTTACGGCGCGCCTGCCATGTTCGAGCACCTGCGCGGCGAGTTCGCCTTCGTCCTCTACGACGCCCGCGAGGGCAGCAAGCGGGTCATCGCCGGTCGCGACCGGTTCGGCATCAAGCCTCTCGTCTGGACCGTCAGTGGTGACAGGCTCCTGCTGGGCGCCGAGGCCAAGTCGTTCCTCGGCATGGGCTGGCAGCCCGAGTGGGACGTCCACGCAATTGCCGACTCCGGCTGGATGATGGACGACAGGACGCTCTTTAAGGGCGTGAAGAAGGTCTTGCCCGGCCACTGGCTGGAGCTGACCGAGGAGCGCGGTTTGGAGACGCACAGATACTGGGATGCACAGTATCCGGATAAAGTGCGTCTTGACCCCTTACTCTCTTGGATCTAACTTGTGAAAACGGCTCCGGTAGCTGACTATGTACAGAAACAAGTCGAGACTCGAAGCATAGATGAGATGGTAGCTGGCGTCCGAGAGCGGCTCGTTGAGGCGGTTCGGCTTCGACTTCGCGCTGATGTCCCGGTTGGCATCTATCTCTCTGGGGGTATCGACTCATCTGCTGTCGCCGGAATTGTGACGGAGTTGGCAAGAAAAGAGCACGTGAAGATTGGCAACAAGCAAGCCACGCGCGTCGCGTGCTTCAGCGTTCAATTCCCTGAAGAATCCGGCTATAACGAAGCTGGTGAGTGTATCCCTGGCCGACTCAAGTGCACCGGAACTCTTGTAATAACCGTTGCTTAGACATTGCCGACCGCACGGCCAAGTGGTTGGGCGTTGAGACCGTCAAGAAGGACGTCACAGAAGCCACCCTGGCAAGGGACTTTGCCGACGCGGCCTTCCACTGCGAGCACCACCATTTCGACCTCAACAGCGTCGCCAAGTTCACGCTGTCTGAATTGCCGCGTGAGAACGGCGTAAAGGTCGTCATTACCGGCGAGGGTTCCGACGAGCATTTCGCCGGTTATCCGTACTTCCCCTGCGAATTCCTGCGCGAGCCCGACCTGTCGCGGCCTGACGAACCGCTCGCCCAGGACAACGAGAAGCGGGAGGCGATGCAGAAGGCGGCTTCGGCCGAGATGAACGCGATCTGGCGTGCGATTGGAGCCGAGACATACACTGGCTCCGGCGACAACGGTATCCTTAGCGAGGTGAATAACAACACGATGGTCAACAACCTGCTCGCGTGGCACCCGACTATCGGGCTCTTCGCGCCGTGGGTGCGCGACGGCTACGGCGGCACTCTCGACTGCCGCCGCACCGTCATCGCGTCGTACCCAGATGACGTGCGTCGCAATATGCAAGAGCGCTGGCACCCCCTGCACACGGCCGAGTACATCTGGAACAAGAGCCAGCTCGCCAACATCCTGCTGTCGTGCCTCGGCGACCGCACGGAGATGGCGCACAGCGTCGAGGCTCGCACGCCCTTCCTCGATCACCACCTAGCCGAATACGTCAACGGGCTGCCGCCGAGCGTCAAGCTCGCCTTCGTGCCGCCCGAGGAGGAGAGCAGCACCAACGGCCACGCCGGCACCGAGCCGGCCCACAAGAACCCGCTGTGGCAGGACGCGGGCTCGGCGCTGCGCTCGCTCAGCGCGAAGTGGATCCTGCGAGAGGCGATGCGGCCGTACATCACGGACGAGCTCTACCGGCGCAAGAAGCACCCGTTCCTGGCGCCGACGCGGTGGCCGCGGGGCGGCGCGCTCCACAGCATGTTCGAGTCGCTGCTGACGCCGGCGCGCGTCGAGCGCCTCGGCTTCGTCGACCCGGACGTCGTCGCAAAGGCGCTCGACGCCGCGTTCGGCGACAAGGCCGACACCCGCGCGTTCCGCACCCTGTGCTACGTCGGCGCGTGGGTCACGCTCTCCGAGAGGCTGGGCGTCAAGACGGCGACGGCGTAGGCGTCGGGCACGAGACAGACGGGACGCGTGTTCGATAGGGTAGGGCGGGTCTTCTCGCCCGGGAGCTTCCGGGCCGGTTAGGGTAGGCAGATATACGTGTAGAATATAGCGTGTCTAGGTCCCTTCTGGAATATGTGACTCACTATCGAAGCTATCTAACGGCTGGTTCTCAGCCGTGTTCTATAGGAAAGACACAGGTGAATGTTCTGCTGTTCACGAATAAGCCTCCGAACTGATGTAGTCGGACAGTCGTGACGTCGTCGGGGCAATGCAAGGTGTAGGTAGAAGCTCCTTGAATACTGAAATTCTGCGGATCGCTACGTTGTTGCCTGTCAATGTATCTTGGACGCGGGTCCGTCGGGGCGAACAACCTAGAAACTATCGCAATGACGCTCTAGGTATTTGTAGGGCACATAGAAGTAGCCGCGGTCACCCTACTGTGGCCCCTATGAGTTGCGGACGATGAACACCTTCTCCTGCCACATGTAGCCGACTGCAAGAAGCGAATGTCTCCGGTTTTTGTATTTGCCTCTCTTATCCTTGGCCGTTGGCAGCCCTGTGTAAGGATGTCAGTTATGGGTTAGGAGTGAAGACACACAGCAAGTCTCGACGTACTCATTGTATAATGATTATTTTCCTGGATCCTTCCTTCATAAAGCACACCGTACATTCTCATTATAAACAAGAACGGATATCCCCCGTCTAGGCACTGTATAAGCTTACGGTGCCTATTTTCGGGATGAATACTCTAGTAGCGTACAGCAAGCTTATGAGCGTGTCTCTCTGCAACGGCGCCCGGCTTCGTTACTACCTTGGCACCAGGGGGGAACTTATGGGTCTTCTTGTTGCTCTCGCTGACTTCGTAGGATCAATAACGCTCAGAGCAAACACCGTGACGGCTGCTGAGAGTCTCAATAACTTCCTCAGCAAGGTCCTTTTGAACCGCACCAGCAACCGGGCGGGGCCGTCCACTTGCGCGAACCAGAGCGTAGTACCAAAGGAATAGCCTAGAAGACGAAAACTCAGGTAGACCTTTTTCAAGGCCGAACTCAAATGCACTAGCAACGAGATAGGCAGTGCAGCTCCTCATAACCCCCTGGTTATAGACTGGTGGACAAGAGGCTCGAAGGTCGACTCCCAGGTTTAGCAGCTCGTGCACGGGATTATAAATTGGGTAATCACCATAATCCGTCTGGTCGAGAGGAGGGCCTCTATAGCCAGAAGAAGCGGCTTCCTCATCGCATGAGTCTTCCTGATCCTGATCTATCGACTGGGTTGTTGTTTAAAACCTCCCTTTCGTTACAGTTTACGCTTACCTCATCCTCACCATCCTCGTGAGTGCTCTGTTTTGATTCCCCGAGACGGGGCTCAGTTGGTCCACTGTCTAAATGGTGGCTATATTAAATATCATGTTATGAGATATCTATTCGTGACTTATCAACTTCTGGTGACTTACTCAATCATCCGCAGAGGTGTAGCACTCTTGTGGCCAGCTTTAAGAACGAGGTTGTGCTTGGCGTTGTAGACCTCCTCGTTAAGGTTCTTAATAGCAGTAGGAAGAGTACTGTTGATGCCAGTAGCATCAAGGGTCCCATTTTGGGTACGATAAGCAACATCGATTGCCCGAGCGCCTAATTTATCGTTATCTTCAACGGCACCTGCTAGAATTTCAAATAGCATTATTGTTGAGGCGATTATAATAGGATGGTGAAGATACGATCAATATGGCAGAGATGGAATTCAAAATGACAGTTCTCGCCCATATTAGACTGTGTTACTGTATAAGCCCATCTGCTATTCATACGTTCATATTTTGGGAGAATTGGTACATCACATCAATTATTGGCTTACAAGTCATGGCTCATATGCCACGACTCTTATCTCCCACATTGCAACTAACGATATTCTACATTTAGTTATGACTGGTAGTTTTTATGCGCTTGTTTCAAAATAAGAAAAGGGGCTACATGTCAACGTTGAGGGCTGGAGACATGATCATACAAGTGGCGCTTTGGGATACAATTTCGTTGCCAAGCAAACCTCGCGGTTGAGACCAAGCAGAGTTGCGCACGAGGGAAACGCATAACGGCCTGTGGCGACCTTTTTCAGGCCTCCGCAGGCCGGCGGCTATGCAACAGATATTGCGAAAGCATCAATCGATATTGTCTGCTTAGGCTTCATGGCTTGGCGGGTACTTTACGTTAAACACATCTGACAACTGTACTGTTTTTCATGAGCTGTAACACTTAGGCTGATACGCACGACTTGAGGTAAGCCTGGGGAGCTAATTAAAATGCCTCGTATCTAGGCGTCCTTCGGGTAAGAATGAAGAAATGATATTTATCACCCCATCGGATAGAGTCAACCTGCCTGATCCATACCTGATTTTCTCCCCGTCAGGAAAGGAAGCAAGGGAGACAGAAAAGCCAGGACGCCAGGCTTACTGTAAAATCAAGGTTGTATTAGAGGGGGGGGACAGTGTGAAACAACTCATGCTCGTCTACGTGGTAAGGTTGACTTATTTGCGGAATGGTTGTGCCGTCATTGTCTCAAATGTCTAATATCTCGAAGATCATAACAGCCTGATCCTTTTCCGCAGCGGTTAGAACCAGGGGCACAATTGGCACGAAGTGAAGCACAGAAGAAACAAGGAAAATGCAAGAGGGTCGTGCAACGTCTCATTGGGGCTGTGGCACTTCTCAAGTAAGTCAAGGGAGTTCATATAAGGAAGATGATAGGATGCCACTTCAAAGAGTTGGAGAGGGTTCTGGGCCTAGAGGCGGAGTACATTTCCTTTCTTGACAAGCTTTGAGTAGTTTTAACATTACTGTTATAATGTAGCCGACATTCAGTTGGTCAGTAGCATCATCTCGTATTCCTCATTTCCGTATTTCGGCCGGTCAAACTCACACAGCATGATGGATTGGGCGCGGATGCACCAAAGGTAATGCTTAAGGCATTGGCTCATCCAGACCTGGCGTCAAAAGATAATAAGGGCCAACCTAGTTGCGTCTACAAAGGGGGAGTCGTGTTTACTCTATGCCGCAGTCTCCAGTACCCCGCCCTCCTTATGCTGAACTACAACCAGACCAAACTATAAAGAACGGGCAAATCCTTTTTTCTTTCCTAGAACCTGGTTTATTTCCATACACACCTATGGTCTTCATGAACTATCGATTAAAAAGTCAATCTTGCTCGCACATCGATTTGTAAGATAGTACCCACAGCAATGGTATCCGGTATCAAGTAGGTCCTGATTACTTTTTAAGGTCAGCTCCATTCAAATAGTTGACACTAGCAGTCTCCGCCTTGAAGGTCGATGGGCCGGCCTTTACACGTATCCCGACGACGATGCAAAGAGATTCAAAACGGATGGAGAATCAGTTTTCACTGTGTATGCCGACAAGGAAGAAGGCCAAACCAAAATACATGGCGAAGGACAGGACAAGAGTGGCCCGTTCAGCTTCAAAGGACATGTCTCCCACGGTACAACCGTGACCTTTATTAAGGACTACAAGACTCATTCGTGGCACTATTCTGGAGCCATTGACCTGGAAACGAATATGATGTACGGAAGATGGGGAGCAAAGCAAGAAGGGGGGACTGGATACTTTGCCTTCCACCTCGTGAATAGACACAACACCAATGTATCCGCTGAGTATGTGTTTGCTTCTTTCTTTACAACCCATTCTGAACCCCGAGAAGATGCTTTGTATCAATGCTAATGAGGAGACAAATAGAGAACGACTTCAGAGCATTACGGGCAGCTGGTCAGGAGCCTACACGAGGAAGGGTTCAGACACCCCCCATTCGTGCGATTTGAAATTGAGAGGTGCAAAGTCCCAGATGGACGACCAGCTGACAATCCAAGGCACTGGAAACTCACCCAACAAATTCGAGATTGAAGGTGTTGTATCACCGTCCGGTCAGGTGGCTTTCGCTAAAATCTTTAGCCACAATATATACCTATATCGAGGGGTACTGACGGAGGACAATACTCGCATGACGGGTGAATGGGCTGGCAGTGGGGTTTCTGGTGGCTTTGACTTTAGCAAGGATGTTTGATGGGGACAGACAACATTATGCCGGGGTCTACGGAGGTAGTGGTAGCTCGGATATGGCGTAGTATGTCGAGAATGGCTTTACTGTCTGGCAAGTAGTGAGGTTGTCTGGAAGGTGTATCAGATCAAGAGGACATTGACAGCTGATAGAAATCCACAAGGGAACCCATAGGTGTCTTAGTTATCACATAAATATAGGGAGTACTTGTTCTTATACGCAAAGCCTTTCATTGTAGCGGTCCGTAGACAACACCAGTAAATACCTAACACAGCCACGGTAAATAAACCCTAAGCTACAGTTTTAAATCAAAGAGGTCAACTGAAAGATGATAGATATTATGTTGCCCATGTGTTAACACAGAACCGTGCGCGTAATACATGTATGAAAAGATGTAATAGAAAGTGTAGTCAACTTTTGTCTTCACAAGTTTGTGACGGTTCTAGGCGTTACGCGGCAAGGAAGGTGTGAGAATAATGTCAAGCATACTTAAGTAAAAGGTGAAGTACAAAAGAGTGGGATTTTGCCAATGGCAGTAGTACGAAGTTTAGCCAAGTATAGAAGTAAACATAACCAAGAGTGACAGGGGAATCTATTTCTACCTAACATCAAGTAATGGTGATTTTCTAAGATAACGTAAAGGGGATCATCAGGCTGATGTTTTAATAGGATATTACAAGGTATTCATGCCTGAAGGCTGGCTGATTAGGGGCGTGCCACGTTATACTAAAATTTGGGGGACATTAAACTCGAAACGTCAACAATCTGTGCCATCATCACATGTTCGCATTCCTGTTGCAGCATTGCAGCATAACTTGGGTACAGCTTCAGCGAACTTTTCAGCTAATAGCGTTTGAGTATGGCCTCAACGAAGTCGATCATCTCGTCGCTGCGTTCGTGGCCAACTGCACCTGGCACTATGGTAGATACTTGACGCTCAGGCGCCGGCAACCACAGCGGCCCCCAAGCTCAACTTCTCTCGCTTCAAGAAAACGGATGTGATGGTTTGCAGGGCACCGGCCGTGATGATGAAGATGTACTCGAGGTTGATGGTGTCCGAGACAGCGTTAACGATACGCTGGCGGACCTCCGGCGACGCGTTGGAGAAGACTGTGGAGCCGTGGCCGGCGAGGGCATTCATGACCTGGGCGTCCGAGAAGCCGAGACCGTCGAGCGCGTTGGCGACGTTACGGAAGCCCATGTTCTGGAAGACCGCCGAGCTGAGGGTCAGACCGAGCACCATACCGCCAATCTGCGCCATGTTGATGAAGCCAAGGGCCTCGGGCACCCGGTTCTGCTCCACCTTGGTTGACGCCACGGAGTATGCGGTCTGCTGTGTGAGCCCCGCCCCGATGGCCAGGATCACCGAGAACCCGTAAAGGTAGGACGGTGGGGTCGTGGCGTCGACAGCCGCGTAGAAGAGCGCTCCCGCGATCGTCGTTAGAATTCCGGCCACGAAGAACCAGGGCATGTAGTACCTGCGGATCCATGTTGAGCAATGGCTTGTCAGAGGGAATAGGGGCTATGCATCTCTCACTTACCCAAAGCGGGGCATCATCGCCCCCTGAAACATGTTCGCGGCCACACCGATGATGATGAGTGGGAGGAGGCGCACCGCGGCGGCCATGCTGTTATCCCCGTAGACGAATTGCGAGTAGAGTGGAATATCTAGGTAGCCGTTAACACTGTGCCTTCTCAACCGGGATTGATCTTGGCTAGGAACCCACAGTATACAGGGATGAATAGCGCAGCGGACGCCGAAGCTTGGCAGATGTAAAGGAGGATCAGGTCCTTGTTCAGGAGGAAGTCCCCGGGGAATAGACGGTTCTCCTTAGTGGTCAACACAGTGAAGTATTGGCTGAGGACAAAGGCGATCAAGACGACGCCAAAGACAACCCATAGCGCAATGATGGGGCCCTCGTTCCACGCCCATTGGACACCGCCAAACGTCACGACCACGACGAAGAGGGTATACACAGCCGCATACAATACCACACCGACCCAGTCAAGGTGCCTGATCTTGTACAGGAATGACACGTTGGGTTGGAAGCTGTATGGTTTGATCATGAAGAGTAATACGGGGGCACACAAGCCGAAGAGTACGACGTTGAGGTAGAAAGCCTGTGTCATCGAATCAACAACGCGTTCGTATAAATGCTTGGTTGACTGTGACGGGACAGCATTAGGCCGAGTTGCTTACCCATCGCCACGTGGCGTTACTATCAGCAAAGGCACCGCCGATGATGGGGCCAAGGACGCAACCTGCACCCCATACAAGTCCGCTGATGGCGATATAGAAAGATCGCTCGCGAATATTCGTGTTGGCTGAGATTAAGTTTAGGACGCTGGGAACGCGAATTAGAATGACAGCGCCAAGGCGAGAGAAAGGGGAGAGGAGAGGGGGGGACATCCGCGATGCTTACCCGAGATACATCCCTGCACCTCCAGCTCCCGCCCAGACTCGCCCGATAATCAATCCATCCATGGTCTTGACGCTATATCAGTTCCGGCTCTACAATGGCTGGCTGTGAGGCATGCTTACCGGCGTGGCGCCGCACAGAGCGCTGGCAGCGGTGAACATGACCATGCTGCTGACGTAAAGCCACTTATTGTCGAACTGGCCGTATGCCTTTCCGCTTTAGCGAGTGTCAGAGTCAGCCTCAATTCTATTTTCACTTTTTCTTCGGGAAAAACTTTTTTTCCGCGGTCGTCTGCGACCCGTCGTGGAAACTCACAATACCAACATAGTCGCGACGCTCCCTAGAGGGAACCCGATGGCCAGCCACCCCAGCTTGCCGACCTCTGAGAGGTCGTAGACAATGGCGCCCTGGATGTCGGCCACGATGGTCGTGTCCAGGCCGTATAGGAACTCGCTGCTGTAGATGGCCGCCAGCACTAGGAGCCACTGCAGCCGCGTGTAGCTACGCGCCGGCGGCTCCCCCTCGGTCTCGCTAGCTTTCTCATTCTCGGAGAGGTCGTTCACTACTGGCGCCGAGTCCGAGAAGCTAGTGCTGTGGGGCTTCTCCCCGGAGGACTGGCCAGCCTCAGTAAGGCTCGAACCCGACACTACACCCCCGGCCATTGCGAGGAACTGTCTTTATCGCACGTAGTCTCCTGTGGCAGGAGGGGGAGGGGGGAGGGAGGAAAGGGGGTTCTCTGGAGGATTGACAAGGCGCGATTGCACAAACGCGAACTTCATGTAGACGTCTCTGGCTGCGACAATAAGAAAGCAGAACGAGAACACAGCCTCTCTACTGGAATCTTGGACGTAGAAACCGGGTGGGCCTAGCTAGTAATCGGACCGTGGCTAAGCGGTGCGAGACGATACAGGGATTGCGGCCCGTTCCCAATACGGAAATCTTGGGCAGTTTCGGCCAATCACATAACACGCGCTTGGGTTGGCAGACCGACCGGCCGTGGAATACATCTTGCCGCGAAGATCCTCCGGTTCCTTCGAACAAGCACGTTCACGATGATGACTGAACTGGCTGACCTCATCATGGCTTGGCCGTGTTAGAACGGGGCCGGAACGGTCTGGTCCCCTTTCTTGCTAGCGGTTTGGTACGAGGCATCGCCTTATATCATCCTAGAAGACCCGCTTGGCAATGAGCACGTCACGTTTCAATCTGAGCCAACTACACTGTCTGTCTAACCAAAATTTTTTTTTCTTCGAATCCTTCCAGCAAGGCGCCTGAGCGCAGGCCCTCTCAGCTCTAGTAATGGCTCTCTTGGGGGCACGAATCGCGCTGTTCGGGCTCTCGGCCCTAGCCGTGCTTACTCTCCATGGCTACTTCTACGCCGACGGCAATCTCCAGGCGATGCAGAAGCACGCGCACGAAGGCGTGTTCAGCAACGGAAAGACGCTCCACCACGTCTACTCGGGATACCACGTCGTGGACAAACTTCTCGCCATGTCGGTCAGCTTCTGGGACCCGGTGTGTCACGAATCGCGCGTTGCGAAGCTGCTCTCGACGACGCTAAGCGCGACGCTGCAGTCGCTCGGCGTGTTCGCCATGGTCGAGAGCCTGCGGAACGGCAACCGAAGTATCATGTTGCGCTGGTAAGTCGCCACCAGACAGATCTGATCGCCGACCCGAGAGGCGAAGGGCTAAGTAAGCATCTCAATAGGGCCCCCGTGCAAGTGTTCGCCTGGCAGTACATCGGCGCCGCCATTTTCGTGCCGATCTACTTCGTCGTCGAATTGGAGAGCCATTTCACCGACAAGGCGACCGACCCGGCAGTCCCATACCTGCAGGCTAAATCGCTGCTCCCAGCCTCGATCCTGACCGTGATGCACCTGTTCCGGATGGTGTATTTCCCACCCGGCAACATCACCTCGTCGCAGCACCAGGCCTTCCTGGCAGTCTGGCAGCTCGCGCCCCTTTTCTGCTACTGCGCCCTCTCAGCCATCGCGAACTACCTCTCCTCGGGGAAAGGGGACACGGTGACGAGAGCGCGAAATGCCGACGTACCCTGGGTCAAAGCCACCTACGCAGTCTTCGGCTTGTTTTCAGCCCTAGTGCACCTAGGGGTGCAGTGGACCCTGGCCACCTCCGCCGATCCCGGCGTGTCCCACTCAGCCGCCTACGTCCCACGCCTCGACAAGCTGTGGCAGGCGGATGCGGCGGCCAGAGTGTACATCGAGGAGACCACCTTTTTCCTGCAGTGGGACTACGTGATCATCGTCGCGGCCAGCGCCGTGTACGCGGTCGCGATCCTGGAAGGTGTGTACGGAAGGTTTGCGGTCGGCGCTCGGGCCGCGCTGTTCCTCGCGACGTGCGCCACCTGCCACGTAGGGAGCGCGGGGCTGGTGTACGCTGCCGTGCTGTCCGTGAGGGAAGACCATCTACGGGGGCAGTTCGCGAAGAAGCAGGAGAAAGCCCGATGACGACGGGAAGATGAACATGAGTGAATGCATTGTAAATGGAGGCAGAGGGACGTGGACATAGAAGAATAGCGAGACGTAGGTAGTTGGGGGCGGAAACAACAAGTCGTCGCCGTACCCACCGGGAGCAGCTGATCATCAGGACACATTTGTGGAACGTGTGCGAATTTTGCGCTGGAATTGCGTCTGCGTTGGGTGCGAAGGATCGGAGATGCTGGCCTAGCTGATGTAGGATGGAGGAGCAGGAAGATGGATGGGTACACCGCACCCTAGAGACGGGATGTATACGAAGATCGTAGACTAGTTGGGGCCGAGTTGTGGGAGAGGAGGGGACAGAAGACAACCGAATTTTCCAGAGGCTCGGTAACTGGAGGACTTCTTTTAATAGAGCGCATTCTTACCTAATTACGATAGATTTAATAAGCTGGACGTGGGTGACGAGGCGTTCTTGGCTAATGTAGGTATATCACGTAGAATGGTATCGAAGCCCTCGTTGCCTAACTCGGAAGTGTAGAATATCTACATTGTACTAGAACCGAGTAAGAAATAATGCTTGTAATCACAAGACTAGCACTTTCATCCCATACACATTGAACCTTGAATCAAGTTGGGGAGACCTTCATGTGATAGGTATGTAAAATCTAGACTGCTGAATCAAGTCTGTTATAAGTTTGCCCCAGCCATGTATTATTCTAGCATCTTGTTTTCTCTCTACCTGGCATGGTTCTCCGCGCGGAAGTCTAATATGGTCTCCGTAAACTGTTTTATTTGGCTTTGCCCGCCGAGTCCTACGAGACTTGTGATGGGGTTGGCGTAAAGGGGGTCTTGCGGCCCTGCCAAAATTGGTTAACCGCCACCTATCTATTGGGTATCCAGTCCTATTAAAGTGGTTCCTCTCCCGCGCCGTGTATTCATGCCTCCCTGATTCAAAGCCGTAAACGGCAAGCCGTTGTATCCGGTACTGTGATGGGGTGATCCTTGTCCGGCACTGAAACTCCTTGCTAGGCACCGTTGGTGATGTACGGGCACTTGTCCAGGGCTGCCCTCAGTATGCTCCCCGCCTCCTGAACCCTCTTCTCCGCCTCGGCTAGCAGGTCTAGATGGCCGTTGAAAGTCCCCGGTCGAGCCTTGAGCTTTTCCAGAAGCCGCCAAAATTGGTCTAGTTGTATGGATACGAGGCAGCGAAGCACCTGCATCTGCTCGTAGGCGTCCTCTATGCGGTAGGACAAGAAGTGCACTCCCTCGCCACTGCTATCGGGAAAGGGGAGAGGCGCGTAATCCCCCAACATCCTAACGTAAGACTTGATAAGGTGTTCGTAGAGTGTGCTGATGTACCGTCCTGCCATGGCCACGAGCATGCTGTTCGAACTCGTCGACGAACACTGTTTGCACTCTAGAAAGGAAGAAAATCTGTTTAGCGCCCCCCTAAGATAGCATAAGAGCGCATCCAGCGATTCGGCATCGGTGCTGCCACTTTTGGCGCCGAGACTTTCCAGAAAGCGGGCCGTGAGCTGTAAGCAATTACAGCCGTCGGGGGAATGCTGCTCCAGGTGATCGACTGTCTGCGGAGGCGTTAATCGGGGGAAGCCATGGTCGTCGAGTGCCGCGCTCAGCTGCGATCCAGCCTGCGTCGATACCGTCCCAGCCCTGGATCGACGCATGAGATCGTCTGAAGGCACGGCAGACGGCGAGCTCGTATAGGGGCTTGCCGAAGATGACGAATGCCCCCGCATCGATGCTGTATCGCTCTCGTCAGCCGCCATTGTCGAAGATGTAGAAGTGAGAGAGGATAAAGAGACAGAACGCAGCACGTACCGTTCGCTTTTGTAATCATCGCCTCCAGCGCCTTATCAGCATTCCCAAACATCACCTCGCTATTATTATTATATCCTAATAGAGCCATCGGCGACGCCGAGCCGCTAAACGCGTCGTTATATTCCCAGACGTCGAGGCCACTGATGCTGTCAGCGCTTGGCGGAGGAATTCCTCGGTCGATGTTGAACTGCTCGGAGTTGAGATCGGTAATGAGGTCAAGCATATCCAGGTCTCTGTCGCCGCCGAGGGGGGGCCGTTCGTGGTTGCCTAGTGGGAATGGCGAAGGTTGCCGGAACTCATCCTCCGCAGGCGGCGGCCGTCTGCGGTCCCCTTCCTTCGCTGCCGCCGTCTCGCTGCCCGCATTGCTATTGGTTGTGGAATCCCTCGTGTAGTTACTCTGCGTACACTTTTTCCGGCGGCTCTCGCGAGCCGGGTACTGACACTCGATGCCGGCCGCGATGCAACGCTCGCAACCTGTCGCCTCGCCGCTGCACTTGATCTGTGGTGGTGAGGCGAAGCGTCAGTCAGGCCGCCAACATGACGGGTTCGGGCCGGGTGCGGGATAGACTTGGGAACTCACCTTCCGAGCCCGGCAAAAGCCACACGACACATGCGGTTTGCTTCTGCGGCTACGACTCAGGGCCGCTGCAGGGTCGGTATCCACGAAGGTTAACAACTCGTTCTGTTGGTCGGTGATCAGCGAGCCGAACATCCTGCTGGTAGACGCGGTGCATGCAAAGTACGCTCCGGGTCTTGTGATCAATTTGCGAGGAGCTGGGTAATCAGGCGCGGCGACTATTAAACCTAGGGCTCGAGAGCTATTTCAACTCAAACAGTAAGCTTCTGAGGCCAGCAATACACAGCTCGTCATTAGTTAAATACTAGGTCCTACGCCGCGCTAGTGTGGCCAGTCAGAACTGAGTCTCCCGAATATCTTTTCTTTCTATAGCGTCATTATAAATACCCTACGGCCTATTTTTACTGGGCACGCCTCTCCCGTATGCATCAAAGCGTGGATACCTATAGGCCTGGCGGACAGGAGCGAACACCGGCATGGGTCATCCCGACTGTTACTGCCCACCTGGTGCTCCTCACGATTATGTGTGATGATATGACTGCCGTCATATCATCCTGGTAATAATAATAGCAACGGTACGAAAAAAAAAAAGACTAAGTCTTAGAGTAGGCTTTCTCTCTCGCTCTCTATCTCTCGCGCGCTCTGTGGGGAGATCGTAACCTGGGCTGACATGTATGTAATTAAACGGGCACAGAACCACGATACTCCATAGAGTGTGGGGCTGACAAGGGAGCTTGGTCTGGGCTAGACAGACGCCACGGCCGTGGTCCTAGAACGGTGGCCTAATAAAATTGGGAAGACTTGTTGTGGGTGAGCCTGCAAGACACCGTACGATGATAGTGCCGCAGCGGTACATGCGCACTGCAATTTCAATTCAGCTTAGGCGAAACATTCAGCGCCCGGGATTTAGGGCCTAGGGAACCTCTGGAAGGCTTTCTCTTAGCCTCTCCACGACGAATCCAGTCTGAGGTGCGTGTGTATGTAGATTACCTTCCTAAACGATGGGTGGCTAGACAGGTCTTGGCGGACAGGGCCTCTGGTTTCCTCCTCGTACGGATCGAATGCCGAGCCATATTATGTGAGCCCCCTTGGCTATGGCGAGGATTAGTCACAGGCAGGTGAAGCAATCTAGACACTGCAGAGAGGCCCCAGATTCGGGCCCGAGCCGTGTTCGGTCAAGTGTGTGTTTCTCGCGTCCCGCCACGAGCAAATAAACCGGGTGGCCTGACGGTAGAGCCTGGTGCGGAACAATGCACGATCAGTACCAATGGCGGGCGATGTAGGGGAAGGAAGACGGGTTGCGCACGACTGGCTTATGCGGCCGTGATGGCAAAAGAGGGGCGACAGAGTAAGCTGCAGGCTTGGGAGTAAGATTGTGCAAGCAGCAGAGAGAGGTAGAGAGGTAGAGAGGCTAGAAAGAATCGAGTAGATAAACCAGGAAGCGGCTTTTGCGTACAGCTAGCTGAAGATGTTTTCAAGTCTCTACTCTTTTCTCGCCATCTACTATATTATTACCAGGGGAGGCTATAATAGCCGCCGCGCCAATAGCGAGTTGCCGTCTCTTTGTGCAACGGGCTTCATAGCGCAATGACAGACAGCAACCAGCACAGTGCACATCCGTGCCCTAGTCGTATTCGTGTCTGCGTATTTGCTGTTCCCAGTTCTCCCCGATGCAACCGCCAGGAAGGAGGAGGAGGAGGAGGATACAGCATGCCCACACGATATGCCAACACGCAAATCAACAACCCCGGTGCCTGCCGACTCCGCAGTTAAGGATTGAGCAACGACAAAGGTACCAATTCGTTATACGTTCTGTTGTTTCGAATCCTCAATATGGTGACGTGGGAAGGTGGGGGAAGAGACTTAGACCGTGGCTTATAACTTGCCGGGGGAAAGGAAAGGAATAGGCCTGTAGGAGGTAGGCAGGGATGCTCGGATAGTTCGTAGTGTTTATTGTCCGCTGCTGTACGTATGTACGTACAGGCTGGCCACCAGCATCCGGTAGCGCGTCCGAGCGGTTAGCTCAGCCTTATCTTAGATGGGTTGCCCATGGACGTGCGAGTGGGCGACGACGACGACGACGACGAGGCCGGATGACCCAGTGTGTGCGCCCGTAGATTCCTGCCCCTCCTGGCGATTTAGCCTGCGCCAGGGAGAAGACGGGGCCAGGAGAGGCAAACCAATCCTGAAGATGGATATAATTAGCTAAAGGACGGGGAACTTAGTGAAGGGGTCGATCAGCGCCCGACGGCGTAATTGCACGACGCCTTGGTCCGGCACGACGATGCGGTGTGCCGCTTGGCGCTCTCAGCTGAGGGACAGAACGTCGACGGCGGAGAGACTTGTGCCAGACATCCGCCGGCGGGGTGCCCAATAGGTCCCCGACGCCCCAAAAAGATCCCTGGGGGTCGCAGTGGTTAGTAATCCGGCACTACCACATCAGTGGGGAATCGCTAAAAAAAAAAAAAACGTGGGCCTGCGAAGGGTACGGTGCCTATAGAGCGGTACCTAAACAAGCGGCACCTCAACAAGGACGGCACCTAAACAGCCCTAACTGCGTGAGGGCCTGAGCTCCGCCCTGGGTCCTGGACGGGAGCCGGAGGCGCAACTCGCCAATCGTGGGTTGTAAGCTTAATAATGGTGGCTTCGGCCCGGCTCGACGCGGTCGACCTGTCAAAGGGACTGAGAATATAAATCCTAAGCCCCCAAAGCTTCGGGATTAGCTCTGCTGCCCTCTATCCCTCCTGTCTCTTCCACCCCTCACCACAATCCATCCGACCTCTGTCAACCAGCACAAGCACCCCCCGGAAACGCACACAACTCGACCATTCCTTCGCCATGTCGGACTGCAAGACCTACTGCTACCCCGGCGCGGGCGAGTGGGCGCGGAAGGAGATGTCCTATTCCCAGGCCATCCGCGTGGAAAACCGCATCGTCTGTTCTGGCCAGGGTATGTATTCCCCGCGAGCCCCCCCCCCGTTCTCGCGTACTCAAGACTAACAAAGACGTCCGCAGGTGGCTGGGACCGTCAGACACTCGAATTCCGACAGACGCTAGACGAGGAGGTGGACCAGGCGTTCGAGAACGTGGATGAGAACCTGAAGCACGCCGGAGGCAAGGGTTGGCCCCAGGTCTACCGCGTGGTAACCTACAGCACCAACATCAAAGCTACGCACCAGCGCATCGTTGACAACTTCCGCAAGTGGATGCCGGACCACCAGCCCGTCTGGACTGAGATCGGCGTCAAGGAGCTCGGCATGCCCACCATGCACATCGAGATCGAGGTTGAGGCCTTCGACCCCCAGGGCGCGGCCGAGGCGACCAAGAACTAGGCGGACTGGGCGTTTGGAGAGGGAACTAGAAAGGAGAAAAAAAACCCCCCAAAAACACATAGCTTCACCCCCCTCTCACCCCCACTCCCACCCCGCTCGTATTCATAGACCGCCGGCCATACTCTATCGAGGTAGCTTTAGAATATAGCGTGTTGATCCCGTCTTCTTGGTCTTCGAGTACGCAGTTACTGCTTATCGCTTACGTGACAGATGTCGTCATAATGCTGGCGGGTAAGGGATGAGACGCAGATGCATTGCCATCAGCGCGAAGTAGTTGCGTTGTACCGACGCGTATCAAGCAAATGGACACGAAAAACTAGAGCGGGTAGATACGATCCGGCACGGAGCGATGGCTTGGTGCTGCATCTCTTGTGTGACCATGACCTTGCTGGAACCTCGACCGGCGCATACAATAGCCACGGTAGGAAGACTGCAGCCGGAGGGATTTAGGGCGTGTGGGCAGGGTCGTAAGGTGAGAAGTCGAGGACTGGGGGTATCGGACCCTACCAGGGATATAGGCATATGCACTTCCCTAAGGCGGAAAGCCCGGCGTTTCGTGCCATCTGATAAGCGGGGTGAAGCTGAGCCATTTTCCGAAGGAACGCGCCGCCCGCTGCGCCGATGTCTCCGTCCCGCCCGCTGTGATCGCCACTGGTAACCTACAGACAGAGTTCGACGGGTTGCTGCCCGGACGCGGTTCAGGAGCGAAGTCCGTTTCGTGGAGATTCGTTGCGCACACGTGGCGAGGGGGGATGCATATACCAGGGTATACCATACGAGGGCGTTGGGAGCTCCCGGTTCACCCTCGAGGATCCAACCATGTCGGTCGCTAGCCGCAGGAAGACGTACCTACACAGTATGGGCTGACGGCTACCTGGGAACGTCACGACTAAAGGTATGAGATGCCGGCAGAAGTATCATGACAGCAGCAGCATCATGATCGATCCTGTCTTAGAGGGACTTGGCGAGAGGATGCTACTGCGAGTCAAAAAATTCCGTCTGACACTTAGCTTTGCTTGGCCTGAGCTTCGCCGATTGATTACGTAAGTGCACACAGCTGGCAGGGTCAGATTGCCAAGATGCGAAGGAAGGCTGCTGCATGGCGGCAGGGGGTACCGGCTATTTCAGAACCTCGGCTGGGATTCTCTACACACACAAAAAAAAACACATTCACACATTTACACACACACACAACAGACCATCCCGATTTCGACCACGTCAACCCATTTCCAACCTGGTTCGTATTTGCATGCTAGTAATACATTCGTGATACCCGCCCGCGTCCTGCCACGCCAGCCGTCCGTCACGTCATTAGTCCCCTGATCCTCGCCTGGGCAATCGCCCACTCCATGGCTGCGACGGCTGCACGGGCTGCGGTGGCACCCTGTGGTGGTGAGTGACCCCCGTCGTGTTCCAGCCGCTTCATCAGTTTCTCATCGCATATACCACGAGTTATCGTTGCCATCCCCTGCATGAAATCTGCATCGCGCTTCCCTAGCACGTGTACGGTGGGGATATGGACTCTCTGATCTAGCACCGCCGGAACCATGACTCTTGGCGCCTCGGAGAGGTCGGGCCCGGCCCTGGTGTAGACGCTTACGTCGAAGTCCGGTAGCATCGCGTTGTGTGCCCTGGCCGGCACTAGCACTTTCGTAATCACGTCCGCGAGCGCGCGCTCTTCCGGCGTAAGCGCCGACGTGTCCGCCGCCGCTCCCGGCGTCAGGTCGAGCCCGCGCGTGCGCAGCCGTTGGATGGCCTCCTCACAACAGCCCTCGTGCGGGGAGACGGCTAAGACGGAGGAAAAGCACATGGCGAAGCCGAAAGGCGACGGCTCGCCACGCCGTTGTAGTTCGTAGAGGTAAGACACAGCGAGGGCCGCGCCTTGGCTGAAGCCGACGACGCCGTCGAACGGACCTAGCTCTTCGATGACACCTTCCAGGTTCTCTATGGCCTCGGCCATGTGACTTGGCGTGTAGCTTTCTGTATGGGAGTAGAAAGTTCCCTGGTCGAAAGCTTCCATTCCTACCGCAACATGCCATAGTCAGCTAATCGCGGTCTAGTTGCCAGGGTGGGACTGTCGGCCCCGTCTTGGGCAGTAGGCCAAGAGTCCACGGAACCGGGATTTCTTTTCCCAGCGTACCTGGCCCCCTTGCGGATTCTACCGGTCCGTCGACGAAGACGAACTCGTAGCTCGGATCTGCGGCTTTGACGAAGGCGGCGAACTGTTTCTCGCAGATGCTGCCAGAGCTCCCGACGCCGTGCAGGCAGAGGAGTCTCATTTTGGCAGCGTGGGACGTGTGAATCGAGGAGAGAAAAAGACGATCGCTATTTTCTCTCGTGTTGCAAGAGGCGCTGGGCTCATATTTCGCATCCTTCGCCCGTGGGCCGCCCGGCTTATTTCAGGATCCAATATTTACCAACACGTTTTCGAGTAGCACTGTAGGCAGAAATTAGAGCGGAAAATTCTCCCGGTGCGAGCCCTTCCCTGTTTTGTCCGAGACCCTGGATTTGTCCATTTTGATCCAACGGGTCTGGCCCCTTTGGGAAGATTCCGTCATCGCCGCGTTTCAGCTCGAGGCTCAGCTCAGCCCTATTCGGGCGGGTCAGCGAGGCTGATGGCAGCCGGACATCTCGATTAGCTTGTGGCCGCGCCGGTGCGCCGACGAGATGATGACGACAACGCGAGGTGGAGTGAGGTCAACACACATTTACCGGCGCTGCAGACATATGAATACTGTCGGCAGAAGCTGTGTGCATTCCTAGACTTCTCATTCCTTCAACAAACCTTCTTCACATCCAAAAGCCGTCAAGTCGGGGCGCGTGCGAACTCTCCCATACCCACTATTCAACATCAGACTCTTTTAAACATAATCAAAATGAGTTTCGGCGACAAGGAAGAGCCCATTGCCATCATTGGGGCGGCGTGCCGTCTCTCTGGCGATGTGTCTGCCTTAGGCGACCTGTGGGACATGATCAGCAAAGTCAAGACTGGTCACTGCAAGGTCCCAGCCGACCGGTGGGATGGCGATGTCATGTTCCACCCCGACCCCGACAGGAAGGGTGGTGTAAGTTATCCTAGCCTCCGAGAGATGGCTGCTCGTGTTGGTATTGACCAAGTTTGCAGTTAGCTGTGAAGCACGGCTACTTCCTCCAGCAGGATATCAGCCACTTTGACGCCCCTTTCTTCTCCACGACAGCCAAGGAGGCCGCTGCCATGGATCCGATGAAGCGACTTCTCCTGGAGGTCAGCTACGAGTGTATCGAGAACGGTGAGCACTTGTGTGTGATTGAATATTCATAAGGCATAGCTGACCGGGATGATCCCCACCATAGCCGGTATCCCCGTCGAGAAGCTGTACAACTCTCAAACAGGATGTTATGTCGGATGCATGAACAACGACTACGAGATGCTATCTCTACATGATATTTATGATATCGGCCACACTGCTGCCTCGGCCACCAGCGAGGCCATGACGGCCAATCGTGTCTCGTGGTTCTATGGCCTGAAGGGCCCTAGTTTGACCCGTAAGCATTGGCACGCTTTTTATTCTATAAGGCGGGAATGATCTGACCAAGCGCTCTAGTCGATACCGCCTGTTCCTCCAGCTTATACGCGCTGCACTTGGCGTGCCAGTCGCTCAAGCTAAAGGAGACTGACATGAGCCTGGTGGCTGGTGTCAACTTACTCATCAACCCCAACACCATGCACCAACTGTCAGCCATGCACATGTTGAGTCCAGAGGGAATTTCTCACACTTTCGACGATCGGGCGAACGGTTACGGGCGAGGCGAAGGAATTGGCTGCCTGGCTGTGAAGCGGTTGTCAGACGCCATCCGGGATGGCGATACTATCCGCGCCGTCATTCGTCACACCGGCGCCAACGCCGATGGCAAGACACCAAGCATCACGCAGCCCAGCTCCGAGGCGCAGGCTGAGCTGATCAAGAGAACCTACGAGATGGCCGGGTTGCCACTCTCGTCTACACAATACTTCGAATGCCACGGCACTGGCACTCCTGTTGGTGTAAGTCGTGCCTTTCTCCACATTTGCCTTTGTCAAAGCTCTGGACTAAATAATCGCATAGGATCCTATCGAGCTTAGGGCGATCGCATCGACTCTGGGAGCTGCTCGCACGAAGGAGGGTCTCGGACCCCTCTATATTGGCAGTATCAAGCCTAATGTCGGCCATACCGAGGGCTGCTCCGGTCTTGCGGGTGTTTTCAAGGCCCTGGTTTGCCTCGAGAAGGGAAAATTGGTGCCAACGTATGGTGTCGAGCAAGTGAATCCCAAGCTTACCTTCAAGGAATGGAACCTCGCCCTGCCCGAGACGACAATCAACTGGCCCAGCAGAGGGCAGCGCCGGGTTAGCGTCAACTCATTCGGCTTCGGCGGCGCCAACGCCCATGTGATCCTCGACGACGCTTACCACTACCTGAAGGCCCGGAGCCTTCCGGGGAACCACGCTACTGCGATAGTAGATGACGACTACTCAAACTCCGACTCTGGTCTCAGCTCGGGCAGCTCGACTCCTTTGGGTCCCGATGATTTGGATGATACCACTAAGCGACTATTCGTATTTAGCTCAGCGGACAAGGCTGGTATCGAGAGGATCGAATCCGTGTACGGCGACAAGCTTGGAGGATTGAGCTTGTCCAAGGTGGAGCCTACCTATTTCACCAACCTTGCCTACACGCTTGCGTCGCGACGGACGCATCAAGACTTCCGAAGTTTCGTCGTAGCCTCGTCATTCCCAGAGCTCGCCCAGGCCCTGATCAGCAAGAGGCTCCCTAAGCTCAAGAGGTCGCAACGGCAAGGCAACAACCTAACGTTCGTCTTCACCGGCCAGGGTGCCCAGTGGCCCGCGATGGGTAGGGAGTTGCTGAGCAACCGCGTGTTCGAATCCAGCGTGCGGGCTTCTCAGTCTTATTTAGAGGCCCTGGGATGCAAATGGAATGCCATCGAGGAACTGCAGAAGGTGCAGGACTCGAGGATATCCCGTCCCGAATTCAGTCAAACGCTCTGCACGGTCCTCCAAGTCGCGTTGGTCGATCTCCTACGCCACTGGAACGTTATTCCTAAGGCGACAGTCGGACACTCTAGCGGTGAGATCGGCGCAGCTTACGCAGCATCGTACATCTCGCATGCCGACGCCATTAAGATCGCGTATGTGCGTGGTATCAGCTCCGAAAATGTCCCTCGTAAGGGTGCCATGATGGCTGCTGGTGTTTCCCGGGAGGAGGCTCAGCAGTACCTCAGCGAGTTGCCGCACGAGGCTGCTGTGGTTGCTTGCCATAACAGCCCGTCTAGCGTGACCCTCTCCGGTGATGTCGATGCTATTGACGCTCTCGAGAAGAGGATCTCTGAGGATGGGAAGTTCGCGCGCAAGCTGAAGGTGTCTACGGCTTACCACTCCCCACACATGCGTGATGTTGCCCAAGGCTACTTGGAGAAGATGGGCCACATTCAACCCCTGTCTGGTAACGGCGTGACCATCATGTATTCTTCTCTTACTGGAAAGTTGGCCTCGCCGACAGAGCTTGACGCCAAGTACTGGGTATCCAACATGTGCGCCCCCGTTGAGTTCTCCACGGCCGTTGCGGGCCTTCTGTCGGCCACCACCCAAGCCCCGGGCGGAAAGAGGAAGACTCCCATCAAGTGGAGCGGTTTCGTAGAAGTCGGCCCCCATTCTGCCCTACAGGGCCCGGTGCAGCAGAGCATTGCTGCTAGCAAGAGTAACACGGCTAAAGAAGCTCCCTACTACTCTTTGATTCTACGGGGCAGGGACGCGAACACGACGGCACTCACCGCAGCCGCCAACATTTGGTCCCTTGGTGTTGATGTTGATCTTTTACGTGTGAACGGGATTGATAGACACTCGACGTTGGTGGTTCCTAAGGTGCTCACGGACCTGCCGCCTTACCCGTGGAACCACAGCCGGAAGTTCTGGCACGAAGCTTATATCTCTAGGTCCAATCGCTTCCCCAAGGCACCCCGGACTGATCTTCTCGGCGTCCCCGAAGATCTCCAGAACCCCATGGAGCCCAGATGGCGAAACCACCTGCGGATCTCGGAGAACCCATGGATCGAAGACCACAAGATTACCGGAACGGTACTGTTTCCCGCTGCGGGTATGCTTGTCATGGCTCTCGAAGGCGCCAAGCAAATGGCCGACGCTTCCAAGACAATCCAAGGCTTCCGATACCGCAATGTCAACTTTGAGCGTGGCTTGGTTGTTACTACGGGAGATGAGTCGGCGGTTGAAACTCGTCTGAGCCTCCTTCCTGACGAATCCGTGCCAGGACAGTTCAAGTTTACCGTGTACTCCACCAGCACTGGGACCTCCTGGACGAAGCACTGTAGCGGGCAACTTCAGCTCGAGTATGACAACGGCCAGAGTGAGGTAGAGTCCGGCACGGACGCTGCCTGGTCTGAGCAGACGCAGTTCCTCAAGAAGATCACCGCTGCAGAAGCGACTGAGGATGTGGAGGTTGGCGGTTTTTACGACCACCTTGAGACCATCGGCATGCAGTACGGACCCTTGTTCCGCAATGTCATCTCTCTCACTGCCGTTCCTTCGGAGAATGCGTCTCACGGTACCGTGATTCTTCCTGACACCCTGTCATCCATGCCGGCCAACTTTGAGTACCCGCACGTGATGCACCCCGCCACTATGGACTCCATCTTCCATCTCGTGCTGGCAGCTTTCAACGGCGGCAAGCCTATTACGGAGGCATCCGTCCCCTACCACATAGAAGAGATGTATGTGGCTGCCGACCAGCCGCACGGAGCCAACAGCCGATTCAAGGGCTATGGCCGTCTGGTCTCAAGCTCCATGGGCGGTCACGAAACAGTGGGTGACCTAGTTGTCTCGGACGAGAACTGGTCCGCTCCCAAGCTCATTGTCACCAACTTCGCTCTACGCCGTGTCGCTACGGGCGAGGAGGGCGCCGGCGTCGCCGGTAATGATGAGGGCGAGAAGAAGTGCGCTCGTGTTGAGTGGCTGGAAGACGTCGACTTCGTCAAGACCGACGAGGAGCTCAGCCGCCTCGCAGCTGCGGATGTTACCGGCGGCGTGATTTCCTGGCTGGACCGTATTTCCCACAAGAAGGTTGTCGGCAAACTTTTGTTGGTTCTTAGCGAGCAGTCTGAGCGCGCGTCTGAGGTGATTAAGGCCCTGAAGGAACGTGTTGGGCGCCGCCCAGGATTTGAGAAGATCACAGCCGTTATCACGGAGCCCTCCGCTCAGGACGCTCTGGTTGAGGCATTTGCGGGTCTTGAGGTCGATATCCAGGCCTGGAACCCCAGCAGCGAAGACGAGTTCCCTGGTGCGAATGGCGGTTATGATGTCGTTCTAGCAGTTGGCGCGGGAGAGCAGCCAGCCGTTGTGAATAAGATCCACACTGCGCTGTCTACCGATGGCCAACTTCTTGTTGTATCGACAGCTCAAGTTGATGCTATCAAGAATTCTCTGGGTGGCCTCGGATTCGAGAAGGTTCTGGCCAGTGAATCAGGTGTCCTAGTTGCCAGCAAGCCGGCAAGCAAGGCTGCCGAGGATCGTCCCTCTGAGGTCTATCTCCTCCTCCCCACCCACCCTTCCGCCGAACTCGCACAGCTTTCCCTGACCTTCATCGAGCGTCTTGCTTCTCTCGGTGTTACCACTCACACGACCACGCTTGTGCCCAAAGATGCGCAAGATCTAGCCTCCAAGCACATCATCTCCCTCCTCGAAATCGATTCCCCTCTTATCTACTCGTGGAACGCAGATGAGTTCGCGGCCTTCAAGGCTCTTATGCAAGCTAAGCATCTTCTCTGGGTCACCAAGGGAAGCTTGCTTGAGTCATGGTCGGCTGGCGTCGAGTTTGCACCAGCTCAGGGTCTGCTGCGTGTGATGCGTAACGAGTACACGCTGGCTACGCTGCCTCATTTTGACCTGTCTGCAGCGTTTGACCTCACTAAGCCCTCTAACGCGGAGCTGATCGCCCAGGTCTGGGCGTCGTCCCTGTCCGAGGATGCCGAGATGGAATATGCAGAGCTAAACGGAGCGATCCACATCCCTCGCGCGGTTGACGAGGCCGGGTTTGACACCGAATTACAGCGCTACAGTGGCCAGGCTAAGCCCGTTCTTACTCCCATCCGTGGAAACAAGCACTTGAGGCTCGGGTCAGCTGCAAATGTCTGGGTAGAGGACAACGAGGCTTCGCTGCCCCTTGCGAATGATGAAGTCGAGATTGACGTCGATTTTATCGGTATCTCTGACGGTGTAGCGCGCGAGGCCACGGGCGTGATTGCTAAGCGTGGTCGCGATGCTAAGACCTTCAGTGTTGGCCAGAGGGTTGTGACGTTCGGCACTGACGCCTTGAAGACAAGGCTCCGACAGAAGTTAACACACGTCGCCGCGGCGCCTTCTGGCCTCAACCCCGCGGAGGTCGCCGCTCTTCCAAATGTCTTCATCGCCGCGCAATACGCTCTTACAGTGGTTGGCGGTGTCACTTCCGGAAGCAGAGTCCTTATTCACGACGCTGGCAGCCCCTTGGGTGTTGCTGCTGTGCAGGTTTCCAAGTCCGTCGGTGCCGAAGTCTTCGCGCTAGTTGCATCCAAGGACGCGAAGGAGGCTCTGGTACGACGATATGGCCTCTCAGCGGAGCGAATTTTTGACTCCAACCTGATTAATTTCATTACTGCTATAAGACAGGCCACCAATGGTCACGGCGTTGATGCCGTCCTGGTTGGCACACCTGGCCCTGCTGTTCAGCCATCTTTGGCTGCTCTCTCTGACTTTGGAACAGTACTGGATCTGAGTGCTGCCACCAACACTAATACACCCCAGATTAACCTACCAGCATCTAAGAAAAACGCTTCATTACTGCGCATCGACATGAGCCATATCCAGGCTGCCAGGCCACAGACAGTCGTCAATCTCTTCCAGGCCACATTCAACGGCAGCCTTACTCCTGTTGCTCCTGTCATCAACGTTTTCCCAGTGAGCCAGCTGTCTGCTGCTCTGGACGCCAAACATGATAAGATCGTCGTTTCATTTGGCAGCAACGATCGGGTTCTGACGCCGTCGCCTCCGGTGGCCCCACTGACGCTTGACGCCAACGCCACTTATGTCCTCGCTGGAGGTCTCGGTGCTCTCGGTTTGAACATCGCGAAGATGATGGTCGGTTTCGGGGCGAAGCACCTCGTATTCCTGTCCCGATCTGGCGGGAGCAAAAACCAGAAGGATCTTGAGGAGTTCAAGAACCAAGGAGTACTCGCCGAGGCCTTCAAGTGCGATGTCAACGACGCAGTGAGTGTCCAGACCGTTTTTGACGGATTGAGGAAGCAACAGAAAGTGGTGAAGGGTCTGATTCAGTGCGCCATGGTTCTCGAGGTAAGCCAACACGATGACCTTACGTAAGAGTGCAAAAGACTAACTAGACTATTAGGATTCAATCTTCGATAACATGACGTTCGATAAGTGGTTCGGCGCCTTCCAACCCAAGACCAGAGGCTCTCGCAATCTGCTGTCGCAGCTCTCGTCCGATGTGTCTCCTTTCTTCGTATTGCTATCGTCCATCACTGGTGTCATTGGTAACACGGCCCAAGCCAACTACGCCTCGGGCAACACGTTCGAGGATGCCCTCGCCCATCACGCGCGCCGTTATCTCGGCATCCGGGCGACGAGCATTGACGTCGGCCTCGTGACTGACTCGTCGCATTTTACGTCCGCAGGCGAGTTCGGAGACCTCGACGGCTATTTGGGCCGTTACTCCCACGGCTGGGTCGGTCTACGGTGCACTGTTGAGGAACTCAAGGTTGCTATCGCGGCGGTTATGCGCGGCAACACCCCGACCGCCGACGACGTCCCTGCTCAGTTCGTCCTCGGCCTCGGCGATCAACTCGTCCGCGAGCCTGGCACGACGGGCTTCGTGAGGGACCTCAAGTTCGAGCTCCGATTGGCCAGCAACAGCGGGGGTGCCAACGACGCCGAGGGCGCCAATCGGGGCCCTAGTGTCGTCGAACGGCTGTCGAAGGCGACAAGCCAGGCCGAGGCTGCGGCGGCCGTCGAGGATAGCCTCAAGGCCCAGATCGGTGCCGCCATCGGCATCGAGGCCTCCGAGGTCGATGTGCAGAAGCCGCTGCCGGAATTCGGAGGTAAGAATAACATGCCCGACTATGTTCCTTTCACTGCGATGCTCTATGTGCACGTTGAGCTAACACTCATGTCTCTAGTGGATTCGTTGAAGGCTGTCGAGATGCGCAACCGCGTGCTCAAGGAGATGAAGAGCGACATCTCGGTGTTCGAGCTCCTGAGCGCAAGCCCCCTCGCTGAGCTGGCGGTCAAGATCGCATCGAGGAGCAGCCTGGTCAAGGCCGAGGCTGGGAAGGCTGAGTAGTTACGCCGGCGCGAGTGCGGACAGCGAGTCCTAATTCAGCATGCCCGGTTGAGATCGGCTAGATTCTCAGCCGGCAGGTGAGGGCCATCGGTCTCTCTTCGGCTTTTCCAGCGGGCGAACCGGTTTTTTTCACATCCTGCCCTCGGGCGCTATTCCGTGTTTCGCCCGCTCGCGAGTCGAATGTTCCGAGATCACGCCCGACGGCTATCCCCCCTTCCTTCGGTGCCGATTGTCCCGACTCAGGTGTCGCGTCGGTGCCGTCGGTGGGAGGGAGGCGAGACGATCACGCCTTGTACTTCTACGGGCCATTTTGGAGCGATCATTGCCTGTGCAGTAAAAAAGCTTTGTTTTGATGGAATATTATTGAGTGTAACCGGTCCGAAGTATGTGCGATACACGCCTCCTGCGCCGGTAGGAAGGTGGGAAGAGGGGATGAAAAAGGAAAGCCACGAATACAGTCGCGACGGGGGAAACTATCGGTGGATGTTGGATTAACATGTAATACTAGACTATGGGGATCAATAACATCTGATTTGCCACCTATTTGTGTGAAAATAATTTGGTTGTCATAAAACGCAGAGCGTGAATACTCCTTCGCAGAGGCAGACAGTATTGGTAGTGATAGCTTTTATTCCTAGGTACGTGATCCAATACGTGACATGAGATACATGTGCCTATGTTATCGGTAACGAGTGTAGACAAATCCTACCGATTGTGTCGCGAGGTCGCACCGCTCGTACTCTCTCTCGCCGTCTCCCCCTTAAAAGCCGAATTCGTCGCGTTTGCTCTGCATTTCACATCAGGCACTCGTCTAAGTGTTATTCAAACCTCGACAGCGCTCTTGTTGGCGCTATCGATCTTGAGGCGGCAGAAGCCACCGTGGGCGGCGACGCCCTGCTGGAGCTCGGCCATGCGGCGCTGGTCGCCGGCGGGGTCGGCGGAGGCGGGAGCGAGGTCCCAGGCGAGGAAGCGGTTAGTGTAGTTAGGGCGGAAGGCGGGGGCGAGGAGGCCGAGGCGCTTGCCGTAGGCGGTGACCTTGTCCCAGTCGCGGGAGACGTTCTGGAGGTCGGGAGAGAGGTAGGCGAAGGAGCGCTGGAAGATCTTGCGCTGGAGCGGGGTGCCGAGGGCGGGCCTGGCGGTGGCGAGCTCGGCGAGGGCGCGCTCGGGCTGGGCGAGGACGAAGTCGGTGGCGCGCTTGACAGCGCGCAGGAACGCGCGGGCCTGCTCCGGGTGCGCTTCCAGGAACGCCTCGTTCGCGATGTACAGGATGCTGCAGAAGCAGCAGCACCCGAGCTCGGCCAGCTCGTCGATGCGCAGCATCTGCACGTCGGCGCGCGGGCGGCCGCGCGCCGCGAGCCACTCCTCCAGCTCCACCATCTGCACGTTCTCGAGCCCGATCCCGGCGTCGATATCCCCCCGCGTGATCGCCCCCGCCACGTCCATCCCGCACCGCACCGCGGTGTAGTCCGCCGGCGTCATGCCGTAGTGGGTGGTGAGCTCGTCGATCTGGATCTGCGGCGGGTTGGTAAGCACCGTCGTCTGGTCTCCGGGAGGAAGGGGGGCACTCAGAGGGAAGTGAACGGAGGGGGGGGGGCGGCACATACCTTTCCGAACTCGCCGACGTAGCCGATCCGCTTGCCCTTGAGTGTCTGGAAGTCGGCGGTGATGCCGCTCTCCTTGAGATACACGACGCCGGTGAAGGGCTCGTCTAACAGCGAGCCGATGGCCTGGACGGGGAAGCCGCGGGCTTTGGCCTACGCAACGGGAAAGATTGTCTACTGTTAGAAAGAGCTGGCCGATAAACACGAGGGAATCAAGCTGAGGGAGCCTTACTGCGAGGGTGTGAATCATGGCCTTGAAGCCAAGGTCGATCTTCCCGCTGCCGATCATCTCGGTGACATCCTGTTGGGTGTAAGCGCTGGGTTTCCGGAAATTACGCGACTGGTCTGATGTTAAGGCCTACGCTGGGGTCATTGGGCTCGAGGATGGCAACCTTGATGCCCTCGTCCCGGAAGTAGCCCTTGGCCTGGGCCAGATAAAGGGGAGCGTGGTACGGCGTGGCATGCCTGCGGGGGTTAGCAAGGTGTTCGCTCCGCAGCGGATAGCTCTCTCTTGCTGCTTGCCAGTTGGTCAGGAAGGTGATCTTGTCCGTGGACATGATGACGATGGCTCAGGTCGAACTGTGGTAGTTAATACGCGCCAAGTCCCGAGATAAAGGGGGAGGGGGGGAAGCAGCATGTCCTTTCGCTGGAATTATCCAGATCAAGTTTGAACGGTGTAATCTCAGCCCTGACGCCCTCTCTCCTGCTATGATCACCTCCCTCCCTTCCGCCAAAGAATAAGAGAAGGGGAGGTGGGGGGTCTAAGCGAGATCGAGAGCATCGAGCACCCGCCATGCGATTGATTAACGTTACCTTGATACTGGGATAGCTCCATGATGGCAAGCGCTCCTCGAAACCATACCAAGTAGGAGAGAGAAAATCGGAAGACGGCGAACTGAGGGATAGAGCACGGTGTTGGGCACAGAAAAAGGATGGAGAGGAGAGAAGATGTCTGGTAGGGAGAGAGAGGAAGAAAGGAGGGTGGAAGAGGGGTTGCCACCACTCTTTTAAGCACCGGCTGGACGCACAAGAAGAGGGGTAGGGAAAGAGCAGCGAGGAGGGCGGCCAGCTACGCGGTCGGTCGGTCGGTCGCTGTGGTGACGTCGATAGCCAGCGCGTTCCCTCTCAGGCTGATCTGCGATCGGCTTAAAGCGGCAAGCGAACTCCCCGAGTGTGGATGTCGCAGTAGGCGGCGGCATGCCTGTCCTTCTGCTACAGCGCTAAGAGGTGCCCTCGCCTCTTCTGAGGAGGGATCTTGGTGCGTGCTTGGCGAGGACGAGAGCCTAACAAACCTCCTACCCGCGCCGACGACGGGGGTTACGAAGTGGCAGCAAGCCAACGGCGGAAGAGGGAACCAGCTAGTCTTGTTCCCGAGTCGGTGCCCGGGTATGACCTAACCTTCTACGGCTCCTGGGGAGCTGATGGCGCGTTGCCGTCGGGTTACGCGGGACGCCTACGTCTTGGTAACGGCAGGGACTGAGCGACTCTCGGCCTCGGAAGCATGAGGGAGGTAAGTATGTATTATGTACCTACTTGCGAGTAAACAGTGCACACTCTCTTGGCGGCTGCGATGTCATATTGTCGACAGCTGCCCGGCCTCGAGCGTCACAATAACCCGCCCACATTAACCTGTCATGTTTTAATCTCTGGCAGCCTTGACGATAATATTCGGGGTCGAGAGGCTTTTTTTTTTTTCGTTTTGTGAAATGACTCGGTCCGGCCCAGCCCGGTTTCGGCGCGCTCCGTATAATATGCCTTATTGTCAGTTGATAGGCCTGAGAAACCAATTAATCGAAGCCGAAGATCCCCGTAAACGAGAAACTTTGCCGGCTTGATAGCCACATGAACCAACCCGTAGCCAGCTGGCCATGCGACAGATACTTCGATGTGTGACTTTGCATGCGCGGGCTGAATAGCACACACCCATGGTATGATCACTTTAATAGGTATGTTAGATGTTCAGCTCATACTATTTTCTCGACAGAAGCTGCGTAACCAACCTTTCGAGAACCTTCTAGTCAAAACCCCCTTTTCGACACTCACCTCTTCATAACGGCACGCGTCGTCAGCCGTCCAGCTCGAGGGACGTGGGTGACTGGGAAAGAGCTGATAACATGGGCAAGTCCAGGGGCATACGACAGCAGCTTTAGCACGACTAGCTTCCTTTGTTCGCGAATGCCTCTTGCGCCTCTATTGACATGCTAGTCATCAGACCCTCCGTAGCTTATTTATCCACACTGGGGTGATGCGCGTCTTACTGAAGTCAGTCAGACCTGTCATATGTAGCATCTGCGATTGACTCTATAGTACTCTCATTCTCACCACCTCTCGTTGGGCGGCAACTCGCAGGTGGTTGACGTGACTAGAGAAAAACGTCCCGTATTCACTTCTTGCCGTGGAAGGTCTCGTCACTTGCCATATTAATATGACCCGACTAAGGGCAACATGGGCGCTTTCCCTACCCAGGCGCGGATCCAGCACAGGGGGATAAATAGCGCCAGTCGGCACTGCGATGCTTCTGCGTCCCTAAACCCACCCAACATTACCACCGCCTCTGTGTTTGTTCCGTTTTCGCTACCATAATATCCCATCATACATAACCGGCTTAAAAATTACAGACGCTAACGCGGCTACAACGGACTTGAACCTGTTGCGATACCGGCGTGCGACTCGGAGCGTATCGAGGAGAAAGCAGGAATCATATGGACTTTCATCCGGGACCTCGGCCGACAGAAGGTTCTGAAAGACAAGGAACTCAACGTGATCGAGCTCTGTGACGACTGGGCCGCCGACGAGCACAATAACATCCAGCCGCATCTGGCCCTGCGCGAGATCCCCGACGACGAGAGGCGGAACCTGCGGCGCCTGTTCGACCAGTTGGGAACCTTGCGGGAGCTCCTCCATCAGGTCCAGCTGGAGCACGGCAAGCAAAAGGAGAAGTCAAAATAGGGGGGCCAGCTGCGGACAGGCAAGGAGGTGCGGACAGCGCTCGAACGACATATACTAGCAGCTCCGCTACCACCCCTTCTGAAACGGCAACGCGAGACCTAGTGGGCTTATCGAGAGCTGCCTTGCAGCTTCTGAGCAGCGCTGAAGGGCACGGAGCGACAGATCGGATCGCGCAACCTAATACTAACCTTCGATCCGACGACCCGGCCGCGCAAAGCGCGGCGCCGCCTGCGCCCCAGATGGAGTTCGACCTGCTGTCCGTCCAGGAGATGATGGTGACGATACAACTCTGGGTGATCGCCACGCTCAGCCGAGCGGAACAACTGACCAACGCAGAGAGATAGTATGTCCGGACCTGGGTCCGCTGGACGCTCGACAAGCGGCGCGACATCCACGCCTTCTTGGAGCTCCACCGCGACGCGATCATAGCGGACCATCAGCGCGAGCTCCGATGGGCGTTTACCAAGTTAGCGGGCATAAGAGATAGCCTCAAGGAGTTAATAGGGGGGGACGAAGGCAGAGTAGGGGAAGAACATGAGCTGACTCTCACTTGACGAATAGCGCCGGGGGGAACATGCATTTAGAATGAACGAAGCGAAAGAAAATAAAGAAGAGAATTAGACAACATGGGGGTCCGGGGGAAAGGGGGAAGAGGGGGTCATTAACAACATGGTTATCGAACGGAACTTCAGCCTTCCCTAGGAGAGAGCGCGTATAATTGTGACATTTCCAAGAGTACAACCACTTTCATGAGCAAGCAATGGTAACACGAGTTGCCGTCGGCGTTTTCACGACTTCTGATTCCACTGGGTTATGCCGCTCCACATATAATAGAGGTGGTAGATCGTGTTCCTCTTCCCCATCACTGAGAGAAGGCCTCTAATTTATATTTCCATCTCCGGCAAGGAGACTCACCCTCAGCATCTCCCCAATAGCTAACTCGTAGCGCACCTCCCTATTATCTTCTCAGCATAGGTAAGGAACCGCCATCGTCGATCACGTTCCCTGCCAAAGCTCCTACAACACTACAGCGTAGTTGCGTGCGGGTTTCGGTCGAAACAGACTAGGTTTCTATATTAAGTCGACATATGCCGTGAACATTTGTCGAAACGAAGGTATTAATAGGCGAGTAACGGCCGGGAATGTCGGCGAGGAAGATCGGAGGGAGAGACTAGGAGGGTAGGTAGGTGGTTGGTACACTCATCGCAAGGATACGGAGTCCTGGCTGTAGCTGTACCTAAAACATGGTGGTGGCGCTTGAGACGACGACGACGACGACGACGGCGGCGGCGGCGGCGGCATTCTTCGCTAGAGATAACGCCGGGAGAGCATATGGGTTGATGTGCCAGCGCACCTGTGGATTGCAGCTGTAATCGCAGTAGGATATGGGTTTCATTATGGCAGGGCGACACGGCCACAACCCCTAAGCACAGGACATGCCTACAGTGGTTGTCAAGAGGAGATCTGACATCAAGGAGAGGACTCTAGGGGACATTACTCGAATACATACCTCCTACAGGTAGGTACCTAGGTACTTGTACCCTATGGGAGCTGTCTACAATGGAGGTACATGAGGAGAAGGCGGTACGTACGCGATGTAGAGAAGACAAAGATATGACCTCACTCAGCTTCTGATAGAAGGGAGGCGGATCTACAGGTACGTACTGAACCTATGGCTCTCTAAATATCAGGTACCCCTAGGTATTTTGGAGAGGGTGCGCAGGTAACCCAGGCGCCAACAGTAGAGGTAGGAATACGATAGGGTGCTGCGATGCGCAGAGCGTGAGTGCCCCTGGATTTAAGACGCCCTTTTCTGTTTCGTATACGTGGTCGAAAAACAACCCCCCCATCACCTTCACAACAGCATCAGCAACAGCATAAGTTGGCCCGTCCTCGCCCACTTCGAGAACTTAGCACCGGCTGTAGGTGACTATGGACCGTCGGAAGGACGGCACGGCGCTGGCTCTCGGAGCTCACAACCACAGGTGGGTAGGAGCACAGATGGTTGCGTGTTCGCTGGTGCCACTCTGCCTCGTCAAGACAGAAGCGGGAGGCATCCCGTCTGACGAAGAACAGCAGTCATCTCTAACGCCATGCTTGTCCTCAAGACCCACCGCGCTGGTTTCGTTTCGTACCTCTAAGCCGTCGGAAGAGTAGACCCCCAACCGCCCGTCTCTACGCACGCTTGTATACGGTATTACTATTAAGAGCATACTCAGTTCGCGCTTGGTATTGACCCTTGGCCCGACATCTGTCGCACGCGTGGCACGACCCGTACGCGAAAACGGCGCCGTATATGGCAGCAGCTAACGCCCGAGAGGAGAGAGGGGGCTCTATATACCCGACGACCGGACCTGGCCCCGGGGCAAAACACATCTGTGGGAGCTACCGCGATGATCAACCCAGAGGCAAGGTCGCGCGAGAGGAGCGTACTACAAGTAGCTCATATTCACACTCGGTAATGCAATCTTCGGCCCGGGCCGTGCCAGAGAGGAGAGGAATGCTCTCTTCCCCGAGAAGACGCTGGAGCAGAAGAGAGGAAAGCCCTATTCATCGCACTCTCCAGCCCTCTTGCCGCCTCCCGACATCGTTGTACATGCTGTTTGCAGCAGGGTCCAGAAAGGAGTACTTGCTGCCACAAACTATGACGACGGATTATATGCCAACTCTACGCGATGGGCCGTCGTTCGCTAGGTTGACGCGTCCAAGGATATCCCTGATAAAAAGGCTCAGGGCCCTTCTCCAACTGGGACGACGGGCGGCGCCACAGCCGTGACACCGGGCCCCTCAATGGCGCTATATCCTGGGGTTATCCCCACCTCGGATCGTTTGCCACGAGCGATAGGCCTGAGGGTTGGAAATAGCAAAATTCCGGTTCGATACCCGAGTTGGGGGAATATGACCAGGGTTGATGATCCCGTCGTCAATCGCGGCACGTTGCCATGCATCAGATAAGGTGCATGGGCTGGCCGACACAACGTTCACCTCCACAAATTATGAGGTTTACCTTTGATAACAACTCGTAGGCTAGATCCCCTTCGCCGGCGCCGCACCATTTGTCGTTTGAGGCCCCCACGGTTGCTTTAACTAGCCTAAGGAGAAGGGAAACCCACGGCCCGTTGCATCCAGGGGTATCCGCAAGGCCGTTGGTCTAACGCGATGTAGCCGGATTCTCCGACCCGACCCGCAACCCATGATGCCCTCGGTAATCTCGTGAAATGGTAACGATTCGCGTTTCGATCTCCTCGCCGCATCTCCGGGAAATAGCCACTTATTGCACCTGCGGTCGGGTGTTGAGGCTACGACGTGGCCGGTCTATGGAAGCTTACGCGGCTTTGGCGCAACGTCCTGGTAGCAGTCTCGCGCAGGCCAGGGATTTTCGATAGGTGTTTATCCACGGTAGCGATGGCGGGCTCTGGAACCTCTCGTACGATGATGGTAAGAAGGGTTGGCTAACTGCGCCTGCGTTAGCGGTAACGGGAAAGATCGAGGACCAACTGCATGCCGTCAGCGCCACGCTGGATAGTGTAGACGTGTCCGCTAGAATGCTGACAGCATACTGCGCAAGGTGTCTCGATCGAGTCTCGGGACGTCGGTTGGTTCAAGGCAACTCTGAGGCCTCGGTAGTCTTACAGGTCCCTCGAGGGCCAATGCGGGGGTCGGAAAGAATTCATGTTTCTGCGTACGGCAGAGACGATGAAGTGCTCTGGATGGTTCGTGTCCTGACGAGTAAAGAAGTAGGATTACCATATTATCAAGCATCCCCACGGATGATTAGCTTCGACTTTTTTTGGGAGGGGGAACACGCTGGCCATAAAGGGGCATTGGGGACGACAAGCTCGGCAACCTGAACGGGTCTGTGTCTGGATAAGCGCCCGGGTCGAGGGAACCGGTGGAGGGTTTCATTCAAATGGAGCCTCTCTATGCAGGTACTCGAAGGATGGCGAGCTGGAACAGCGAGCCGGACCGCATAATTAAGCAACGGGGCGGAGCAGCTTCACAGGGACCCTGAGGCATAAGACAATCTATACGCGTTGGATTGTACACATCGATAACTCCCTCAGCATGGAGGCATATTTTTCACGTGACAAACTGCATCGTATGGATGCGTTGGAAAGATGGCCTGAGGGGCTGGGACGGGTTACCGACAGAATGGTAGCGAACGAACCGAACACGGGCTGATTCGCCGTCGATACTATTTAATATCCGTCGGGCCATTGTTGGGCTGCAAGACTGACTCAAACTCATTCTCTTCCGCCCTACCGGACCAGAAAAATCATGGCGAAAATCATCGAAAGGGAGGCCGTAAACGACGAAGCCGCCGGGAGTAGCCGCCTCTATACCCTCCAGCCCATCCCGACGAAGGGATATGGCTTGGTGGCCACCACTAGGATACCAAAGGGCACCCGTATCCTCTCAGAAGCTCCGCTTTTCATTGTGCCCCGTGGCATATCCGATATGCAGACGGTCGAGCGCATCGTCATGGAACAGTTGAGACGGCTGAATAAGGATCAGCAGCGCGCCTTTTTTGCCCTACGCAACTCGCACGGCAGCAGCCTCAAGCCGCCGGTGGGCATCGTGCGAACGAACGCACTAGCTCTCGGCACCGACGCTTCACGTGGCGGCCTGTTCCTGGAGGCCGCGCGCATCAACCACTCGTGCCGGAACAACGCTCAGAACACGTGGAACGCCGAGCTCGGTCGGCTCACCATCCACGCCGGCCGCGATATCGAGGCCGGCCAGGAGATCACGATCACGTACGCGGATCCGCTCGCCGATTGCGCCGAGCGCCGCCGCTTCCTGCAAGACCACTTTTTCTTCACGTGCGAGTGCGAGATATGCTTGCTGCCTCCAGCGGAGCGTGCTGAGAGCGACAAGCGGCGGCGACGGCTCGGCCAGCTCGACGCGGCCGTCGGCGGGCTCGGCCACCTCATGGCCAAGCCACTACCAGGGCTGCAGCTCGTGCACGAGATGCTCAGCCTGTACGAGGCCGAGGACCTCTGTGACGCGAGCATCCCGCGGGCGTACTACGACGCCTTCCAGATCGCGATCGCGAGCGGCCACAAGATACGCGCTCGGGTCTTCGCTACGCGCGCCTACGTCACGCGCCGCGTCGTCGAGGGCGACGATAGCCCTGACGTCCGCGGGAATAAGGGGCTCATTGACCGCCCCGAGGACCACCGCCTCTACGGCGTGTTCAAGACGTCGGTGCGTGAGACGGGCCCGCCGCCACAGTCAGACGCCGGGGCGTTCGAGGACTGGCTCTGGATCAAAAGCAAGTGGTCGAAGACACCGCCGATCTGAGCACGGCCCGGGCATTCGAGGGAGTCTCGGGGCTGGGGTCCCTTTCTCAGCCCCGTACGCCTCTCCCTCCCCCCTCTCTGTATTCTTCTTCCGCTTCCCAATCCGTTACCAACCGACGATTATGAAGGCACATCAGTAGGGCTGGCGCAAGGAACATGGGCGAGGTCTGGCATAACAGCGACAGGCGTATGGCTGGCTAAGTATCCGGACAACGGGATTCGGGATTCATCATGATCATTGGCATAAGGAGAAAATAAGGTGCATAGCTGTTCAGGACAGGCATTAGGCAACTCATCATCATCATCATTATGTCGCTCTTCTCATCTCTGTCGATTTCGGCAGCCAATAAATTCAGCATGCCAACGCGCAGACGCACTTTGAATACACCGACCGGTGCGGCCCGTCCTCTTGTAAGCGGCGAAGTGAGAATTCTTGGTTGGTAATGATGACTCAATGGCGGAACAATAACAAGACTGATTGAAGTCACCAATGGGTGCTGACGCGGTCTTGAGAAAAAATACAATACGGTGAGCGCAGACTGGTTCTCTAAGCCAGGAACGGTAACAAGCGTGGCTGCGTAACAAGAGAGACGCGCACTATGGGGTAGATATATAATACTAGTTTATTATTGAAATCATTATCGTCACTGCTATTACCAGCATGGTTGGTATCAATATCTAAAATGGAACGAGAAGCAAGATGACAATAGGATGAGAGGGCGAGATCTGTCACTTGGCAGATGTAACGCCATTCCCATTCGTTCGTTCTTTCATTCGTTCGTTTACTACCCTGTCTCTGTTATATGTACGTCGGCGACGGGGCGGCGTTACAGGCGGACGAGTCTTCATTTCAGTATGATGATCCTCGTGCCGGATTCCTTCTCCAGCATGTCGGCCACGGCCTCGCCGTTCATCAACCCCGACACGTACGCCTCGCCGACGACGACCATGCTGTCGGCGTCGTCGCCGACCTCGCGCAGGACGAGCGGCACCTGGCACCCCATGAGGATCGCGACGCGGTCCCTGGGCAGGATCTCGGGCGGGCCGAGGCCCATGCGCCCGTTCTTGGTGACGAAGAAGCGGCGGCCCACGACGGCCCGCGCCACGGCGTCGGAGAACCGCTGGGCGAACTGGGACCGCGTCCTGCCGTCGAGGAAGTCGTCGAAGCCCTTGCCGAAGGACCCCTGCGCCAGGGTGCCGGTGTGGTCCTTCTCCATCACGATGGTCCGCTCGAAGAGCCGCATCGTGGTGCGGTTGAGGTTCTCGGCCGCGATGCCCTTCCAGCGCTGGATCGCGCCCCGGCTCTCGCTCGCGAGGCCGACGGCGCTGCCGAACGCGTCGATCGTGTCCACCACCGCGCCCCGCGCCCCGAGGTTGGCCGGGAACGAGGCCAGGTCCACCACGGCCTCGGTGTGGCTCGACGCGCGGTAGAAGTGCCCGCCGGGCTCCTCGCTGTTCAGCGGCCGCAGCGCGTCGGGCCCCTCCCAGTCCGGGAGCCAGCTCGGGGCGGCGCCGCCGCGGGAGGCCGACAGCCGCGCCGACGCGAGGATGTCGAGGCTGCGGCGGTGCACGGCCATGAAGCGCACCAGGTCGACGAACACGTCCTGGACCGGCTTCGTGTAGTCGGGCGCGATGTCGTCGGGCGTGACGTCGGACGCCATGCCCAGCAGGGCGTAGAGCTTGTCGCGCGGGTCGCTGGCCTGGTAGTCCTGGGTGCACTGGAGGATGCGGACGAGGGGCATGGTGCGGCCGCTGCGGCGGAAGTTGTCGAGGGCGGTGAACCTCTGGTAGCCGCAGGCGTGGAGGGCGGGGGCGAGGGGGTGGGCGAGGAACTCGGAGGCCTGGATCTCGGCGCAGAGCCTGCCGAGCATGCGCCAGGGGAGGACGGTGGGGCCGAGGAGGACGACGAGCTCGCGGGCGGCGACGACCTCCTGGACGATCCAGATGCGGCGCCACCAGGGGCGGCGGAAGAGCTCGGCGAGGCCGCGGACGGGCTCGGCGCCGTGCTCGAAGAGGCTGCGGCGGCCGCGGCTCCAGCTGCAGTCGAGCGCCATGGCGAGCGTCGCGCCGACGGCGCCGGCGGCGTCGCCGAGCCACACCACCACCGACGCCGCCGCGGCGAAGATGCGCCGCATCAGCTGCACCTGGTGGTTGCGCTCCCCCACGTTCGCCTGGTCGATGCACACCGCGTCGATCCACAGCCGCCGCCGCCCGCAGCCCGACCAGCGCCGCGTGCAGATTCGCCGTGATCGCCAGCCGCGCCCCGTCCACCGCGATCTCCCGCGTCCGCGCCTGGTCGCCCCACGTGTACGAGAGCGCGTCGTACGCCAACGGCGCGTAGTCGACGCGCGCGCACTGGTACGCCAGGACCGGGTACTCGAGGACCATTTCCCTGGCGCGCCGTAAGCCGTCGGGTCCAGGGGGCAGGGGGGAGAGAGGAGAGGGATGGCCAGCTCACCTCCCGCGGATCACCCGCCGGACGGACTTCTTGCACTTCTCGGAAAGCGACCATTCCCAAACGGTGCCGCCCGAGTCCTCAGAGGGGGCACCGCGGCGCGATTTCTGCATGAGCTCCTCGAAGGTGTCGCACAGAGCCCTCGTCCTCCGCGGCGGGGGTGGATCGGCTGGGAACGAGGGCCGCGCGGTGCTGGGGAGTCGGATGTGACTTATGGACCCCTCGAGGGGACGTTGGCTGTCGGCGCTAGGGTGTAGCGTCAGGACTCGGATGTCATCCTGATGGGTCAGAGGCGAGTAGGCGAACGTGGCCATGCTCTTTTTCCACTTGTCGCCTACGGGTTGTGGCTGTCAGCTAGACACGAATGTGCACAATCTCACATCACCCGGACGTCCCATGCGGGGCGTGGACGATCAGAGGCGTGATCAATTTCTAACGGAGCGAGACATTTGTGACGGCTTGGCCAACTTAGGATGGGGTTATACGGAGGCTGTGCTTGGCGGATCTCCCCCCCCCCCCAACTGTGCCGCTTGTTCGGAGGACTCCCACATGCCACGGTATCTGCCTAAGCCGAATTCGATAATTACTTACCCTAATCTTAATATTGTCTTTCATTATAGACCAGGGCGTGCGGTGCACCATGGGTGAGAGTGCCTGATAACCAGATTTTCGTAAGTTGAAAATCGACCTAAGCGTAAGAATAGGCCATTATTCCACCTAGGTAATTCTTCAGCCGCACAGTTATTATGAAGCTAATTTAAAGGGCATGGTCGCTCGGCTTTTCTACTTGGTCTTCAAGCAGTTAAAAAAAATGATATTCTTCACCCCGAAAGGCCTGCAGATGATGCCGGAACTGCGGGCTTGCGAATGAGCTTGCTGACAAGTTGGTCGATGCGAAACTGTACCTACAAGTCGTGATATTTCAGAGCCTCACCAAGCACTTACATAGGGTTTAAAGAGAATGTGAGTATTAGCTCATCCCGTTGTAAGTTCCGACCTGACTAGAATACGCGCTCCCTTTCGGCGAGGCAAAAGCAGTTAAATATAGTGAATAGTGTGCGTGCGATCACCGAAACCATTATTACATATCATGAGCAGTAGGATGTCGCGCGTAATTCATGTAAGTTTGTCGACTAACTGCAGTCACCAAAGCTATCTGGACATGAACTGGTCAACTACCTTCGAGTAAAAGCCAGGTTTTCCGTCCAGATATAGCCTCATCGCACTCGCCAGTTGCTGCCTCCTTGTATCACTGAGCCCTTGTGATAGACGACATTCAGTTCCACCGATTAGTATCTCTTCCTGTCTCACGGCTGTGATATATTCTTGCTGATCTGCAAACCTCTGAGCCAGTTCGGCATCCTTTGGGTAGCCATTTTCATCGTAGTTCCAAGGAGCATCCATAGCCGGGGGTATCGTTGTGAGACCCAAAGGGTAATCCGCAAATAACTCCCATGGCGCAGCAAAGGTTTTCTCCCAGTCAACAGAGCCAAGAAGATTTCCGTCTTCATCGTATACATTGTTGTTCCAGCCCCAATCGGAATTCCAGACAGGAAATGGGCCACCATCTCGAAGAGACAGCTTACTGGCTAGGTCGCTGATAGACTTGGCAAATACAGAGACTGACTGGGCAATTTCATCAGCATATGCGCCAGATGCTTGTCGCAGTTGCTCGTCTGTCACGCCAAACTTCGCTTTGGTCGCCCATGCTTGGAAGAATTGAGTCGCGGTATCGAAAGGGCCACCTAATCCGGGTATCGGACCTTGCTGGCATGTGCCGTCCTCGTTGATCGAGGTAATAGTACCGATCTTTGGTAGTAGAGTCTTCGAGAGTTGAACCTTGCCAAGTGAGTCAGCTATTAGCGATACTCCGACCCCAAGCTTGCACTTACATGAATCTTTGCAAGGTCGCGTAGAATCTTGTGCTTGTATACAGGTGGTATCGTCATAGCAATATCCATTCCTGCATTGCCCGGTAAACATTCCATTATGGTGAATGGCGCTCCCACGTTACAGTCGCTACGCAAGTCGAACTCGTAAATCTGAGGAATACGTATGCTGGTCATCTGCCGTAGGAAGGAGATTGTAGTGATTTCGCAACTTCTCTTCGCCACTAAAACGTCTTCAGAGTGTTCAGATCCAGGCAGAGGTGGCAATTCCAATCGTGCCAACCACCGAGTCCCGTCAGGAAACTCAATAATTCGAACCATGTGATTTTGACCAAGGCCAATATCGGAGAGGAGTGTGCCGCTGATCCCATCCTTGGTCGCAAACTCGAGGAGTCCAGGCCAGTTTACGGATCGCAAGAACGATTCGGCTCGTGAACGAAGCGCACCTTCTGGTAGTTCGAAGAAATACGTCCAACGATACCCGGAGAAGGCCTCGAGACTTGGTAAACAGTGAGTAGCGCTCTTTGAAGACTATTGTCAAGGGTAGCCAGGGGCAGTCATATAAGCCGAGATATTAGAGCACTCTAACCTCGAAGTTCCGCTCTCCATTCCATCAGAACACTTGATAATTAGCGTTCTAGCTTTAACAAACCAACGGCCGACTTCGTTGAGATGTGAAAGAATTTACGACGTTGCCTACTCGGGTAGTCGGATTCGCGTTCGAGGCTAGAAAATTACAAATAATTAATAACTCAACTGTCAGCTGGTGGTTTGTCTACTCATAGCGGGCCGCCGGCAGCCGAGAACACCGAGAGGTACCTATATCGCAGTAGCGCTGCTATAAGTGCCACTGAAACTAACCAATTCAGAGTCTGTGTCGGTCGCTATATTGGCAAAGTCGAAGCAGAGTTCTCGTCGAACTTCAATGATCCTCTCGGTCTTAGTCAACATCTTGGGCGTGGCGGGTACAGTCACTCACCAGAAGTAGAACGATGATTACAACCCTCAAATGTCTATGCGAGGCAAGCAAAGAAGTAGCCTGGCGCAGAATCAGTTTACACTGCTCAAGAGTTTAGAAAAATGGAACATCATGCAGTGGTTTAAAGACAGAGATATTCTACAGCAGGTGTAAGACGTATTACATCGATGTGGTGGGCAGAGAAGGGGACAGCTCAAAATGTCAGCGGCGAGGCGATCGCAGTCTTCGCTTGTAGCAGGTCCATGCTGTTCGAAAAACTGAGATATACGGGAGGTGGATAATCTGCCAAAGCTATGCGCCGCTGCTGCTGCGTACTTGGAGATAGCCATAGCGAGGAAGTCGTCATTGTTTGACGGTGCGTTCAGCTCCAGCGTCCTCTTGATCAAGTCTGCTAATTGATCCTATCCGAAGAATAAGACGTGAGAGCTTGCCGCCTTACCAATTGATATACGTCGAGGCACTTTGCTACGCTTTGCGCTTCTCTGTTACGTTTTTGCAGTAATATTGTATACATACCTAGGTAAAAACATTCTGTAAAAGGGATGCGAGTTGAACCGTACAACTAATTCACACACGAGTAGGGTTAATCAGCACTGGAATTTCACACAGCTAATCAACACAATTAACACACGGATAGATAAGATGAACTCAACAATTTGATAAGGCCTCTCGTAGGGTTACAGGCCTTCACTTAGGGGCTTGCTATCGTTGTACGTAATCACTTTATGTGGCACGAAATTCAGGCAACACCTTGCGAGCCAGGAGCGCCAGGGAAACAACGGGTTGCATTAGGTTTGGTGACAATGCATGTGGTGCTTCTGCCCGTCCACCCTCGTATGTTGACTCCTCTCTCTGGATAATTCGACGTCTCTCCCAATATTATTCTTTATCGATATTCCGGTCGTGCAGTTTCTTCGCCTCTCCTGCCCTCGCTAACCATAGCTCTAAGCAATATAATCCCTTCCGTATCCGGCCGAATCTTCTCCCTCCCACTTTTCGCCTTTCTTTCCAAGTTGCAGCCGGACATCTTGACCGCTACTTGGATGTCCCTAACCCGTTCTCCCGACGGGCGAGCGATGCCAAACGCTATTCGATGCTGTCGCCGCCAAGACCCGGAACCAGGGCCTCTGTCCTCCACGGTGCACCAACATGCCTAACCGCCGTGCCGAGTCGGCCCAACCACGGCCTTGCGGTAAGCTGGCCAACTGCCTAACTGGGCCTAGCCCGGCCGTACGGCGAGGACTTCCGCCGCATCCAACCACATCGACTTGTAGGAATAGGCTACCTGCCGCCGATGTCCGCTGGCCTCTTCCATTCAGCGTAGTAGGGGCGCTTCGACGCGAGACGGGGTGTTAACCGTCGTTAGCTTTCGGATTCCTGGTGTCGCGACGGAGAACGCCCCCGTATGGAAGCGTGCATGCGCAAACGAGGACATGTAGCCGTCTGTTAATGTTGATATATCTATGTAAGAGGGTTAGTACCTAAGGAAGTAAGAGGTACCTGTAAGTCGAGGTAATGCCGAACGGGGGTCGACGAAAAGAAAGAAGCCAGCAGCCTCTGCAGCGGTGGTAGGAGGTTTAGCGGGTGCGGGCGTGGTAAATGAGAATGCTAGCCCCTCTCCCTCTCTCTGTCTGTCTCTCTGAGTTCTCGTTACAGACCTTCCTAATCGAATAATGGCGGGTGTGTATGGTGATATCAAGTATTGACTGATGTAATTGTTATTCAAGTGTAGACAAGTAAGGCGCCTTCCAGCCTCAAGGGGGAGAACCACAGAAGGTGCCTCACCTACCTGAGGTACGTAAGCTAAACCGCGTGGGTAGGCACGTTCCACAGTATATTGAGTACCTACCTCTTATTGATATTAGAGACCCTCGTGCGGTAGGTACGTATTACTACCGCGTAACGGCGCCACGCGAAGTGAGGAAGCGAGGTCAATCGGAATCAAGGTGACCGAGACTTGCCTACCTCTCTCCTCTTCATAGGTAGGTGTGTGCATTACGTCTCGGCCCTGAGAGAGGGGATTGGGAGAGACGGAGAGGCGGAGAGAGCTGTTGACGGAACTTCGGCTTCTTCTCTTAGCATAGGAGGGGAGTCGACAGCACGAGTCCGATACAGCAAGTTCCCTCTGACCAAAAGCACCCCCTTTCCGCACTGGTGAGGTACCTAGAGTGCTGCTGCCATATGCTGCTTCCCTAACTTAGGTTACTTACCTAGGTACCTAGGTAAATCGCCAGCTCTCGGATTCCCATCATTCAACTGCCGTTACTTGCAGGTGCTTCGCAGAGTGTGCGTCCTTGTGTGTTTGCTTCTTCGCGTGGCGTTGCCACTTCTTGCAACTCTGGTCTGTCAGCGCAGTGAGTCAAGTCCAGGACAGAACCCGTCGCGAGGTAATCCCCCCTCTCCCCCTGCGTGGTCTCCCCGAACTTCTCCTCTCTCCCTCTCTCTTCTCCTTTCCCCCAACGGACCCGAGACCACATACTGCCCGGGTATTATCTACAGCCACCCTCTGCCTTCAGCCGCAAGCATCGGCACGATGACTCGCACAACATTCGGCGTTGATCATGGCTAACATATTTACCTCTCACCTCTTTTGCCCCATCGATTCAGTGCCTTCAACGCGACAACGCATCTTGCATCTTCATGCACACTGCTGACCCAGAGTGTTGCCATATTTTCCCCTTCGCCGCCAACTCGAACACAGCCAACGCGGACGATCTCTTTAACCCAGTTGAGGTGTTTCAGGCAATCGTGGGCGACCAACAGCAACGTCTCCTGTACCAGGGGCTTGGGTGCACTGACCGGGCCTGGAACATGGTCTGGCCGCATAACTCAAGTGTCCGAACCCAAGATTCGTCAACGATGAAGACACTCGCTGCGTTGGAAATTCACGACGATGGCCAACGGACGGGTACATCGACTTGCCTCTTCCTAGCAATGGATATCAGTTATCGACGTACATTATCTGGGGTGTTCAGGCCTCTCCTCAAGAGTACTTACTACCTACTTTTATCGTTAAGGGTGTCGCGGCTTCTGACAATCGCCGCAGCAACTCGGGTCCGGGCACTTGTGACAGCCATCGGCAGGGAGGTTTGAAGGTGCCCGACCCGTTGCCGGAGCCGTCGACTGTGGCTGTCTGCTGAAAAGGTTGATTTTGATCTGGTTGCTTCTGAGGTTGTCCTTGTCGTTGGGCATGCTGCTGGGGCTGCTGTTGAGGTGATCGGGGCGATCATGGACGAGGCATCTGCAGCTGGCTTCGGGGTGCAACGGGGTTCTCCTCGGCCGCGGCGAGCTGAGATTTTGAGTCTTCTATAGAGCTAGCCGACGGTTTCAGCGACATCTCCCGACAAACCACCCCCCCTCCCCTCGCCGCCCACCGACTAGGGAGAGAAGCAGTCGGTAGGGGTATAGTATATATACCTGTATACATTGGAGGCGCTTATTTTCTAGCCGGCTGGACATCGGTGACCTCGAAAATGCCGTCGAGCATGATTTCAACGTTATCTCCCAGACTGTCGTCAAATACGTACCCGGACGCAAAGCCAAAAAAAGAGGACATCAAGATCGACAATGTCTCCGAGGAGGAGCTCTAGGGGTTTTTCGTGGAACTTGACATGTAAGATAGCACAGCGGGGAGTATGGTCTGCACCCTTGTCTCGTGGATTCTTGAAGGGCAGGGTGCCTTTATCTTGTCACGTAGGGAACCCTGCCTATATTAGCCTGCGTAGCCCACGAGGGAGATGGGGGCGTATACGTTTCCACGTCACATACCTATGCCATTCAATTACCTTGCCTACGACTGCGACCGGTGATATGTTGATTAGAAGGCACGGCTCTCTTCGAGTGTCAGCACGACGGGATCTCGTGTTCCTTCTTGCCTGGCCGCAATACCCGATAATAGCGTAGTACACCACGTCTACACGTAATATCTAGGGAAGGCATAGCTGTTGGAATCATCAGGCAGGTTAGGCTGGTCCTCCTACCCCTTCACGGGGCCGGATAGTAGGTAGTCTCAGATAATGTCTAGATTCCGTGATACGGGCTCGTTTCTGAAGCCTCTTCACGCATTCCCATTTTTGTACACACTCGTCGAGCTCGATCAGTTTTCAATATCGCCTCAGCTAGCGCACCCTGCGCGGAGAGCCGCGGCTTTTGGTTAATCTGTATTTGACGCAGTCCCTAGAGAGATGATCTATCGTTAAGGCCACATCCGACGGTCCCATCATCAGTGCTGGTTTCGGTGGGCTCGCGCGCTGTTCCTCAGCTACGTCTTCTGCTCAAGTTGAATGCCTAGATACAAGCGAGCCGGCCCCCGAGACGCCATGTATAATCGGAGTAGCAACAAGCCCCACGGCCTCAGCCGGCGGAAGTCAACATTATCTGCGAGAGGGGTCCACTTGGAGCATATCCACCCCGAAACGGCGGAGCGTGACGCCCAAGCCGCGGCCGCCCAGGCCTTCGCGAGGGCGAGGAGACGATCTGCCACGGATACGGCGTTGTGGCCGCCGCCGCGGGATAACGGTCCTCGAGGGGACACCGGTAACCGTGACGAGAGATGCGATAACGGCCCTACTGTGCAGCGGCAGCAGAGCGTCCGCTTCGTCCGATCGAGAACTCCTAAGAACACACAAAACTACGTCAACATCGGTAGCTCAACGCCGGGCTCTGAACCGATTGCCGCAGTAGCTAGAGCCGCCGTCAACGGTCCCGAGAACCCGCAGACGGGATACAGTCCCGCCGGAGAGGTCAAATCTACATCGAGAAGAGCCAAGGGGGCCACTATTGACGCGGTCTTTGTCAGCGCGGAGCATGATATTCCCGAGGGAAACACTGTGTCGGCTCCAGCATCCTGTCACAGAATTCGCAGGTCCAAGTCGATGCTCGCAACCCCGAGCGCTAGCATGACTCCCAGATCCTACACCCATTCCCCAACTTCACCGGCGACGAATCGGATGCCCCTATCGTCCCTAGAGCCACCGTCCCCCGACACAGATGAGAATATACCACCTATGAAGGCGAAGGCACCGCAGTCTACGTCCTTCTTGACAGGGGCAGGGGGTAGAACAGGCTTAATTCCTCGTCGTCATGGCAGCGTGTCAATGGTTTCGTCTAAGGATGCCGGCGTTCAAGTTTTGCACGGCAACATAGGCCACGTGAAATCACAATCAGCGGGGTTTCCTCGTCGTAACAAATCAATTCACGCCGAGAGACCTCTCAGAAGGAGCATGAGAAATACCGATGGCGACGATAATATCCTACCCGCCAATCGCGTAATCTCAAAAGGGGCGAGTCTCAGAAGCCGAGCTCAGAGGGCGTCGCACGGCTTCAAGCACAAGTTAAAGAGTCTCTTGAACTTAGGTAGAGGGGATACCGATGAAGCGACATTCCCTCCACAGCACATTGAGGCTTCAAAGTCTCACGTCACGGATTTTAAGAGTCTCGATTCCGTCGGAGACGATGGGTCCCAACTCGGCTCTGCGGACGAAGAGGCTACTCTAGCTCGCGTCGGGTCTGGGATTCCGTCTTTACACACCATCTCTTCTCACCAGCAACCTCGCTCTCAGCAGGGAAGTTTGGACAGCCTCGGGAGCGGCGAGAGAGCCTCGGATACAAAGTCCCGAGTAACCAGCTGGACGAACTCGGACACTAATACGTTTGATACCCTACGTAGTCATGGAGCAGGCTGGATCCGGCAGCGTTTACCAATCGTCAAGGAAGACGACGCGCATGCCTCCTCATCGCCAACACCGCGGAAGCCAGCGACCGTAGACGGCCAAAGAATTTACTCGGCCCTCATGAAAAGGATCCATGGTAGAGGACAACATCCGGGGAAAGCCGACTTGAAGGAGCAGTCAAATTCTGGCGGTCCCATGGAGCCGGAGTTCCTACTTCCAGGGGGTAGCTCTGAAGAATGCGGAAGTGAAGAGCCCAACTCCCCTTCGACCATCCGCCATGTCTTCCCCGGCGGTTGCTCCGATACATCATCGACAGGGACGGTCCAGAGGAAGATGGGCGCAAACGTTCACATCGTCCATGCGGACTCGAACGGGTCTCCTTTGCGCACCAGCACACAGCCAAGAACTCGCACACCGGACCCCCTAGCGGGCGAGAGCAGCCGGCCGCTGTCGGGCCCGCGAATGGCGGAGGCGGCGACAACGCTTTCGTCTCGCAGCTCGGCCTTCTTCGCCAGCCCTACGTGCCATCTGTTCCGCACGAGGAGCCCGTATCGGCGCGCGCTTCAGGACTCGATGCGGATGGCGCCTCCGCACGCGCCGCTGGCGTCGCCCGGGTTCAGCCCCTGGATGCGGTCGCTGACCAGCTTGCCCATCCGACGCCCCAGCTCGTGCGAGTCCGACGTCGACGAGAAGATGCGGTACCCCGAGAGCGTATACTCAGACAACACAGCGGGTCCGGCGTCCGGGTCTCGGGGGAACGACGCGGCGTCGGAGAGCGGCGACGCTACGAGCTCACCCGGCGACCACGGAGACGCGACTATATTCCTCGACCCGCCGGCTCCCGCCCTCCCGGCCCGCCGCGTGACTTCGTCCTCGAGCTCCGTGGAGTGGAAGCGCTGGCTGTCCACGCACGTAGCGAAGCTCGAGGGTACGGTGGACCACCGCCAGGACGACGGCGGCGGCGGCGGGGAAGGTGCCTCCTATTTCGCGGGAGCGTCGACGGATGGTGTGCGGGCTCGCCATGTCCGCGAAGAAGCACAGATCGACGGTGACTCGGACTCGGAAGGCGAGCACGAACCGCGGCCTCCGTCTCCGCCAGACGCTCGCGACGAGCCCGCAAGCCCAGACAGCGCCGCGCTAAAGACGATCGGGCTAGACAGCAACGTGCGGCCCGCGGCCCGCCAGGTGTCGCGCCAATACAATGCTGCTCTAGGCCCTCCGCCGCCGCCGCCACCATTACCACCGCCGCCTCCTCCTCTCCCCCAAAAGACACCGCTCCTATCTGAGGCAGCGACGACGAACCAGCAGCAACGTGGCAAGGAAAACGAGGCGCCCGAGCCTGAGGCCTTCTCAGGGTCCCCGAAGCTTCGCGGTGCGCGGTCTGGGTGGGAGACACGGGAATCGTCCGCCGCGGCCAAGGGGACCCCGCCGCCGGCGGACGAGTGCTCGGGCGAGCGAAGGAAGACGGCGGCGACACAGGGGCTGCCGCTCAGGGGGGAGTCGTTCCCCGCGACGCCAACTGCGAGGCTAGTGCGCCGGCGGCAGCACCAACGGCAAGGGAGAGGCACAATATGGGGGACCGGCGCCGGGACGTTGCCGAGTCCGGGGCTCGCGGCGGCGGTGGAGGGGATATTTGGGAAGACAGAGACGAATACGGCGGATGCGGGCGCGGGTGCTGAGCTGGACGAGGTAGTGGTTGTAGCGGAGCGGGGGCAGGGGGGTAGAAGCCCGGGAGTGGCCGTGGTCGAGGCCGGGGGCAGAGACGGGGATGAGAGGGAATACGGTGCTATGGTGGGCGGAAGCAAGGGGATGGTGGATCGGTTCCTGAGCAGCCGGAGGCGGCGCGTGGCGGGTAGCGAGGAGGAGGGCGGCAGTAGTGAGAGCGCGCTGCTGTAGGTGCGGGTCGGATCCGTACGGGGGGGTATCTCGTGCGGCGACCGATTCGATCGGCGAGAAGGGCGCGGAGGGTCGTAAGGGGGAGGGCTGTGGTGGTGTGAGAGGGAGTAATAGGGCATATTACATATAGAAGATAAGGTGGCAAAAGTGGTGAGGGCGTCCGGGGCCGTGTTAGAAGGAGAGGAAGAAGGAGAAGAAAGGCTCGGACAAGTATGGCTTAGGAATAATTACGACGGCGCCTTTAGCTTCGTCGGGAGGGAGCTTCACGGCTGCTGAGCTGGTGTGTTGGCATAACGTAGTTAGCTATTCCATCATCAGATCAAGAGTTCTCCCCGGCGGTATCGACTAAGTTACCCGGCTACCCGTGCACGGCTTCTCCCGTCTCCCACGCGCAGAGCCATACCCTCTAATACCAACGACAACCCCTTTCTTGACGATGTGAAGCAGACACACGGCTTTCTGATACGGACAGCGTGGCCCCTTCGCGGGGCGAGCAGCCACAGGCGGGAAGGAACGTTCCCAAGTACAACTACCGAGTGGCCATCGCTCTGGTGGCACTTTCCCGGGCGCGATAGCGGCGCGCCGGACTCGCTCCGACGTACATAAATTAAAAAATATGCCTCGTGCAATACCCGTTATTTCGCCGCAGCGAATCCTCAGCCTCCGACCTAGGGATGTCACACTTATTTGGGCCGTCTCAGTACCGACATCAGGTCTGGGAGAAGGTGAGATGTTCCTTGCGGCCGAAACCGCTGCATCAGCGGGGTTCAGTGTGCACATCTGGTAGATGAGCTAAACAACGAAGACTACCAAGAAGCGCTGTTAGGAATCGAACCTATCCTCCGTTATATAACTTACTGATCTCTGGTGTCCTCGGCTTCGGCAATGGACGCGTTATACAAGGCAACCTGATAATTTCGATTCTACCCGCGTCCACCGAGATGGACCAGTCGAATTTCATCGCAGAACACCTCGGGAGTTGGCCTAGCGCGAGCTAGCTACCCAGGAGCAGCGACGACGGAATAGCGCGCGGCATAACGCGAGTCACCTCCCGGACTTTCGCTTTTTTTTATCGGTAAAGGTAAGGTGGCCGCAGGGGGGGTGGCCCGTGGTCATGTGACGGATGGTAGGTAGCGAAGCAAGTGCTTCGCGCAGTTCGGAGGTGATTGTCGAAGCGAGGACTGCTTCTGCTTCCGGCCCGCGATCGTGTCGCTGGGATCTGGGATAAGTCGAGTCTCCGGTGTCGCCGGCAGTACGATGACCTACGTTTCGGTGGAAGGGCGAGGCGAGTGTGGGTTTGGCGATGCGAGGCCAGACTCGAAGCTCTTTCGGGGGGGGGGGGGGGGAGGGTAACTGTACGTATGTGTGAATGAAACTACCTAAGCCACCTAGGGTTAACTGGGTGGCGTAAGTCCACTTGCCCCCGGTTAGAGGCGCTGCCTCGCAGTATACCAACGTAGATATACCAGCAGCTCCCAGGGCCGGTTAGGCGCCTAAGAGAGCTGGCGTAAACGGCGCGTGTTGAAAACGACAGTCGTCATTGGCCGGAAGCTGGTGGCTCGCGAGGCTTATGCTTAAACATGGTGGCTTCGGCCCTGAAGCTTCTATTTCTGGTTGGCGGCTCCTTATAATAGCAGATGAGCCATAATAGTGTACGAGTAGCGACGACGACGACGACGGCATAATAAGCCGTGGCTTTGAGGAATCGATTCTCTAGCTTCTCTGTATTCTTCCCTTCCTCGTATTCTCTTTCTGGTTCTATTTTTCTCTCTCCCTTCTCTTCTTCCCTTCGAGAACCTATCTGCGCTCCCTCCCCACCCCCTTTTCTCTTACTTATCTTTTCCCCTTTTCTTCCCTCATTTTCAGATTACAACGTCGCTTTTCTCGTCCCCTTCCCTCCTCCTCCCTTGTCTCTCGCCGCTTCCTGGCTCCTGTCTGCCCTGTGTAGTAAGTACACCTGTGTGTACGTGCGCAGAGGGGTCGTTGGCGCGTCGTGGGAGCGCCTCGATCTCTCTCGCTCCATGGCCGGCAAGGGTGGCTCGCAACACTACCGACGCAGCACACAAAGGTAACCCTATGTATGCAGGCACATATGATAGATATATTACTACACGTGCGAAATCCCTGCCGAAGCTTGTAGGGGACGCGGGTGAAGCGTACAGTAGATTGACGACCTAAAGCAGCTAAGAAATCAGCTGGGCGAATCGCGGGCGAGAGTTTCGGTTTCAAGACTGGTGGGTCGTCTGTCCTTGTCGTCGTTGGGATTGCGGGTTAGGGATCCGCATCCTCCCCACGGGCTGCGCCCCGCGCTATTGGCAAGTTCCAGAGTTGCCCATCATGGGTTTTGGCCTGAAGATTCGTAGGATTGCATCGTAGGTGGGTATCGGGGGGTTTTTTTTATTTCCCCGTGCCCCGCTGCAACTGCTGGGACGTCTAGCTAGTTGACATCAATGTGTGCAGCATTGCCTAGAGAGAAGGAAAAAAGAGACAGAAACAAGACAAATACAGAGAGAGACCTTAGGAGTGAGGGAGAAAGAGGGAGAGGAAGGGAGGGAGAGGGACGCAGAAGATGAATATAAGTAAACGGTAGTAGGTAATGGGAGCCTGGTTACGAGAAGGGACCCGCCCTCCTTACCTACCCCTTATGACAAGCGACAAGAGGTAACAGGAGCGAGCTAGCGGCGTCGTTAAAATGACGGTCGTAGGAGCTACGCCAGGTCGGCTATTTTGTACCTACTACTCACGACATGGAATCAAGTTTTCCATGTTTTCTCCACTGAGACGAGGCTGTTTCGACGCTGTTGTCGCCTCCCTCTCCCTGTCCTTGTGGATGGGGCCAGATCGACATGTGGCTCGTTCGATCCTCATCGCGTTGTGTGTAATTATAACATCCAGCAGTACCTACATGTCCATGTTTACATAGCTGGGTATATCAATACATACCCCTGTACGGTATATGTGGCCGTGGGCTAATTTAAGCATAATGAGAGAGAGAGATGTTATCGTGAAAATAACACCGCCAAACCCGACCCGCCGAGAATCTGGGAACGCAAACGTCCCTAACTGCCTCGCGATTTTGCGGCTCATCTATGCCCACACATCCTATGAAGGCACACATATACCATGTGCTATGCCTATACCTATACGGGATATATATTTGCAGACATGGATAGCCCGTCACAGAGTGCCGGGCAATTTCGCGAAAACGCTGGCCTTTACTCTCGAGGGACATACAGAGCTGTACAGAGTTCCCCCTTCTGGGTAGGTAGAGAGGTACGCTGGTCTTGGCTGTAACGCTCTCGGATCCGGTAGGGTACCTGGTGGCGTCTGCACCGAACGCGTAGGCGATTCCATTATCGCGCAGCGTCGTATTGTATGTACTACGTGGTACTCTCTAGCGAACCTACTCCCCCTTCGACATCCCTAGCCTCAAACACGAACCGAATGCGACATGCTAGGAGCGTCGGCGTCGAGTCGCGATGGCGGCCGCCTAAACCCCTCGTGGGAGTTGGGTGCGTCGAAGGAGGGAGGCCGGCAGGAACATAATAAGTGCCCTTCGCCTTCCTGTCGCCGCCTAAGAAGGTTCTTTTTAGGGACTTGATTTCGATTCCCCCCCCCCCTCCCTCCACCCACCCTACGTTCTCTCCCGCGCCCCGGGGGACCCGCCATGGATGATAATAAGAGGTTACGCAGCACATCTTCTTCGCGCGACTAGCACTTAATCTAGCCTCGGACCTCACCCAAGCTACGATGGATAACAATTACCGCTACGGCGTCGAGTACAGCGAGAACGTGGCGCCCAAGTACCCGGCGCCCGAAGGTCAGGAGGGGCTTGAGGTCGTGCAGAATTCGACGATATATGCATCGCCCATACACCCCACCACGCCGTACGTGGTAGGAAGCGAAAAACGGCAGCCAGCTCCAGTTGCGGTCCCGATGGGATGGGGCGCCGTAACGTCGCCAGCGACGACCATACAACCACCATCGGCCGCATCAGAGACAGCACCGGCGGCTCCTGAGGCGGGCGAGGAGGAACTGAAGAAGGACGAAAGGAAACGGATATTGGGGCTCACCGTACCGATATTCTGGCTAGTGGTCGTGATCATAATCATCATCCTCGCGGCAGGCATCGGAGGCGGGGTAGGCAGCGGCCTGGCGCAGCAGTCGAAATCAAACAGGTACGGCTGTCAACTTACCACGGTGTATGGGATCTCGTTTTGTGCTAAATTCCTTCTCTATGCTTAGCGAGTCCTCGAGCGTCTCTCAAGAATCGTCGTTATCGGGGTCATCAGGGGCAAGTGGCGCCGGCGCCTCGCCCACATCATCATCGTCGCCGGCGGCCTCGACGCCGACGGCGACGACTGGCGGCCCCGTGCCCGTGGACGGCGGGTGCCCGGCCATCAACGGCCAGAACAGCACGCCCTACGCCGTCGACGGGAACCCGATCCCGCTCGAGAAGGGCGGCAGCCCGCAGGAGTTCCGGATGCAGTGCGCGACCAACTACGTGGCGTCGGCGGCGGCGCGCACGCACAACATCCTGCGCATCTTCATGCCCACCCTCGAGAACTGCATCATGGCCTGCGCCGAGTACAACTCCGCGTACCGGGCCGGCCTCAACGCAGGGGCCGGGGTCGGCGGCGGCTACTGCGTCGCTGTCACCATCGAGAAAATTGAGAACGGCTTCTGCTACCTCAAGAACGGCACCGCCACCAACGACACCCTCGGCCAGCCTCGCATATACTCGAGCGCTGTACTGCTGACGGATACCGACTCGTAGAGTACGACCACAGGCCCGTGCCGAGACCCTCTAGCGGTTACGGGTTGAATACGCGGGTTGTTTTGGACCGGTTTCTTATGTCCGTCGGCACGGAGAGACGAGTGGTGGTATGTATGAAGCGGATGGTGGTTCTTTTCTATCGATCCCCGTGTGGGGGAGACCAGACGGCGTTTTCAAAGGTACGATTAGGTTGCACCTCAGCTACCTACCTCTCTGATGTGGTTTCCCCCGTGCTCTCTTATGTAACCCGGCTTTCATTATCCCCGAGCTACCTGTGTCGCATCCCCACCACCTACTCAACTTCTCCGCATCTCTTCTTCATATCTCATCCTCACAATTCACTGTCTACATTGCCGAATGTACCAGGATCTATCCGCTTGGCTTGGCGGAAAATCATACAGGCCTGGACTTGAGCACGTCAGCAAGGAACGAAGCCAAGTAGAAGGGCCACAGAGGCAGCCCTTGCTTGTTCTCTGCGTATGATGTACTTTACTTTACTTGTTGATGTATTAGTAAAACCGGGACCGAAGTCCTCAGGTACACATGTGTAGTTCAATTCTTCAAATATTACGCTTCCATCTTTTTGACATGCCTATCTCTGCAAGTCTCTTGGTCGTGTATTGACATCGAGCACCTACCTTGGCAGTTGATAAACTCCCATACTAAGGCCTCTAACACTAGGTGGTTAGACGGCTTATTCGCTTAACTCAAGAGACTGGCCATTTTAAGACAAGGGGGGGTGGGCCCGCGTAGGCAGCAACTAAACAGTAACAGTAGGCCTGTTCCCGATCCCAAGCGTATCCGTATACGGCCTCGTGCGTTCGGGAGGAATTCCAAACACGCTAGGAAATCAAGTATTACGGGGCAAGTAGTTGTAACTTGTTGTGAATGTTTCATTCTCGTTATTCGAGCCTGAGACCTTCCGGGGTCTCATGACATCCATACCGCGTAACTTTCAGTGCCAAGTGATGCATACCCGTTTGGATCGCGAAATCCATCCCTTCTCTTAATCCCACACCACCCTCGGTTAAATATAAATGCGCCATGAAAAGCCTTCCGAATCTCTATACCTCGTTTCGATAGTCTGTTGAGCTGGAAGCAAGTCCCCCAACGGAGATCAAAAATGATTACTACGGGGCTCGCTCTGCACAGTAGCTGCAGGGTCTCTCTTGACTGCATCATCGCCTGTGACTTGTTGCTGGTCGTTGGTAATGGCATGCGAGTTCCGGCGAGGGACCTGTTCGCCGGCGTGTCTCTGTGCTTGTGCTGTAAGGCCGCCCTTGACGGGCCGGCTCTGACCCGTTAACCGCTCTCCAGCAACTGTGGTTGCAGAGATAAGGTGCGAGCCCAAGCGGGCGGTGTGCGCCGGAACAGGATTAACTTTCTAGGTAATAAGAAGTGAGAGGACGAGGTTAGCTTGAGATTACTTAGCCAGCGGGGGAAGGGGGGGGTGGGGGCTCACAGGGGAAGCGAGTCTTTGGATGAGGGCTCCCGGTCCGCCTTGGATAGGCACGTCTCCTCGCGTCGCTCTGTTTTCGCCCTGGGCGATGTCAGAGACGATCCTACCGGTGATGTTCTCGCCGGCGTGCTTCTGGGCCTGGGCAGGAGGGCCATCCTTCGTTGGGCCATCTTCGCCAGCAAGCCGTTTCTCCCTAGCGGCGATCTTGGAGAGAATATTCGAGTCGACGGTTCTATCACTAGCCATGGCGAAGCTTCCAACTAGAATCTTACGGGAAATAGGCCGCGGACCGTTGCCGATAATTAGCGATGTCTTCTCGAGAGTCTGTGTGAGTACGGATCTTGACTGTAGTGGGCGGACGTAAGTAGTAGGTATCTACTGGCTGCGTGTAGGCCCGGGCATGGCCAAAGACGATATCATCGTGCTAGACAATAATTCACCATTCGAGGACGGCCCTTCCAGCAAACGATGTCTCGGTCTCTCTGGCCCCATAATACCTATACCAGGCGGCACCTGCTTGTGCCTGAAGCAGACGATAATAGTTGCGGCCGTTGCGCTGGTGTAAGGCTCGGGCAACTAATACCGTGCAGGTGGGCTCGGAGATACCTCCGGGCCCGCTGACGACTACGCACATAAGCAGGTACCTACATACATTAGGTACCTGAGCGCCACGTAGGTGCATAAGCTCTATGCTCAAGCTCCGGGCTACTTAGGCAAGGAGGCCGGTAGGCCACTTCCCTTTGGGGCAATGGCAGTAGTGGTAGCAGCCCTATGACAACATCGACTTGGTGTAAGGAGCGGTTGCTCAAAACTACCTCGTGGCAACCTGACTATCCAAGTTATACCTGGGTAGTACCTTAGGTGCTTCTTTCTATACCTACCTTAGGTAACTACCTGGTAGGTACCTAGGTATGCCAGGCATTAAGTATCACCTGCCCTAGGTAGGCACAGCATGGAGAAAGAGCGTCTACAGTTAAGCACGTACCTAGGCATCTGGGGTGCGAGAAGGTGCGCCGTGCAAATATTGCCATTAGGCACCTGCTCTAGGTGCCCAGACAGGCGTTCTATTATACAGGAAAGCGCACCCTGATCGCTTCTCTTGTCCCCCTGACGTAAATCCTTAGTCTGGAACGACGACGTCGATGTGGACGCGACACATCAGGTACTGATATCTCCGGGGAGGTGACAATGACGATTTCCATCTCTCTACGAGGCTGTTTGCGAAGAGATAATATCATTCATTTATTCAGATGGTCCATTACTATCGGTAATATGTCTGGCCTCCTGCACAGACGGGAGACTAACGACCGCTACGACAGTCTCTGTACATAATAGGTACTTCTCTGTCCCTCCCGCTGCTACTACGCACACAATTTGATAACGAGAGGCATCTGTTTGTATCCCCGAACCGCTCTCCGTGTCGACGTAGGTATTAGAACGACCTCAAGCTACTCCATGGTTATAAATGTGACAACTATTACGGCCGGGACCAGCGCCGCCTCTTGGCAATGGGAAATAACCATGTCGAGATCTATGTCGAACGTGTGAGGAGCCGTCTTCAGGCTAAAACACCATCATCCGTCTGCTCAGTTCGATGCGCAGTCGTCGTCTCTGACCCATGGCGCGGTCTCCGGTAATGAAATAGCCTCACTCCCTCACTCTCCTCCCCGCAGTCTAACAGCTGATGGCTGCATAGGTTTGGGGTCGTGCCTGTTGCGATTCGACCGTCCTACTTACCCGCGGACATGTACGTCTTGCACCCCTGTATAGCAGTCGCCGGCGGTTGATTGGGATAAAATCTCGTTGGGTACATAATACCTACATCTCGCGCATATAAATAGAGCCACGTGCGAGGATCGTCCTCGTCGAGGACCCTAAGCCGAGGGATTGCGCAGGCTGATATGGCCAAAGGCGAAATTGTATAGAAGAGTGTTCAGATGGATTTCGGTCAGGCTATAGGAAGCACTGCTGTGCTGTTCCTGGCGGTGATGGGATCTGGCGTGGCCGCCAGGGACTTTCCGAACTGCCAGTCCGGACCTGCAAGTCAAGCCATGACGCTCCCTCAATCTTGCCTCCTTCTACCGAACCGACACTCGCTGACAAAAGACGTGGCAGCTTGCCTCTAACCAAGTGTGTAATACAACGCTCGACCCGTGGGCCAGGGCGGCAGCTGTAAGACTCCCAAATGCCGCCCTTTGCATAGAGATAATGTCTTCTTGCCCTGCTAACCCCCAACCTCACCTCCTTTCAAGCTTGTCGCCGGGTTCACCCGCAATGAGAAAATCTCCAACTCCTGGGATAACTCCCCGGGGGTGTCCCGCCTAGGCCTCCCGGCTTACGAGTGGTGGAACGAGGCGTTGCACGGTGTTGCCCGGTCCCGCGGCGTCCAGTTCGCCAGCTCGGGCAACTTCAGCTACGCGACCTCCTTTCCGCAGGTCATAAACATCGGGGCCACCTTCGACATGCCGCTGGTCCGCGCCATCGCCGAAACCACTAGCACCGAGGCCCGCGCCTTCAGTAACGCCGGCCGCTGCGGGCTCAACTTCTGGACTCCAAACATCAACCCGCTCCGCGACCCGCGCTGGGGCCGTGGCCAGGAGGTCCCTTCCGAGGACCCTTATCTGATTAGCCAGTACGTTGTGCAGCTGATTCTAGGTCTCCAGGGCGGGCTCACAGCGGACCCGTACTACAAGCTTGCCGCCACCTGTAAGCACTTCGCCGGCTACGACATGGAGAACTGGAAGGGCAACCGCCGGTACGCCTTCAACGCTAAGATCACCGCTCAGGACCTCCAGGACTATTATCTGCCTCCGTTCCGCGCATGCGCGCGCGATGCCAACGCCCAGTCTGTAATGTGCAGCTACAACGCCGTAAACGGTGTGCCGACCTGCGCCGACCCCTGGCTGCTCGGCGATGTGCTGCGCGGCCTCTACGGTTTCGCTAGCGAGGACCGCTGGGTCACTGCCGACTGCGACTCGTTGGAGAACGTGTGGACGGACCACCGCTACGGCAGCTCCGCGGCCGGCGCCGCCGCTGCCAGTCTCAACGCCGGCACTGACCTCGACTGCGGCCAGTTCTGGCCTCAGAACCTGCCGTCGGCGTACAACTCGCGGCTCTTCAACGACACCGTGCTTGACCGCTCGCTCATCCGCCGCTACGCATCCATGGTGCGTGTCGGCTGGTTTGACCCCCCCGCACGTCAGCCGTACCGGCAGCTCGGGTGGGACTCTGTCGCGCGGCCCGAGGCGAAGGCGCTGGCGCTGCGCGCTGCCCAGGAAAGCCTCGTGCTACTCAAGAACAGCAACAGTGCGCTACCGCTGGCGCCTTCGGTCAAGCGTGTCGCCGTCGTGGGGCCCCTCGGCACGGCTACGACGCAGATGCAAGGGAATTACTACGGTACCGCGCAGAGTATCTCGACGGTCGTGTCGGCATTCCGCAGCGCCGGATACGAGGTATCGAGCGCGCAGGGGTGCGGTGTGACGGGGTCTGCCACGTCTGGGTTTGCGGCGGCGCTAGACGCAGCGCGAGCTGCGGACGCCATCGTGTTTGTCGGCGGCATTGACGTCAGCGTTGAGGCCGAGGACCGTGACCGCGAGCAGATCACCTGGCCGGGACAACAGCTGCCGCTGATCCGGCAGCTCGCGGCGGCCAAGGGTGCAAAGCCGCTCATCGTCGTGCAGATGGGTACCACGGTCGACAGCTCTGAGTTGGTTGCGAGCGTCAACGTTGATGCATTGCTCTGGGCCGGGTATCCCGGGCAGGACGGAGGCGCGGCCATTTTCAGTGTGCTGACGGGTGCCTTCGCGCCTGCCGGCAGGCTGCCCGTAACGCAGTACCCCGCCGACTTTGTCAACCAGGTCCCCATGACGGACATGAACTTGCACCCCGGCACGAATAACCCTGGGTGAGTCGCTGGCGTCTCTCCCACCCCCCCTCCCCCAAGCACTCACTGGCTAGCAGGAACGCGGACGACTAACGAGAGTCCGCCGCCGCCTCTAGACGCACGTACAAATGGTACACGAAGGACCCGGTGTTCGCCTTCGGACACGGGCTGCACTACACGAACTTCTCGGTGTCGCTGCCGGTGGACCTGCCCACCACCTTCGCAACGGCGGACCTGGCGGCAGCGGCGGCAGCAGGCCCAGCCTCGAGCCACGCGGATCTGGCGCCTCTCACGACGGTGCGCGCGAAGGTGACGAACGCCGGCAGCGTCACGTCGGACTATGCCGCGCTCGCGTTCCTGCGGGGCGCCAACGGGCCGGAGCCGCGGCCGGCGCGCAGCCTCGCCGCGTTCGCGCGCGTCCGCGACGTCGCGCCGGGCGCCACCGCCGAGATCACCCTGGAACTCTCCCTTGGCGCCGCCGCCCGCAGCGACGCCGACGGCCGCCTCACCCTCTGGCCCGGCCGCTACAGCTTCGTCATCGACCTCGACGACCGCGCCGTCTGGGACTTCGAGATCACCGGCGAGGAGCTCGTTCTAGAGACGTTGCCGCCGAAGAAGTAAGGAGGGGGGAGAAGAGAGAGAGAGAAGGATAAGGGGACCGAAGTAGAGAGGAGGGGAAAGATAAGGTGAGAAAAGGGGGTGAGCGAGACGAATCGATCAAGGTGACAGCGGGACTACTAACCCATATGAATCGGAATGGTAGAAATGCCTACCTAACCTAGGTAACATCCGGCTGGCCTATATCCCCATGCCAGTAGTCCGCATGATTTCTGTGACTAGAGTATTATTACTACCTACAGTTGCTAGCGTTCCATAGTGGCAACGATTAGCGCGAGACGCCGAAATCGTCTACGCGACACAACCGATACCCGTCCTCCCTCCAGCGCTCGTTGCCCACGCAGGGGTGGCACCAGAGGATGTCGAGCGGGTCCACCTCCCGCTTGATCTGCAGCAGGCGGTCGTAGTTGTCCCCCCAGAACGCGAGCTGCCAGTCCGGCTCCCCGGGGTTGTTCTGTGCGTTTTCGCGGCCGATTAGCCCGACAGACAGCGTGTGACGATCGGGGTCGGTAGGGAAAGAGGGGTAGAGGAGAGAAGAGGTGGGTGCGGCGCTCACCTCGTTCACATAGGCTCCCATGTCGGGCGCTAGCCGCCGCAGCAGCTCCGTCCTCGCGTTGACGTCGGCGAGGGCATCCCGCCTCGCGCCGCCATCCAACGGCGGAAAGACGGCCGACGCGACTGTAGCGCCGAGGGAAGCAGGCGGGCACGGTTAGCGTCTAGTCCGGCATGAATTAGAGGAGGGGGAGGCTTACGGGCGTGGCCGAGAGCTCGCCTCCACGACGGATGCACCGCGTTGCCGCCGCCTCGCGGCCGCGCCTCCCAGACGCCGCGCCCGGCGACGAGGAAGACGGCGCCGCCGAAAGCGCCGAAGGCCTCGCCGAGGGCGGTGGCGCTGTTCCTATCGAAGGCCGCGGCGTCGAGGAGGTGCGAGCCAGCCCAGACGTCAGAGCCGGCCAGCGCGCGGTCGTAGTGGGCGTCGAACCAGTCCAGCAGAGACCGGTACGGATGCGCGGCGACTACGTGAGCCACGTCCGGCCAGGTCCGGTCGATGTGGTCGAAGACGGGCGCCAGGATGGAGAGCGCGTCGTTGACGTCTTGGGTGTCTTGCACGAGGAAGATGGCTGCCATGCCGGCTCCGGTTACCGTGCCGCCGCTCCCGTCGGGTTGCACGAGGTTCCCCGAGATGTAGCTGTATCCCGACACGCCCTCGGACGTGAGGTAGGGAAATTGGGAGAGCAGATACCCCACCATGTCCCATATGTACGTAGCGTTGAGGTCGAGCGTGTACACGCCGATGTCGAACCCCACTATCTGCGGCGAAGGGTGCGTGGCTAGCGTGACCGAGGTCATGACGCCAAACGTCGAGCCGCCGCCCTGCAGAGCCCTCCCCCCCCTCATTAGAATCGTCCTGGCGCGGCGCCCGCGGCATAGGTGGACTTACGCCTCGCACGGCCCAGAACAAGTCCTGGTTCTGGCACTCGTTCAGCACGACAATGTCGCCCATCGGCGTCACGACCTCCATCTCTAGGACTTGGTCCGCGCCGAGGCCGTAGCGCGGTGAGAGGACGGAATGGCCGCCGCCGCTTATGTATCCGCCGACGGAGACGGATTTGCTGTTGCCGCCGACTATGGTCCGGTTGATCTTGTCCAGCTCGCTGTACAGATCCATCATCTGAGACCCGCCTCCCGCCGTCACGGCCGGGCTGTCGATGGTGAGGTTGCAGCCCTGCGGCCTGAAGGAAGTGTGCGTGCGCAGCCCTCGTAGGTGGTGAACCCAGATCGAGAGAGCTCCCGGCGCTTGCGATCGCCCCTGGTAGTCGTGGCCGGTGCTCTTTACTACCACTCGGATGTTGTGTGCCCGCGCTACGCACATGCGCGATTAGAATCTCTCCATCGCCGGGGGTCAGCGCAGCGACTGCACGCTGTTTAAAAAAAAATTTCGAGGGTCTCACCCACCAAACTGCAGACCGAGCTGGACGTCGCGGGCGCTCGTCGCATTCACGACCGCGGCAGGATATCCGTCAGGGCTGCACGGAGCACCTGGGTTAGGAAGACAGGTGTCATTATTGAATTGCTGCCACATGTTTGAGACGGGGTCGTCCTGGTGGAAGTCATAGCTGAACCACCCTGCGGCAACGGCTGCGCACCGGCCGGCATCGTAGGCGACCTGTCTGGGATGGCAGACAGCTCCTGGCGGAGTCGGCCGGAGAAGTCTTCCCCCGACAGACTCGTTGAATCGGGCCCAGACCGCTTCGGAGGGCCACCGGGCGTCGCTGGGAGCCGTCTTGCACTCGCTCGGGCGGCGGCCTGGCTCTCCCGCCCTTGCTTGCCCTGAGAGGACATTGCCATAGGCGGGCACAGACACGAGGGCAAGGAGGAGGAAAAGGAGGAAGAGGGACCTGGAGACGGCTGACATGGCGCTGTTAGCGACGGTCGAGACGTGACTATCAGTGGGCAATCGTAGGCGCCAAACTTACAGGGTAGGTTTGTATACCTATGTATACGTATCGAGCGGACGGAGCTTCGTTTTATGGACTGGCCGGCGAGAGAGGATAAATGCCAGCAATATACTCCGGGACGAAAAGTCCATTCCTGTTTATCGAGCTGAGGTCCCGCCGCTTTAAGCAGGCCGGTCTGCGGCTGAGACATCCTGGTGGGCAGAGAGCGGGTTCTTACTTATGTAAGCACCTATCCGAACGCGATGAAGGTAGGTACCTAATACAGGCACCACGTACCTAGGAATAGGTATGTCGGCAGCGAGGATGATAGGGCACAGGACTACTGAGCAATGCGCGGGTGATTGAAGCAATGGTAAAGGTGAATATTCTAGGTTCGGCTTGATTATCCTGGATTAATCTGATTCTAAATATCCCTTTAGCTTGGAGAGGCCGAGGAAGTCGTTCTCGCGCTGGGCATACTCGGCACCTTCAATCGACCAGCCCCACGTGCCTGTTTTGACACCAAGTTTATCTCCTTCATGTTGGCAAGAGTCAAAATCGATGATGACCGGGCGGTCTGCATCATCGATCATGATGTTGGATGGGTTGATGTCATTGTGGACGAGGCCTAGAGAATGCATATGCCGTATCCCACTTTCGATACCTTGGAGACAACGCTCTTTATCGAACGGGGTTTCCATTCTCAATCTTTGGGCAAGAGTCATTGCGTATCGAGCGAAGCAGAGACCCTTGATCCTGTCACCCTCCACAATGCAGCCAATGTATGTTGCAATGTTGGGATGTGCATGCCCCTTTAGAAGCTCGCATATCTTCGCCTCGTGCAGGATCTGGCTGCTCAGCTGTAGAGATGTCGTTGTATCGCCATAGTCAATGAGGCTAGGCTCTTTGACGTAGGAGTTCGGGGGGGGAGGGTCCGGCGATAGAGACAATCCCGGCGCGTAGTGCGGCCAGATGCTGTCAGACGGGATCGGTGATATCTGAAGCTGGCTTATATCGACTGGAGACGACGCGCCAATACGATCTGTGGTTGTGGTATAGAAAAATTCGTTATTTGGCCCGCGGAGTATAAGTTTGGTAAAGGCAAATTCAAGATCACCGTCTTTCTCGACAAAGGCTTCGCTTCTCTGGTAAATCTCCATTACCTAGCTTTCCTGCATCAGGTTAAACGAAGGTCAGGGGGTTGCAATTCATGAGGCCTATCGATATGAAAGGGGTTAGATGTCTTATAGCAAGGGCTTGTCGTTCGAAGGGAGCAAGTAGGTAGGCGAAGAAACACGGGTAACGTGACCGAGGTCGGCCGATTCTGCTTGGATACACCGCTTTAGGCACAATCGTAACAACGTCCCAGTCGGCGGCGGCAAGTTCGGAGCGCGGGGTAATTTGAAGCTCCATCCCGCAGCCAGGTTACAAGCCAACCCAACTCATCCACCACACCTCTTTTATTGATTCTTTTTGCGATCCAACGTTGCTTTAGAAGTGTATCTTAAACCAATATAACAAATGATGGTGGCGGTAGTGGTAATGCAGCTATTTAATCGTGACAGCGCGGCTACTTAGTGGTGGTGGTCCAGTGGCAGCGGTGGCTCTCGACGCCCAGGTTCATCCTAGAGGCAGGGGTTGCACCCCAGCAGATGTGTATTGATACGTAGCGAGGAGCAGATGGCCCTGAGGTAAGTACCAATATTCCGCTAGCACGATCACATTACAAGGCCTTATATACGGAGGGGGCGGAATGGGAGCCGTAAGTAATATACCTGCTTCGGAGGCTAGGTTCCTTGCCCAGTTCTAACCTATTCTTTCAGAACTCCGTGTCCGACAATCCGAGTTTCGTAGGCCGGTTCGGGGGAATTCGTCTCCCGCTGACCCCGAACTTAGTGTCCGTCTTTCCGGAGCTATCCCCGCTGCATCGTCCGTCCTCCTTCGGTCGAGCAGAAAGAGATGCTTTTACGCAAGACTGCAGCTGATAGACTGCGGTACCGAACTGGGGGGTGGAGAAGCGGAGGGATCGTCCCAATCATTGCTATTTGCCATAGGCATTAAAAACTCGCAATCGTCCCAGTCGTACGTTCGTGATGCCACCCAGCAGGCTTCGTCTTATCATCAAGTCCGGAAAGAGGAAACGGGACGAAGAAAAGAGGACGGAGAAGAGGGGGATTGGCTTCGCACGCCATTCACGTGACGGTTGACGCTATCGCTTTGTCAGATTGTGTAAGTCTTCCTTCTCTCTCCCTCTCCGTGTCTCTCTCCGATCAACGGCGGGGACCGTTATCTAGACATTCTACGATAGATATGAAACTGAATATATGAGTATTAAGCTTGTATCGTCGCACTCGTCAGTCGACTTACCCGGCACCGATTTGGCGATTCGTGACCTGTGTGACCGGTGACCGGGGACCAGTAACCAATAACCACCGAATCTGCCCATCTTATTGAAGCATGACGGTGAACTCGGCGGCCCGGCACTTGCGCGTGGCCATCATCGGGGGCGGGCCCGGTGGCCTCGCGACCGCCATCGCCCTGACCAAGATTCCCCACGTCTCCGTCACCATTTACGAGCAGGCTGCCGTGTTGCGGGAAGTAGGTGCCGGCATAAGCATCGGCACGAACTCGTGGAACGTGCTCCAGTTGCTCGGCGTCGCCGACACGCTGACCAGTGGACACCCGACATGGGCCATTATAAATATGTGAGTTTCCCAAGAGGGCGGCGAGCCCCCACTAAGTCCCGCCCAGGAATGCGCGCTCCGGCGAGGAAATCGATCGCCGTGAGAAGGTCAGGGACGAGACTCAGCGGGCTCCGGTTCGCACTCAGCGCACGAAACTTCAATCGGCGCTCCTAGCGCATGTAGAGCCAGGCCTGATACAACTTTCCAAGAAGCTGGAGCGTATGCTCGACAAAGGTCGAGAAGGTGTCGAGTTGCACTTCGAAGACGGCACCACCGTTACTGCGGACTTGGTAGTCGGCGCAGACGGTATCAGATCAGTAAGAACACCCAGCGCCCTAATGGCTTATACGAGAAGGGCCCTTTAAGAATCGTGAGTGTGAAATAGGTTGTTCGAGACACGGCCTGGCCAGGCTATGAACTCAGTTTTACCGGAACGACAATATGGAGGACCCTGATACCATGGGACGACGTCAAGGAGCTGGACCCCCGCTTCGGGACCACAGGCTGGTGGCACGGGACGTCCTCGTACGTCTACTTCTCTCCCGTTGGCGAGGGACTGTGGGAGATAGCATCCAGATCCTGGCAAGACCCTGCTCTCCAGAGTGCCGACAAGAAGAGTTGGGGGGTTCCGGTAGAGAACGCATTTGTTGAGTCTCATTTCAAAGTATCTCCCCGATTCCCTTAACGATATCCCGGCGTTGTTCTTTTGGAAAGGCACCTGCTCATACAAATATTATGGTAATAGGACTTTCTTCCTCAGATACAAGAAGCACTCTCACGGGTACCTCAAGGCCACTGGCGCGAGTTTGCCGCCTTTGCCGGTCCGGAGCTTGCCCAGCTCACGGCGTGGGACAGTAAGGTCGTCCTTGTCGGGGATGCCTCGCACGCCCTGTCCGGCGCATTCGGGTCCGGCGCGGGATTCGCGATGGAGGACGGCTGGATCCTGGCACAGGCCCTGGCCTATTGGAAGAACGACATCAGCAAAGCTCTGCCGTTGTTTGACACCATCCGGCTACCGTACTACTCGCGCATGTACGCGCATCTCGCCGCTGAGGCCAATAAGCGCGCTGCCAAGCTCAAGGCGCTTGCCAATCCGACGTATGACGAGCTAGTGAGGAATAGGATCATCACCGACGGCGGCGAAGACATGTCTTGGATTTATAAGAACGATATCGGGGCGGTCTGGAAAGACTGGGTCGACACACAATAGGCCGCTTCCCAAGGCAATACTGTCTCCATTAGTATTTAGCCATTCTTGAAAAGAGGGAGATGCCGGGCAGATCTCTTCTCCGCCCCCTTTTAGATCTTCGACGGTATTCTGCGCAGCTTAATACATAGAACACATAGAAGACACCTAACTGTTTACGTGGTGTTCCTGCTATGACACGTTAGGGATAAATGAAACGTAGATGAGAGAGAAAGAGTAACTAACGAGCTAAAACAAAAGCGACGAAACAGTACGAAGATAGCTGTAAACTATATATATGCTTAACCAACTTAAGTAAGCTAGATTGCTCGCCACGGAGGAGTAGCTCTGAGCCAGAGAGTCATTAGAGGCGTATGCGAATGTAACATGAAGGTATAGCGTATAAAGACATGCGAAAATTAAGGGACTGTCTGCATGGGGAGGTAAAAGGGCTTTGTGACAATATATGTACCGTTAGATTAAAGGGAAGAATTAGAGGTTCCATGCTGCTACGCCTCTCCCCTTTTCTTCTCCTATATGAAGCGACCAATCTCACCTCTTCTTGTTTTCCAACTACTCATCGTCTTCGGACCCTATTCTAGATAAGCAATAGCCTGTTACGACCTAGAATACGTCGATGCGCAAGAGCAGCTTGTGAGGCCGAAGGGGCTCATATCCCCAATGGCGTGACGATTGCCGCTACCGAAAGTCGATCCTCTTCTCTCATAGGAGCTGACACGTCGATCGAGGGGTCCTGAGTTAGCATAATCGAGGCGGGCCACGACGGGAGAGGCCTCAATATTACGGAGTTAGGTTGATAGGTCTGGTCATCCCGCCGGGGCATAATGGTGTGCATCCTCGTCTGGAGGAAATGCTGCGCCTGTGCAAAATATTACAAGATGCAGCCCTTCCTGGACCCGGACATTGATTTTGCCCATGACGCGGACTTAATTACTAGGTGCCGACGACGGCAGTAAGATAAGGTAGGTCGCTCTAGGTCCCCCTCGTGGGTGGCCCGGCTAATACGGGACCCAGGCAGCCACATGCAATAATGGCAGCTCATAGTGCTATTGCACCGAGAATCACCTCCTCGGCTCTTCTCGCCATTATCGGCTATAACCTTTTCCCCAACCCATATGTCCTATTGCTCACTGATCTCTTCTCGAGCCGCGTCACACGAACATTCAAAGTTTCATGCCGGCGACATTACCCGTTAAGTTAGGTTACCGCTTCACGAGCCACCCCTTCGCGAGCCGGGTATTTTGTATGGGTTTACATATAAACGATTTATCCCCGTAAAAAACCGGGAAAAACTCGGAAAATTCCGAAACTTACTTACGTAATCAATTAGCTTAATTAAATTAACATGTGAATTTTTCGAATTTTTTCCTTACTAATATAAGAAGTTATATACGATTTTAGGTTTTTTGAAACTGCACTAATAGTTTGCCATATAATTTATTAGTAAATCTATTAACTGTGCTCTGTATCGGCCTCTGAACCTATTTCTTTCGCGGTAATAGAGTGGGTCTATTACCTAATCCTTTATACTATTGTTGGTAGGTACGTACGTAAAGTAAAGTAAATAATAAATAGGTAGGGAATAATAAGGTAAGACTAGTTATATTAAGATGTTTAATCTAAAGGCCATTACCTATTATAGGTAGAGGATTAGGTTAATCCTTATATGCCTATAGGTATTACGTACTAGATATATAGTACTTAGGTAACTCTTTTTAATCGCTAATTAACTATTACTTACTCTGTTTTCTTTTCGTAATTATTAACTAATAATTACGAATTATTATTCCCTTTTTACTTATCCTTTTAATTTTAGGTTAATCTGGTTACTTTCTACTAAGGTCCTTATAGCCTCGTTTAGCGATACTTTTATCATAACGTCGGCGGGGTTATAGTTCCCGTGGATCCATCGGATATCGTTAATCTCCCGATTCTTATACGACTGCCTTAGTATTATTAGGTCGATTATTAAGCGCTTTTCGTTAGTGCTACCTATCTAAACTAGGTATTAATATAACGATAGGGAATTAATATATAAGACTAATAAGGCCTTAGGTAACGTAAGGTATTCTAGGATAATATTAATCGTATAGTAAATTACGTATCCGACGTTAAACCCTTAAACCATCCCGTATATTTCGCTAGCGAATACGCTCCGAGTAACCCTCTTATACTTAATCGACGACTAATGGATAAGGTTACCGACGACCCGTAGCTTATTATTGTAGGTAGTAGGTTCTTCGTTACCTAATATAACTAAGTAACTTATTTATAAGCTTATATCGCTATTATTAGCGAACGAGCCGTCTACGAATACGTATACGCGGAGGTCCTCTAGGTCTAGGGTAATATAACGGAGTCCTCGGTCCTTATTATTTATCTATTACTTAATCCTCGCGTTAAGACCTTTTACTTCCTTAGTCCCGGGGTTAACGTATTACGCGGTTATAAAGTAATCGAATGCGGCTTTAGGTTAGTAAATCGAAGAAATATACGCTTCCCGTACCCGCTATTCGATAAATCCCTTTACGATATCGATTACCTTTAAGTTTAAGAGCTTTAGTTTCTCCGCCTATCCCTTCTACGTTACTAAGACTTCCTCGTCGCGGACCGTAATACGTAATCCATTAAAGTCTTCGGTTATTCCTAGTTCGAGTACTTTCTAGGGCTTTACTTTAATTCCTACCTTCGTAAGTACCTTTTCTTCTTATTCGAGGAACTCCTTCGTATCTATATTTAATATATTATCGGTTTAAAGGCCGGTAATTCCGAAGGGTTACTCGGTCTTTATAACTAATAGGTATAAATCGAAAGCTAACGGCTTTATTTTTAACTCCCGTTAGTAATGCTTCGAATAAGTTTCGAACTAATACGTACCTACCTTCGCGAGTCTATATAACGGCTTAACGATACGTAATAATATTCCCTCGGGGTATTTACTTTTTAATTCCGATAGTAAGTATACGAAGATCGTTCGTTACATTAGCGTTTTTAATTAGGTATATGTTATTATAATATTTCGGATTATTACCTTTATCCTTTATTACCGGAGTATTAATACTAATATTAGGATTAGCCGTTAGCTTACCCTCTATATAATAAGTACGTAGGTTATAATAGATTCCTTTTCGTAGTTTCCGTAGCCTTAAACGATTAATCGGGATTTCTCGTATAACGTTTAGGTATTCTTACCTTTAATCTCGCGAACCATTCGTAATTTAAAGATAGTTACTCCTCGGTAGATTATATCGTCCTATACTTTAGGTTATAAGATACTATCCTCGAAGAACGCGTTTAACTCCTTTAAATTAAACGCCTCGTATAGCTTACTAGGTAAGGTAATCTTCCTTATAGCTCGTAGTTTTAATGCTAGGGTATAATCGTTTCTTTCCTTTATATTAATATACGCTATATCTAATTCTTCTTCCGGGATAACCTCGTATTCGTCTAGGTTAATCGTAGGGTACGGGATCTCGACTTAGAGCTTTTCGGTAGCCGGTATTAGTCCTTCCTTAGGTTAGGTATATAATTTAACGTAAGAGCTCCTAAAGGTCGAGGTACCTTCCGATATACTCGAAGCGATAATAATATCCTTATCTATAACGGCTATTACCTTATATAGCCCCTTCTATCCGCCTTTATCGCGGTAAATTAAGACTTCGCTCCTTAGGAGTAGTAACGCTAGTAAAGTCTTTAAGGTATTAGGTCCGTTTCGTATATTTAAAGCGTCGCGGATAAAGCGCTAGGCCTTAATTTTCTTAACTTCTACTATTACCTTTTAAACTACTTAGGCCCTTTATAATTATAAAGCCGTAGGTAGCGAGTTTATATTAATTTTTAAATAGGCCCTAAAAACGAGGAACGTAAGTATAAGGCTATTTAGATTCGCCGTATCGTTAACTACCTTAACCGCTATTTATAAACGCGATACTCGGAATCCCTATACCTTCTCCGAGATAATCTCGTAGGCTCGGCGAATCGGGCTATAGTATTCTTTAACCTTACTAATGGACTAATACGCCTCTACGGATACCTACTTATAAGTAACTCCTACTAGGCGTACCTTATTACGGAATTCGGTACTATTAAAGTTTATATTAATATCATAAGTAATAACATCTAATAATCCTAAGTAGGTATCGATCTAATATTACTTTAATATTTCCTAGGTTTCTTTAGCGGAAATTACCTTAAGGAATCGAACTACTGAGGAGGAGTAAAGCGTACGCGATGCTAGAGACCCGGATAGGTTTACTCGAAAGTATACTCTATCGAAGACTATAGTACGTACGATAGTCTAGGATAAATAGAATTAATATCGCTATACTAATCGAAAGGCAAGGAATCTAATGTAGTTATCGTATCTCGGCTATGCCCTTTAGTCGTAAAGATATAGTAGTCGCTAGCCCGAAGGTATAAGAGGTAAGAGGAGAAAAGAAGTAAAACGTAAAAGTTATTTATTCGGCTATAGCGATACGACGAAGTAACTTAAGCGCTTATAACTAAAATAAGTATATTAATCGGAAAACGATAAATCTAATAATAAAAACGAATCTTTAATTAAGGTAAAAATAATAAAGATAGTAATCTAACTAGGTAATAAACTAAATAATAAGCATAGTATATCCCGTACTTACGGGAGTTATGATTACTTTATATAAGCATAAGGCCTATCGTAACGTATTACGTAATATATTAAAAGGATATGTCTTACCGTATTACTATAGCTTCCTTAGTTTAATTATACCGTAAGGGATAATTAAATTAAAAAGGATAATACGGTATATCCCGATTAATATCTTCCTTTAAAAATTACCGCGAAACTCTATTTCTCCGGCTATTATTTAATTATTACGGCCGCGCCTTTAACTTTTCGTTTAATATCATAAGGAGGCCCTTTTATTACTTTATAATTAACTTAGCCCGGTTTACCCTTACCGATCTAACCCGATCGGCGTTCTCTTTCTTTATTTCGGCTACCTTTTTCTTAGTTTCGTTCTAGC